TTTCCGTTTCACAATTACATTTCCGAATTCTTTGTTGCTGTCCAACTTCTGTAAAAATCTCCACATTCCCTCTTTTGCTAGCACGTAATATGCAGCAAAGACTGCAGAAAATGGCAGTTCTGCGAGTTCGTATTTGAAATTTTTATAACTCATCCACAAAGCCTTGAGGTGTATCCGCTTCTGAAATGCTTCCGTATTCTGTAATTCGTAACACTTGCTGAGTGCAAAACTTGCACACTTGCAGTGGAAAACTACGTCTAAAAGAAATGAAATAGACTGAGAAGAGATAAAGCATTGAATTAATGCATTTCTAAAATTCTTGCAATTTTCTTCTCCACCATTGAGAAATATGACAGTTTACAATGCATTTAAAATTTTCATATGTTTCATTGAAGAACAAACCCAAGAACAGTACCTCGTTTCGTTATGAAACATTAATAACAACAATGGTGGTCTCCACAGTTGGTGTCCTTACAAATGGTCTTCTTATTGTTGTTATTGTGAAGGATCCTTTAAACAAACTAAGACGAGGACCGTGGATTACCATCTTAAGCTTATCTATAGCTGACATCACTGCATCTTTGTCCCAATTCATGATTGTTGGATTGGGTAGATTGTTCGAGGTCAAACCATCAGAAGCTGTCAAGTATTCTGTCCTTTTCTTTTGGATGTTTGGGGTTGCGGGCTCATTTTTTCACTTGACATCACTCACATGGCAAACATACATGATTGCAAAGTATCCCATACGTAGCCGACAGATGTTGTCCACCAGAAAAATATACAAATTATGTGCGACTGTTTGGTTGATTGCCATTTGCATGGCATTTGGTGAACTCACATCAATTTACATCAAGAAAAATGAACAGCTTATGTACACCTATATGACAGTATATGCTCTCTTGGAAATCGCTGTTTTACTTCAGATCATATTGAAGTGTTTCATACTTAAGGTTGTATTGCAAAGTCGACAAGACACTAAAGTAAATGCTGAACAGCACAACACTAAACACCTTGAAATTGTAAAGGCAATCATTGTGCTGAATGTCTTATTACTGGTAACTGCATTTCCTTTTTTTGTCGCCAAACAAGTGGAGTTTATTCAAAGGCTAGGGAAACTACAAGGTGAATTGTATTGGCGCTTTTCATATTACTATAAGCCAGTGGCCATGGTGAATTTTGCTGTCAATCCAATTGTGTATGCACTGAGGCTTCCAGATTATCGAAACAGTATGAAGGCGTTGTTTAGAAAGAAGAATACTGCTTTTACTCCAACATCCAGGTCAACGACCTTTTCCTTCCGGTCCACCAATAAGACATTTGCGATGTAACTACATTCATCGTTCATAACTTTATGATTAATATATAATTTTTTTATTTGGGTATAGTATAGGTAATATTAGCATAGTTTTAAAGGGAAGATGAAAGAAAAAGAAACTATCATGATTTGTAGCGAGATTTAAACTGACTAAAATTTACAGCCAACTTTTTGATTTTTTTTTTCATGAGAAAGGTCAGGAGTGTAATACTTTTTTAACGGTACATATCATTAATCAAATAAACCTTGAACTTAGAGACGTTACAGATTCGCCCAGTGCTTCGATAAAAAATTTGAAAGAAAAAATGAGTCTTGCTTGTTTGTTAAGTTTTCTATAGCTTGTTGAAAAAATGACAACAAACTTCTTTCATACATCGGCTTCTACTTGGTGGTTATATTGGAAAACAAATACTTCGGTATAAACAGAACTTCGTTCCATCGCTCAAAGAGTAAGTTGATCTGTTCAAGATAAAGAAAATGTGTACGCAGCTAACGTACAGTCGCAAGTGCACGGACAGATTAAATACAAAATCCTTTCAACACAGGCCTATGAGCCAAAAGAAACAATAACGATGTACCATCAAAATGAAATTTGCATAGTTTTTATTCTACTTGCGTTATGATGAAAAGTTTGCTTACAGAAAAAATTCTTGTGATGACCCAAAGCACAAACTTACATTGTGTGCTGAAACAGGAAATTTTGATATAGCATTTATTAGTACGTTATTCTTAACATTGAACGAATTTATGTTTTGAAATATGACAAATCAAGATACCTAAAACAAAGACTTTGCTAAGAATTTTCAATAACATGAGACCACCCTGGGCCCTGGTAAAGCCATAACTTTTTAATAACAACAAGAAATTCTGTACACGAATAAAATTTATTTTGGTGAGTGAATCAGTTCACTGCAATATTGAAGAAAGTAGAATTCAATACATAACGTGGAGGGACATTCCTTTCACTTTCTTCATCAATATACAGCCAATCCCCATTTTCTTCTTTGTCTGTACTTCCTGTATACAACGGAAGTTTGTGTACATCTTCATGATGCCCAGCCCAAGTTTTAAAGTAGTCGGACGTAGCCGTTAAGCCAGTTCGGAGGTCAACATCAACCCAGAAAAATATTTGCTTTGTCTGTTTCAAAACACCATATACAGACACGCGGTCTTAATTTACCATATAAGACATTTTATTTTGCTATCAGTTGAGTATTTTTAAGAAGAAGAGTTAAGAACGCATCACACGACGAACGCGAAAGTCGTTTTTTTATAACATCCAAAACTGATTGTAAGAAGGCCAGCAGACGACAAAGAAGTTAGTCTTGGAGGTATATAATAATCATTATTTGTAATAACAGGATAACTGCGTTTTGCCAAACCCTGCCGTTCATTTGAGCTGATAGTACGATTGATAAAACATTTCGACATGTGGTTTATCGAATCCCTTTAAACTAAATTTTAGTCATCGATTCATGTAATTACAGACTTTGTACACTTCAAATTAGATTTTGTATAAGTAAATTATATTACTTTTTTAGACAGGTGGAACAAGGCGTACAATTCCTTACATAAAATCAATTTCTGAGGTCACGCTATGGTACCTGTACAATATGTTTATAGATACGTTGTTTTTATCTGTTTGTTGAATATATATCCAGTGCCAGTGCCAGTGGTCAAAGCTAGTGAAAATTCTATCAAAATGTGTAATTCGACTAAAACAGATCAAATAAATTGCACAGGGAATTCATCTGTTTCGCAAAATAGTACAAATGTAAGTATTATATAAAAAGTATTATAAGTCATGAAAATAAACTTTGTTGACTGCAAAGAGAAATGCATTCAAAGAAATACATACAAGCTTGCGAGAAAAACGTAAACGCGTTTGCTCTTTTGTATTACTCAACAACGTTACATACAGTGATTTTATCATGAAAGTTGACATTTTGAGAATAAGCAAAATTATTATGTGCAGTTCATTTAATTAGCATTTTGTGGCTTCATGGTAAGCTGTAAAGATAAACATTGCTATCCAAAGTTAGTTGGCAAAATCAAATAATCGTATGATAAAACATGCATAAAACGATTTCACCAATATCTCCGAATACAAACGAAAATGACTTGATATTGTAAATATTCTATGCATATTTACCATATCAAGTCATTTTAACTTGCCTGCTTTCTTCAAGAGTTCAAGAGTACCATGAAAAAGACAATATCTGCATATCTCTCATGCATATCAAGAACTCATTTTTTTATATGTACCGAGATATGATATTTTCATCAATATCTTCTCTATGTAATGAACTAGGCAACTACATGATATTCAACATTGTTTGTTCCTCGCGAATTTGGAATTGTCATAGAAACAGCAAAGCTTGTGTTGGTTGCCTTGATAAGAACAAAACATAAAAATTACAACATTCCTCAAATTATGTTTACTTTATGTAGTGGCGAAAAAGAAAGCCCGTATATTTGGTCTTGCTATGCGAATATATCACAGTTCACACACAGTGGAAACTGAAAAATCAGTTCCTACAAAAATAAATAATGGCAATGTTCTCAAACTCATATATAAGACTAAAACTTAAAAGCTTATGCAAAAGTCGATGATATTAAAACGACATCATTTTAAGTTTGGTCATCATTTGCAACATAAACATAAGCATTAGAAGAATTGACAGTTGATAATCTTTTGCACTTATGCTCATGGTTATACTTTTGCCGAAAGTGAGAACCAGGATTTGAGCGTTATAATTTAGTTCCTCGTCTAAAAAGAACAAATTTTTGTTTTTAAAAATATTGCAACATATAATAAACATATATTTATGTATTTAATAAGAAACCGAAGAAAAGTTTCTCACTTCCTCAAGAAATATTAATAACAACAATGGTGATCTCCACAGTTGGTGTCCTAACAAATGGTCTTCTTATTGTTGTTATTGTGAAGGATCCTTTAAACAAACTAAGACGAGGACCGTGGATTACTATCTTAAGCTTATCTATAGCTGATTTCACTGCATCTTTGTCTCAATTCATGATTGTTGGATTGGGTAGATTGTTCGAGGTCAAACCATCAGAAGCTGTCATTTATTCTGTCCTTTTCTTTTGGATGTTTGGGGCTGCGGGCTCATTTTTTCACTTGACATCACTCACATGGCAAACTTACATGATTGCAAAGTATCCCAAATACAGACAACAAATGTTATCTACGAAGAAAATTTACATATTATGCGCCACAGTTTGGTTGATTGCCATTTGCATGGCATTTGGTGAAGTCACATCACTTTACATAAAAAAATTTGACCAGCTTATGTATATCTATATCACGGTATATGCTGTCTTGGAAATCACTGTTTTACTTCAGATCATATTGAAGTGTTTCATACTTAAGGTTGTATTGCAAAGTCGACAAGGCACTAAAGTAAATGCTAAACAGTACAACACTAAACACTTTGAAATTGTAAAGACAATCATTGTGCTGAATGTCTTATTACTGGTAACTGCATTTCCTTATTTTGTCGCCAAACAAGTGGAGTTTATTCAAAGGCTTGGAAAAATACAAAGTGAATTGGCTGGACGTTTTTCTTACTACTACGAACCAGTTGCCATGGTGAATTTCGCTGTCAATCCAATTGTGTATGCACTGAGGCTTCCAGATTATCGAAACAGTATGAAGGCGTTGTTTAGAAAAAAGAATACTGTTTTTACTCCAACATCCAGGTCAACGATCTTTTCCTTCCGGTCCACCAATAAGACATTTGCGATGTAACTACATTCATCGTTCATAACTTTATGATTAATATATAAATCTTTATTTGGGTATAGTATAGGTAATATTAGCATATTTTTTAAAGGGAAGATGAAAGAAAAAGAAACTATCATGATTTGTAGCGAGATTTAAACTGACTAAAATTTAAAGCCAACTTTTTGATTTTTCTTTTCATGAGAAAGATCAGGAGTGTAATACTTTTTTAACGGTACATATCATTAATCAAATAAACCTTGAACTTAGAGAATTTACAGATTTGCTTAATGCTTCGATAAAAAATTTGAAAGAAAAAATGAGTCTTGTTTGTTAAGTTTTTTTAGCTTGTTGAAAAAATGACAAAAAACTTACTTCATAAATCGGCTGCTACTTGGTGGTTATATTGGAAAACAAAACTTCGGTATAAACAGAACTTCGTTCCATCGCTCAAAGAATAAGTTGATCTGTTCAAGATAAAGAAAATGTGTACGCAGCTAACGTACAGTCGCAAGTGCACGGACAGCTTAAATATAGAATCCTTTCATCACAGGCATATGAGCCAAGAGAAACAATAACGATGAACCATCAAAATGAAATTTGCATAGTTTTTATTCTACTTGCGTTATGATGAAAAGTTTGCTTACACAAAAAATTCTTGTGATGACCTAAAGCACAAACTTTCATCGTGTGTGGAAACAGGAAACTTTGCTATAGCATTTATTAGTACGTTATTCTTAACATTGAACGAATTTATGTTTTGAAATATGACAAATCAAGATACCTACAACAAAGACTTTGCTAAGAATTCTCAATAACATGAGACCAACCTGGGCCCCGGTAAAGCCATAACTTTTTAATAACAACAAGACGTTCTGTACACGAATAAAATTTATTTTGGTGAGTGAATCAGTTCACTGCAATATTAAAGAAAGTAGAATTCAATACATAACGTGGAGGGACATTCGTTTCACTTTCTACATCAATATACAGCCAATTTCCATTTTCTTCTTTGTCAGTACTTCCTGTATACAAAGGAAGTTTGTGTACATCATCATGATGCCCAGCCCAAGTTTTAAAGTAGTCTGACGTAGCCGTTAAGCCACTTCGGAGGTCAACATCAACCCAGAAGAATATTTGTTTTGTCTGTTTCAAAACACCAGATACATACACGCGGTCTTAATTTACCATATAAGACATTTTATTTTGCTATCAGTTGAGTATTTGTGAGAAGAAGAGTTAAGAACGCATCACACGACGAAAGCGAAAGTCGTTTTTTTTATAACATCCAAAACTGATTGTAAGAAGGCCAGCAGACGACAAAGAAGTTAGTCTTGGAGGTATATAATAATTATTATTTGTAATAGCAGGATTAAGGCGTTTTACCAAACCCTGTCGTTCGTTTGAGTTGATAGTACGATTAATAAAACATTTCGACATGTGGTTTATCGAATCCCTTTAAACCAAATTTTAGTCATCGATTCATGTAATTACCAGACTTTGTACATTTCAAATTAGATTTTGTATAAGTCAATTCTATTACTTTTTTAGACAGGTGGAACCCGGCGTACATTTCCTTACATAAAATCAATTTCTGAGGTCACGCTATGGTACCTGTACAATTTGTTTATAGTTACGTTGTTTTGATATGTTTGTTGAATATATATCCAGTGCCAGTGGTCAAAGCTAGCGACAATTCTATCAAAATGTGTAATTCGACTAAAATAGATCAAGTAAATTGCACAAGGAATTCCTCCGTTTCTCAAAATAATACAAAAGTAAGTAGTATTATATAAAAGGTATTATAAGTCATGAAAATAAACTCGAGTGCTTTGTTGACTGCAAAGAGAAATGCATTCAAAGAAATACATACAATCATACGAAAAAAACGTACACTCGCTTGCTCTTTTGTATTACTCAACAACGTTACATGCAGTGATTTTATCATAAAATTTGACATTTTGAGAATAAGCAAAACTATTATGTGCAGTGCATTTAATTAGCATTTTGTGGCTTCATGGTAAGCTGTAAAGATAAACATTGCTATCCATAATTATTTGGCAAAATCAAATAATTGTATGATAAAACATGCATAAAACGATTTCACCAATATCTCCGAATACGAACGAAAATGACTTGATAATGTAAATATTCTATGCATATTTACAATATTAAGTCATTTTCACTTGCCTGCTTTCTTCAAGAGCTCAAGAGTACCAGGCAAAAGACAATATCTGCATATCTCTCATGCATATCAAGAACTCATTTTTTTATATGTACCGAGGTATGATATTTTCATCAATATCTTCTCTGTGTAATGAACTAGGCAACTACATGATATTCAACATTGTTTGTTCCTCGTGAAATTGGAATTTTCATAGAAACAGCAAAGCTTGTGTTGGTTGCCTTGATAAGAACAAAACATAAAAATTACAACATTCCTCAAATTATGTTTACTTTATGTAGTGGCGTAAAAGTAAGCCCGTATATTTGGTCTTGCTATGCGAATATATCACTGTTCACACACAGTGGAAACTGAAAAATCAGTTCCTACAAAAATAAATAATGGCAATGTTCTCAAACTCATATATAAGACTAAAACTTAAAAGCTTATGCAAAAGTCGATATTTGTAAAACGACATCATTTTAAGTTTGGTCATCATTTGCAACATAAACATAAGCATAAAAAGAATTGACAGTTGATAATCTTTTGCAGTTATGCTCATGTTTATACTTTTGCCGAAAGTGAGAACCAGGATTTGAGCGTTATAAGTTAGTTCCTCGTCTAAAAAGAACAAATTTTTGTTTTTAGAAATATTGCAACATATAATAAACATATATTTATGTATTTAATAAGAAACCGAAGAAAAGTTTCTCACTTCCTCAAGAAATATTAATAACAACAATGGTGATCTCCACAGTTGGTGTCCTAACAAATGGTCTTCTTATTGTTGTTATTGTGAAGGATCCTTTAAACAAGCTAAGACGAGGACCGTGGATTACTATCTTAAGCTTATCTATAGCTGATTTCACTGCATCTTTGTCTCAATTCATGATTGTTGGATTGGGTAGATTGTTCGAGGTCAAACCATCAGAAGCTGTCATTTATTCTGTCTCTTTCTTTTGGATGTTTGGGGCTTCGGGCTCATTTTTCACTTGACATCACTCACATGGCAAACTTACATGATTGCAAAGTATCCCAAATACAAACAACAAATGTTATCTACGAAGAAAATTTACATATTATGCGCCACAGTTTGGTTGATTGCCATTTGCATGGCATTTGGTGAAATCACATCACTTTACATTAAAAAATTTCACCAGCTTATGTGTATCTATATCACAGTATATGCTGTCTTGGAAATCGCTGTTTTACTTCAGATCATTTTGAAGTGTTTCATACTTAAGGTTGTATTGCAAAGTCGACAAGACACTAAAGTAAATGCTGAACAGTACAACACTAAACACTTTGAAATTGTAAAGGCAATCATTGTGCTGAACGTCTTATTACTGGTAACTGCATTTCCTTATTTTGTCGCCAAACAAGTGGAGTTTATTCAAAGGCTTGGAAAAATACAAAGTGAATTGGCTGGACGTTTTTCTTACTACTACGAACCAGTTGCCATGGTGAATTTCGCTGTCAATCCAATTGTGTATGCACTGAGGCTTCCAGTTTATCGAAACAGTATGAAGGCGTTGTTTAAAAAGACTAGAATTGTTTCCATTCAAAAACCAGGGCATTCAATCTTTTCACTTCGTACTAGTGCTAGTAAACCTGTATGATAGATAATATGTTCTAAACTCAATTTGATGAAAAATGTACGAATAGTGCTAATAGTTTTTATTGGAAGAATAAATTCCAAAACAACTGTGTGGTCAAAAAAATTATCCCGATTATTACTACAATACTTATCACTTTTTTGATTCTACGTACTTTCAAAAGCGAGAGCAATAATTGTGAATACTTTAATGAGACCATTTGCGATTAAGAAACATTTGCGATGTAACTACATTCCTCGTTCATAACTTTATGATTAATATATATTTTTTTTATTTGGGTATAGTATAGGTAATATTAGCATAGTTTTAAAGGGAAGATGAAAGAAAAAGAAACTATCATGATTTGTAGCGAGATTTAAACTGACTAAAATTTACAGCCAACTTTTTGACTTTACTTTTCATGAGAAAGATCAGCAGTATAATACTTTTTTAAAGGTACAAACAAAACAAACAAACAACATTGTATACCGGCCAGTATTAATCCCCGCCAGGGGGGTTGACCGGTCCATGAACTTTTCTACGCCAAATGTCTCTATCTCTCGCCATATCTCTCGTTATACCCATCGCCTTCATATCACTGTTTACAGCATCCATCCATCTCCTTCTCGGTCTACCTCGTTTGCGGACTCCATCAACATTCATATGCAACGTTCTACGAATTTCAGCACTTTCTTCCCTCCTTTCCACATGCCCAAACCACCTCCTCAAACGCTGGCGCCTTACCCAATTCTCGATACACTCAACACCAACTCTTACTCTAATCTCTTCACTTCGAATCCTATCCATCAACGTTACACCACACATCATCCTAAGCATTCTCCTTTCCGTCGACGCCAATCTTCTCAGGTCCTCTGCTTTCGGCGCCCAACACTCTGCTCCATATCCCAAAACACTTCTAACACATGCCTTGTACAATTCTCCCTTCTGCTTCAACGAAGTCGACTTTGCGCACAACATTCCCGACAACTCTCTAAAACTCCACCACGCTGCTTGAACTCTGTTCCTCACCGCTTGCTCGCACCCTCCACCATCATTTAACACATCGCCCAGATATTTAAACTCCGATACACCTTCCAAACTCACATCACCCAGTTCAAACCATTCAATCGCGACTCGCCCACCACTTCGACACGTCCCGCACTCAAAATCAGTTACTCTTGTCAATGCACCACGGACACCTGAACATCTTCCATGAACCCACTTACTGCATTTCCCACACATTATCGAATTCACTCCAACTCTTTTCCCAAACACACCACATGGCCATTTATCACTGTCCTTCACCTCCACCTGCCTCGAGCATCTCATGCCTTTCGTCTTTTCCTCATCCACTTTCAGTCCCTTGACTTCTATTGCCGTTTTCCATTCTCGGTACCATTCCATGACTTTCTGCTTCGACTCCGCCACCAAGACACTTTTTTAACGGTACATATCATTAATCAAATAAACCTTGAACTTAGAGACGTTACAGATTTGCTTAATGCTTCGATAAAAAATTTGAAAGAAAAAATGAGTCTTGCTTGTTTGTTAAGTTTTCTATAGCTTGTTGAAAAAATGACAACAAACTTCTTTCATATATCGGCTGCTACTTGGTGGTTATATTGGAAAACAAATACTTCGGTATAAACAGAACTTCGTTCCATCGCTCAAAGAGTAAGTTGATCTGTTCAAAATAAAGAAAATGTGTACGCAGCTAACGTACAGTCGCAAGTGCACGGACAGCTTAAATACAGAATCCTTTCATCACAGGCATATGAGACAAAAGAAACAATAACGATGAACCATCAAAATGAAATTTGCATAGTTTTTATTCTACTTGCGTTATGATGAAAAGTTTGCTTACACAAAAAATTCTTGTGATGACCCAAAGCACAAACTTACATTGTGTGCTGAAACAGGAAATTTTTGCTATAGCATTTATTAGTACGTTATTCTTAAAATTGAACGAATTAATGTTTTGAAATATGACAAATCAAGATACCTACAACAAAGACTTTGCTAAGAATTCTCAATAACATGAGACAACCCTGGGCCCTGGTAAAGCCATAACTTTTTAATACAACAAGACGTTCTGTACACGGATGAAATTTATTTTAGTGAGTGAATCAGTTCACTGCAATATTAAAGAAAGTAGAATTCAATACATAACGTGGAGGGACATTCGTTTCACTTTCTACATCAATATACAGCCAATTTCCATTTTCTTCTTTGTCAGTACTTCCTGTATACGTGAGAAGTTTGTGTACATCATCATGATGCCCAGCCCAAGTTTTGAAATAGTCGGACGTAGCCCTTAACCCACTTCTGAGGTCAACGTCAACCCAGAAGAATATTTGTTTTGTCTGTTTCAAAACACCAGATACATACACGCGGTCTTAATTTACCATATAAGACATTTTATTTTGCTATCAGTTGAGTATTTGTGAGAAGAAGAGTTAAGAACGCATCACACGACAAACGCGAAAGTCGTTTTTTTTATAACATCCAAAACTTATTATAAGAAGGCCAGCAGACGACAAAGAAGTTAGTCTTGGAGGTATATAATAATTATTATTTGTAATAGCAGGATTACGGCGTTTTACCAAACCCTGTCGTTCATTTGAGCTGATAGTACGATTAATAAAACATTTCGACATGTGGTTTATCGAATCGCTTTAAACCAAATTTTAGTCATCGATTCATGTAATTACCAGACTTTGTACACTTCAAATTAGATTTTTGTATAAGTAAATTATCTTACTTTTTTAGACAGGTGGAACCCGGCGTACATTTCCTTACATAAAATCAATTTCTGAGGTCACGCTATGGTACCTGTACAAAATGTTTATAGTTACGTTGTTTTGATATGTTTGTTGAATATATATCCAGTGCCAGTGCCAGTGGTCAAAGCTAGTGACAATTCCATCAAAATGTGCAATTCGACTAAAATAGATCAAGTAAATTGCACAAGGAATTCCTCCGTTTCGCAAAATAATACAAAAGTAAGTAGTATTATATAAAAAGTATTATAAGTCATTAAAATAAACTTTGTTGACTGCAAAGAGAAATGCATTCAAAGGAATACATATACAAGCATGCGAGAAAAACGTAAACGCGTTTGCTCTTTTGTATTACACAACAACGTTACATGCAGTGATTTTATCATGAAATTTGACATTTTGAGAATAAGCAAAACTATTATGTGCAGTGCATTTAATTAGCATTTTGTGGCTTCAAGGTAAGCTGTAAAGATAAACATTGCTATCCAAAGTTATTTGGCAAAATCAAATAATTGTATGATAAAACATGCATAAAACGATTTCACCAATATCTCCGAATACGAACGAAAAATATCAAAAAGATACAAGAAATTGTTTAGAATTACCATTATTTTATGCATATTTACAATATCAAGTCATTTTCACTTGCCTGCTTTCTTCAAGAGTTCTAGAGTACCAACAAAAGACAACATCTGCATATCTCTCATGCATATCAAGAACTCATTTTTTTATATGTACCGAGATATAATATTTTCATCAATATCTTCTCTGTGTAATAAACTAGGCAACTACATGATGTTCAACATTGTTTGTTCCTCGTGAAATTGGAATTTTCATAGAAACAGCAAAGCTTGTGTTGGTTACCTTAATAAGAACAAAACATAAAAATTACAACATTCCTCAAATTATGTTTACTTTATGTAGTGGCATAAAAGTAAGCCCTGAAAAATCAGTTCCTACAAAAATAAATAATGGCAATGTTCTCAAACTCATATATAAGACTAAAACTTAAAAGCTTATGCAAAAGTCGATGATAGTAAAACGACATCATTTTAAGTTTGGTCATCATTTGAAACATAAACATAAGCATAAGAAGAATTGACAGTTGATAATCTTTTGCAGTTATCCTCATGTTTATACTTTTGCCGAAAGTGAGAACCAGGATTTGAGCGTTATAATTTAGTTCCTCGTCTAAAAAGAACAAATTTTTGTTTTTAAAAATATTGCAACATATAATTAACATATATTTATGTATTTAATAAGAAACCGAAGAAAAGTTTCTCACTTCGTCAAGAAATATTAATAACAACAATGGTGGTCTCCACAGTTGGTGTCCTAACAAATGGTCTTCTTATTGTTGTTATTGTGAAGGATCCTTTAAACGAACTAAGACGAGGACCGTGGATTACTATCTTAAGCTTATCTATAGCTGATTTCACTGCATCTTTGTCTCAATTCATGATTGTTGGATTGGGTAGATTGTTCAAGGTCAAACCTTCAAAAGCTGTCATTTATTCTGTCCTTTTCTTTTGGATGTTTGGGACTGCGGGCTCATTTTTTCACTTGACATCACTCACATGGCAAACTTACATGATTGCAAAGTATCCCAAATACAGACAACAAATGTTCTCTACGAAGAAAATTTACATATTATGCGCCACAGTTTGGTTGATTGCCATTTGCATGGCATTTGCTGAAGTCACATCACTTTACATAAAAAAATTTGACCAGCTTATGTATATCTATATCACGGTCTATGCTGTCTTAGAAATCGCTGTTTTACTTCAGATCATATTGAAGTGTTTCATTTTTAAGGTTGTATTGCAAAGTCGACAAGACACTAAAGTAAATGCTAAACAGTACAACACTAAACACTTTGAAATTGTAAAGGCAATCATTGTGCTGAATGTCTTATTACTGGTAACTGCATTTCCTTATTTTGTCGCCAAACAAGTGGAGTTTATTCAAAGGCTTGGAAAAATACAAAGTGAATTGGCTTGGCGTTTTTCTTACTACTACGAACCAGTTGCCATGGTGAATTTCGCTGTAAATCCAATTGTGTATGCACTAAGGCTTCCAGTTTATCGAAACAGTCTGAAGGCGTTTTTTAAAAAGAACAGTTTTATTTCTACTGATACAGCACAGCAATCGACAACTTCGTTCCATTCTGCTGATGAAACGATTGCTTTGTAGATAATATGCATTGATTAATATGCATTGATCATATATAACTTGATTACAAATATATATAATGATTATTTTTTTAATATAGGTAATAACATAAACTTTAGTGGAATTTGTAGTTATACTTTTGTGTAATTTTTAGTGTAATGTTTGGATTTGTAGCCAATTTTGCCTGCAACAAACTATTTTGATAGCCACATCAAAACATAGTACAATATGGTATCTAATAATACGTTGTCCTCCTTGCTGCTTATTTACATCTTTACGAAGAAATTCTCTACATTGAATTTAGCGTGAGCAGAAGCTTTGTGTAACAGGTAAAACTTGGCAGCTTTATTGCATCGAAAATTTCACAAGAAAAAGCAAGTTGCCCTTACAGACTTAACTTCTTACAAAATAGCAGAACGTTTTTCATTGATAAAACAGCATGGTCAGCAATCAGCATGTATTTGAAAATTCAGGCAGAATCGTTTTTAATAATACTTTATAGTTTGCAAGAAAAAGTATGTTTAACAATCTATCAATATGTAGCATTTTATCTGCACTAGCAAAAAAAAGGAAGGAAGAAATGAGCATAGTCTTAAAATTCACACATACACATTATATTTTCATACAATTATATTTGTATAATTTTAGTGTTTGATAGAATAAGCTGATAATAAACGAACAATGAACAATACACTTTAATGAATACATTTATTTATTGTCCATAAAGATTTTTGAACGTCTTCCTTTACAAAATATTACTCTAGAATAACCACATCTTCTTTTTTTCATATGGTGAGGCAGCTGACGCTTTTCCTTTTTGTTTTCCAGTTCAATTGGATTCTCCAAAGATTCGCCATTCAACCACAACCATTTTACACAGCAGGAAGACAAAAAACACAATATGAAGAAAAGAACAAGGCCATATTTCAACCCTTTCATACTTTACACAACAGCCCAAGACAAGCTTGACTTCCAGTTCTTCAAGTTTCAAAGTTTATTTACTGCCAGTACATCATTCCTATGGCACAGCTATATTTATACCATCAAGCTCAAGTGTTTTTAAACACAGACATCATTTAGCCTTACTTGTAATAAACAAAGTACATAAAGCAGTTACTGTTATACAGATGCTACAGTTCCATCAAATAGAGTGCTCATACAGTATAATCACCGCTTTTTTAATCAATAACAGCTATTTTAGTTATTTCTTGTTGGAAAATATCTTCAATCATAAATCCCCACGTAAAGGCGCTGAAAATGAAGTAAATAGGGGTTATACAATCTATACATATATACATGCTCATTATATGTTGGCCTGTTGCATTTTCTAACTTTAGCTTTAACTTCATAACGTAAGAATAATGTATTACATGATATTACTAACATCCTATATGCTTATTGTCTATATAGTTAGTAAAACTATAAAGTAGAATTCCCAGCATTCATGTAATCTTAGAACTCTCTATGACAAGCTCATGACATAACATATAAGTTCATTTTGACTTCTTGTAATATCAGCTGTTTTTTAAATGCTCTGAGCAATTAAAACATTAGAGAGTCATATATAGTTGCGCATGAGATGCATCAAAACTCTATGCATGTGATGGATATGAGGGATCGTAGAACTAAAAATACTTTTTCCTTTGTTTTATAAATATTTTAAAGGCGTCGTTCAGTTTGGACTATTCAAGTGGAAAAAGATGTTTGAATGTTAAAACCTAAAATATACAGTGTATGAACGAAGAGTGTTTGATTGTTGTCTTCAACTTATTTTTATTACTTTTGCTTTTCCATCTAAAATTCAACGACGAACAAACCCATGTATACATGTTTGACTTTGAAAAACGGAATTATTTTTGTCATGTATAGACTCTGTCTTACGGTCACCTTTCATAGTTCTATAAGCACAATTGTATTTTCTAGTTGACATAGAATTTTTCTTTTTCCTTTCAAATCTGCATATCATTTTTTTGTATGATTCAATTATGACAGATAAATTAATGTGAAAGTCCATAACATGTGTGGTTATTTTATTGCTTAATATTGCCTAGTATGACGACATTGTAATTTTCAAATAAACTTTTTATGAAAGTTTTGTTGACGTCATGCTTGATATTTGAAGCTACGATAATAATTTTCGTTAAAACACCACATATTAAAATATGTATTGCAAGCCTTTTTCGTCAACGTATATTTCTAAAACTGATTTATATGTTTGCTCTTGTTTAGGCTACATGAATACATGGCCACAATTTGTGGCGGCTTAAATTATATTTTATGCATATATATTGGATGTGTTTTAATCCAATCACACAACCTGCTGACAAACGTACAACCCATATACCCCCCCCCTCACCCCATTCTTTTTATTGTCACTTACCCATGTCTCGACGCTGTGTCTTGTCCTGTTTCAGATTCAAGTAAACGTCGACCGAAACAGAAACGAAAGCCCGGCCGCAATCCCAGAGTTCCATTCACTCCTAAACAGCTGACGACCCTGGAAAACAAGTTTGAAACAATGAAGTACTTGACAAGTGATGAAGTTCGTAATTTGTGTTTGGAACTGACGTTACCGGAAAACAAAATGAAAATATGGTTTTAAAATCGACGAGCAAGAGAAAAAAGAAAAAGTTCACAAAGCAGCGATGAATATGTTGACGTAATGACAATTGACGGGGAGAACAGTTAGCTATGTATGACGACACATGCACTGAAAATTAGTTATAGTTTTTATAGAAGTCTATAGTTAGAAAACCAGTTATGCAATCATAGAGTTTGCATTGTAGTAATCTTGCACAGCGTACGTTCAACAGGACCTTTATTTATTGCTGTCAATATTCAATAATGAGCATAGGAATTTCTTCGATGACGTCATTCGAGCATTTCCGCTTACAAAGAGAAAACACTTTGAATGCAAAGTTTGATAATGGAGCACATCGTAAAAACCTCAGGTTGCAACATAGGATAGAAAATAAAACATACTTTTACATTTCATCATGATCTCAATGTCCATTTTTGTAATAAATATAAAAAATAGAAAATGCATTTAAAGTTGAGTGACTTAAAACAAGGTTTACACTGCAGGTCAATTTAAAGACTGCAACAACAAAATCAAGGTTAATGATTGGCTCAAAGTATAGTGAAGTAAAAGATGCCATAGAAATGCCGAATCTCAATAATTAGAGCTCATCGCTGTTATCTAATTGACCCAATCGGAAAATCAGTTTATTTAAGGTAAGTACTAATTTAAAAATGAACACACAAAAGAGAGATAAAAAAAATGAATGCAACAGAAAAACATAGCTACCACAGCGTAATAATGCAATACCTAGATTAAAATACTTTATACGGTTTTACTCTATGCTATTCACTGACATTTACGTACATAAATTTTATCGAAAAGCAAAGTTCTCTAGACGGATGATTGTATTGAAAAATATTAAATTTATTGTAGAAAAACATAAGAAACACACGATACAGAGAGTTAAGAGGTTCAACTACCTTCCCACCCTTTCTCGCAAGAGAAGTACCAGTACCACCACCACCACCACCTTTCTTGCGAGAGAAGTACATGCACCACCACTTCCCTCTCCCCCGAAAGAAGTACATGCACCAATAATATCTCCTTTCCTGCAAGGGAAATACCAGCTGCACCACCACCCTCCTCTCACGTAAGAGAAGTATTGGTACCACCAATACAACCCCCTTTCCAACAAGAGAAATACAAACACCACCACCAACCTCTCTCCGCAGGAGAAGTACAAGCACCACCATCAACCTCTCTAACGCAGGAGAAGTACTAGCACCACCACCAACCCTTCTCCCGCAAGAGATGTACTGTCACCTCTCCAACCTCTCATGCGAAAGAAGTACCAGCAACAGTAGCAATGACGTAAAGAGTTGAGCTCCAGTTATCTAAGGCTGTAATGACTTAATACAAATTGATGACAATTCTCCATACCCCTGTATCATTAGAAACTGTGCTTTAAACTTTAAGAACGAAGCTTTGAGCTTTTAAACGTCGTTACAGGGTTTAAACAATAAAAGAAATAAAAATGTCTTATTCTTTTACAAGTCACATATTTACACAATTCTCATCAATCCTAATGTATAGTTCTATAGACAAAAATATTTTCGTAAAAAATATATTATCAATATCCAATAAAAAAAACAATTTTACAAAACGACACAAACATAAACTCGACATCATAAACAGTTTCAGAAAAGTTGTCAAAGAACACCTGTCATTTCTGCATATCACTTAATAACAAAAAAATTTGCGCGAAATAATAAACGCACTTTGTAATGATAATTAAAAATCTTTCATTTCTGACATAGCTTTTAGTGTAGCTAATACTAAAATCGGAACTGTTGAATAATTAAATTTTACTCATGCATTTACTCCAGTTTTCACCTGTTTTTACATAAAACAAACTAGCTAAAATCTTTATCATTATGAGCTATATATTCTAAATCCACTAAACTTTGGTTTCATTTAAAATATAAAATATGAAATAAAATTTCTGTGCAGTAGTTATAAGGTTTATGGGTCTTCGAATACAAGTAGTTATAAGGTTTATGGGTCTTCGATTTCAGAAAATAATTCGCTATTGCGCAAAAGGAATATTTCTCATTATCCTTAAAATGAAAGTTTGGGTGTAAAACATTACACCGGAGTATAGGGAGACATAGAACGAAAACGGGATTTTCTATTTTCAAAGTTCTACTTTTATTTACAAGAGTCCTACCCGTAGAATAAACTATAATGTCAAAGGATAGTACAAAGATTTAAACAACTTTGGCCTGTTTGACTTAATTTAAACCAGCCTTAAACATGTTTGGACATTTTTAGTTTGTTGATAACTTTCAGTCTTTCACAGCATAACACTTTCATTTATAAGACGTTATACTTTTTAAATTGATAACATTTAATAAACCAAGTCATTCGCACAGTCCAAATTGAGCCCCACATTCAATCTTTTTATGTTGTGAAATTTTAATTCATTTTGGATGGAAAACTGACTTATATAAGTTTGCTTAACAATCAGCTTATCAATTGCCGATTCGGGATAAAGACTAGTGATCACAAAGATAACACAAAGTTGCATTGAAAGATAGAACTTTGCTGTTTTAACGCTGTTATCTTAATTAGGTGTTGTTATATGATGTATTTTAAGTGCTTTTCGATTGCCATAAGCCCATAACGAATAGCAATGTAACATAAGAAACATCAAAACTAGACGACTGACCACATTATGAAATAGAACTGCCAGGCTGAGACATCATTAGTCATTTATCAAGAATTTAATGATACGTCAAAACGCATGGATGGATTTAGGACAGGGTTGCAGAGAAGTATGCACCACCACCCCCAGTCTTAGATACACAAGATGGAAGTCAATTTCCCCTTCAAAATACTAATATATCAAACAATTAATGAACACACTTAACAATCGAGCCTCCCCCCCTCCTCCCACATACACTGACACACAGACACACACAAACCATCATCTCTGATCATTTAGGAGAAGACGGCAAGACATTTCCTTTAATCAAAACAAGAAATATGTTTATATAACAGGAGGATGTCACTGCACTAAGAAGATTAATACAATCAACACGTGCACAAATCCAACCACTTTAGCGGGAAAAGATCGAGAACTATTTTCGTTGATTTTAGCGGGAAAAGATCGAAAGCAATCGTTGATTTTAATCTGAGCCAAAAACATTGACAGACAAGGAAGAAAAGAGAGCTTCAATCTGAAACTTTGATCTCATTGTTAACTAATGACATTCAAAGTGAAAGATATGAAATTTTTGAAAGACGTAGCTGTTCAAAACAATAGCGACAGACTGACAGGTACTTCAGACAAAATGCACATCAGAACACCCACACACACCCACGGTTATAGATTTATACATAACAAAGTCTCCCTTGAGAGAGCTTTTTGCTCTGTATATCATGTTATACACCATTATTATTTGAGCAAAACCAAAATACATTTTCAGAAAATACAAGCAGCATCACAGTAACGTCCTCAAAACCAGTGGTTTGCCCATGTTTAAGTGGTTTGCCCGTGTTTAAGTGGTTTTCATGTTTTGCATTTTCGCTATTCGTCTATGTCAATGGGGTTCAAGAATACTTACTCAAACAATCAAGAAACTTTGTAAGGAATTGAACTCAGTGTATCAATAATAGCTATTTTATCACTCTAACGAGACGTTTTTGCTTATCACAAATTCACCAATGAAACATTTGCGATGTAACTACATTCATCGTTCATAACTTTATGATTAATATATAAATTTTTTATTTGGTTATAGTATAGGTAATATTAGCATAGTTTTAAAGGGAAGATGAAGGAAAAAGAAACTATCATGATTTGTAGCGAGATTTAAACTGACTAAAATTTAAAGCCAAATTTTTGATATTTCTTTTCATGGGAAAGATCAGGAGTGTAATACTTTTTTACGGTACATATCATTAATCAAATAAACCTTGAACTTAGAGACGTTACAGATTCGCCCAGGGCTTCGATAAAAAATTTGAAAGAAAAAATGAGTCTTGCCTGTTTGTTAAGTCTTCTATAGCTTGTTAAAAAAATGACAACAAACTTACTTCATATATTGGCTGCTACTTGGAGAATGTATAGGAAAACAAAACTTTGGTATAAACAAAACTTCGTTCCATCGCTCAAAGAGTAAGTTGATCTGTTCAAAATAAAGAAAATGTGTACGCAGCTAACGTACAGTCGCAAGTGCACGGACAGCTTAAATACAGAATTCTTTCATCACAGGCATATGATCCAAAAGAAACAATAACGATGAACCATCAAAATGAAATTTGCATAGTTTTTATTCTACTTGCGTTATGATGAAAAGTTTGCTTACACAAAAAATTCTTGTGATGACCCAAAGCACAAACTTACATTGTGTGCTGAAACAGGAAATTTTGCTATAGCATTTATTAGTACGTTATTGTTAACATTGAACGAATTTATGTTTTGAAATATGATAAATCAAGATACCTACAACAAAGACTTTGCTAAGAATTCTCAATAACATGAGACCAACCTGGGCCCTGGTAAAGCCATAACTTTTTAATACAACAAGACATTCTGTACACGAATAAAATTTATTTTGGTGAGTGAATCAGTTCACTGCAATATTAAAGAATGTAGAATTCAATACATCGCGTGCAGGGATATTTCGTCTCACTTTCTACATCACAATATACAGCCAATTATCCATTTTCTTCTTTGTCAGTACTTCCTGTATACGTGAGAATTTTGTGTACATCATCATGATGCCCAGCCCAAGTTTTGAAGTAGTCGGACGTAGCCGTTAAGCCACTTCGGAGGTCAACATCAACCCAGAAGAACATTTGTTTTGTCTGTTTCAAAACACCAGATACATACACGCGGTCTTAATTTACCATATAAGACATTTTATTTTGCTATCAGTTGAGTATTTGTGAGAAGAAGAGTTAAGAACGCATCACACGACGAACGCGAAAGTCGTTTTTTTATAACATCCAAAACTTATTGTAAGAATGCCAGCAGACGACAAAGAAGTTAGTCTTGGAGGTATATAATAATTATTATTTGTAATAACAGTTCTGTGTTCGTTTGAGCTGATAGTACGATTAATAAAACATTTCGACATGTGGTTTATCGAATCCTTTTAAACCAAATTTTAGTCATCGATTCATGTAATTACCAGACTTTGTACATTTCAAATTAGATTTTGTATAAGTAAATTATATTACTTTTTTAGACAGGTGGAACCCCGCGTACATTTCCTTACATAAAATCAATTTTTGACGTCACGCTATGGTAACTGTACAATATGTTTATAGATACGTTGTTTTTATATGTTTGTTGAATGTATATCCAGTGCCAGTGCCAGTGGTCAAAGCTAGTAACAATTCTATCAAAATGTGTAATTCGACTAAAATAGATCAAATAAATTGCACAAGGAATTGCTCCGTTTCGCAAAATAATGGAAAAGTAAGTATTATATAAAAAGTATTATAAGTCATGAGAATAAACTTTGTTGACTGCAAAGAGAAATGCATTCAAAGAAATACATAAAGCATGCGAGAAAAACGTAAATGCGTTTGCTCTTTTGTATTACTCGACAACGTTACATGCAGTGATTTTATCATGAAATTTGACATTTTGAGAATAAGCAAAACTATTATGTGCAGTGCATTTAATTAGCATTTTGTGGCTTCGTGGTAAGCTGTAAAGATAAACATTGCTATCCATAGTTATTTGGCAAAATCAAATAATCGTATGATAAAACATGCATAAAACGATTTCACCAATATAAACGAAAATGACTTGATATTGTAAATATTCTATGCATATTTACAATATCAAGTCATTTTCACTTGCCTGCTTTCTTTAAGAGTTCAAGAGTACCAAGAAAAAGACAATATCTGCATATATCTCATGCATATTAAGAACTCATTTTTTTATATGTACCGAGATATGATATTTTCATCAATATCTTCTCTATGTAATGAACTAGGCAACTACATGATATTCAACATTGTTTGTTCCTCGTGAAATTGGAATTTTCATAGAAACAGCAAAACTTGTGTTGGTTACCTTGATAAGAACAAAACATAAAAATTACAACATTCCTCAAATTATGTTTACTTTATGTAGTGGCGTAAAAGTAAGCCCGTATATTTGGTCTTGCTATGCGAATATATCACAGTTCACACACAGTGGAAACTGAAAAATCAGTTCCTACAAAAATAAATAATGGCAATGTTCTCAAACTCATATATAAGACTAAAACTTAAAAGCTTATGCAAAAGTCGATGATAGTAAAACGACATCATTTTAAGTTTGGTCATCATTTGCAACATAAACATAAGCATAAGAAGAATTGACAGTTGATAATCTTTTGCAGTTATGCTCATGTTTATACTTTTGCCGAAAGTGAGAACCAGGATTTGAGCGTTATAATTTAGTTCCTCGTCTAAAAAGAACAAATTTTTAATTTAAAAATATTGCAACATATAATAAACATAAATTTATGTATTTAATAAGAAACCGAAGAAAAGTTTCTCACTTCCTCAAGAAATATTAATAACAACAATGGTGATCTCCACAGTTGGTGTCCTAACAAATGGTCTTCTTATTGTTGTTATTGTGAAGGATCCTTTAAACAAACTAAGACGAGGACCGTGGATTACTATCTTAAGCTTATCTATAGCTGATTTCACTGCATCTTTGTCTCAATTCATGATTGTTGGATTGGGTAGATTGTTCGAGGTCAAACCATCAAAGCTGTCATTTATTCTGTCCTTTTCTTTTGGATGTTTGGGGCTGCGGGCTCATTTTTCACTTGACATCACTCACATGGCAAACTTACATGATTGCAAAGTATCCCAAATACAGACAACAAATGTTATCTACGAAGAAAATTTACATATTATGCGCCACAGTTTGGTTGATTGCCATTTGCATGGCATTTGCTGAACTCACATCAATTTACATAAAAATTTGACCAGCTTATGTATATCTATATCACGGTATATGCTGTCTTGGAAATCGCTGTTTTACTTCAGATCATATTGAAGTGTTTCATAATTAAGGTTGTATTGCAAAGTCGACAAGACACTAAAGTAAATGCTAAACAGTACAACACTAAACACTTTGAAATTGTAAAGGCAATCATTGTGCTGAATGTCTTATTACTGGTAACTGCATTTCCTTATTTTGTCGCCAAACAAGTGGAGTTTATTCAAAGGCTTGGAAAAATACAAAGTGAATTGGCTTGGCGTTTTTCTTACTACTACGAACCAGTTGCTATGGTGAATTTCGCTGTCAATCCAATTGTGTATGCACTGAGGCTTCCAGTTTATCGAAACAGTATGAAGGCGTTGTTTAAAAAGACTAGAATTGTTTCCATTCAAAAACCAGGGAATTCCATCTTTTCATTTCGTGCTAGTGCTAGTAAACCTGTATGATAGATAATATGTTCTAAACTCAATTTTGATAAAAAAGGTACAAATAGTGCTAATAGTTTTTATTGGAAGAATAAATTCCAAAGTGACAAACAACTGTGTGGTCAAAAAAAATTTTAACGATTATTACTACAATACTCATCACTTTTTTGATTCTACGCAATTTCAAAAGCGAGAGCAATAATTGTGAATACTTTAATGAGACCATAAATTAAGTAAAGCACGTACATCAGGTACCTGGAAATATAGCAGCTTTGCTGAGATGAAAACCTTGAAAAAAAGAAGAAAGATTTGTTATTTTCATCTTGGTATATTTGAAATGCCAGCGAAAAGTACGTATAGGAATTTGGGGGAGGGAGTAAGGCCAGTATAAGCCTCTTGAAAGCTGAAATTAAATGTTCCTTTGCACTATAACAACAAAGCTACACAAACTTCCCCCTTATTCTGGAGAATATTGCAACAAAAAACGTTGGGCCAATTATCGTTTCCACCCGTTTACAGGAAATGAATTTTTAAAATCACTCACGTATGTGGGATGTACATATGAATCCACCACATGCATGTGGACGTCACAAGGCCAATTTAAAAGAAAGCGGATTCAAAAATATCGAGATACATGTTGACGGGTCATAAACATTATACCGACTGTATGAATACAAGTGATCAAATTGCATTAAACCATTCAGTCAATGCCAATCATCCCAGAGACAAGAAATTAGAACAGTTGATTAAACTGTCTGAGATCTCACTATGGTACTCTCACGATATTTCCAAAACGTCTATCCTTCGTTTATTTACGGATTCCTTATTCTTACAAGTTTGATCTCAGTATATCCAGTGACCAATACTGGTGATTTTTTGGAAACGCGCAATTCGACTCAACCAAATCATATAAATAACTCAAGGAATTCATCTGGTTTATGCAATCAAAGTGCTGTAAGTATATAATCTACTGCAGTTATTTTTTTCTACCAATCGTATCACTATCTCATAGTACAAATGTTAAACATGTATAGATATAATTAAGAACTAGGAGATGTTCAAACTTCAAAATGTTGGCGACAATGTGGTGGTCATAAAAAAATTCTCAAGTTGCTTATACAAACCAGACTTCTAAAAAATGCTGAAAATCCAGTTTCAAATATCAATCTTTTCACAAAACGTTGAATGTTTGAAATCGCTCTCACTATTTATACGATTTTCAATAAAAATTAAGAGGCGCGTGTCCAGATAAATAGTTTTCTATTTAACGATACCATCAAGAATATAAAATTCAAACGTAGCGTCATCAAAGTGCTTCTTTCAGGAAAAGATCTATCCACAATTGTAGATTTTTGAATGTGTCATGCAAATCAATTTCTCTAGGTACTTCTAAATAGTCAGGACCTAACTTTCCTGACCTAAACGCATTACGTGTAATGAAGTGCGCAGTTCAGTAGAGTGTCTTCACAGTAATGAGCGAAGAAAATTCATCAAGCAACTAGTTCATGATTCTCAGTGTACGACTGTAAAAATTACCATTTATCTATGTGCAATTATGAATGTATATGAAGACATTATTTCATATGAAGCCCATGAAGAGTTTTTCACTTGGCTATGAAACATTAATAACAACGATGGTGGTCTCCACAATTGGTGTCCTAACAAATGGTCTTCTTGTTGTTCTTATTCTTGTAGATCCGCTTAACATACTAAAACAAGGAAGGAGGATTACAATCTTAAGCTTATGCATAGCTGATTTTACTGCATCTTTGTCACAATTCATGATTGTTGGACTGGGTAGATTGTTCGAGGTCAAACCATCAGAAGCTGCCATTTATTCTGTCCTTTTCTTTTGGATGTTTGGGGCTGCGGGCTCATTTTTTCACTTGACATCACTCACATGGCAAACTTACATGATTGCAAAGTATCCCAAATACAGACAACAAATGTTATCTACGAAGAAAATTTACATATTATGCGCCACAGTTTGGTTGATTGCCATTTGCATGAACTCACATCAATTTTTGTCGAGAAATTTGACCACGTTATGTACACTTATATCACGCTATATGCCGTTTTGGAGATTGCTGTTTTGATCCAGGTTATTGGGAAGTGTTTAATACTTATAATAGTATGGCAAAATCGACAAAACACGACAGTAAATGCTAAACAGCACAATAGAAAACATCTGGAAATTGTAAAGACAACTATCTTGCTTAATATCCTATTACTGGTAACTGCGTTTCCTTTTTTTGTGGCCAAACAAGTGGAGTTTATTCAAAGGCTTGGAAAAATACAAAGTGAATTGGCTTGGCGTTTTTCTTACTACTACGAACCAGTTGCCATGGTGAATTTCGCTGTCAATCCAATTGTGTATGCACTGAGGCTTCTCGATTATCAAAACAGTCTGAAGGCGTTGTTTAAAAAGAACAGTTTTATTTCTACTGATACAGCACAGCAATCGACAACCTCGTTCCATTCTCTGATGAAACGATTGCTTTGTAGATAATAGGCGTTGATTAATATGCATTGATCATATATAACTTGATTACAAATATATATAATGATATTTTTTTAATATAGGTAATAACATAAACTTGTAGCTATACTTTTGTGTAATTTTTAGTGTAATGTTTGGATTTGTAGCCAATTTTGCCTTCAACAAACTATTTTGATAACCACATCAAAACATAGTACAATATCGTATCTAATAGTACGTTGTCCTCCTTGCTGCTTATTTACATCTTTACGAAGAAATTATCTACATTGAATTTAGCGTGAGCAGAAGCTTTGTGTAACAGGTAAAACTTGGCAGCTTTGTTGCATCGAAAATTTCACAAGAAAAAGCAAGTTGCCCTTACAGACTTAACTTCTTTCAAAATGGCAGAACGTTTTTCATTGATAAAACAGCATGGTCAGCAATCAGCATGTATTTGAAAATTCAGGCAGAATCGTTTTTAATTATACTTTATAGTTTGCAAGAAAAAGTATGTTTAACAATCTATCAATATGTAGCATTTTATCTGCACTAGCAAAAAGAGGAAGGCAGAAATGAGCATAGTCTTAAAATTCACACATACACATTATATTTTCATACAATTATATTTGTATAATTTTAGTGTTTGATAGAATAAGCTGATAATAAACGAACAATGAACAATACACTTTAATGAATACATTTATTTATTGTCCATAAAGATTTTTGAACATCTTCCTCCACACCATGTTACACTAGAATAAGGACATCCTCTTTTTTTCATATGGTGACGCAGCTGACGCTTTTCCTTTTTGTTTTCCAGTTCAATTGGATTCTCCAAAGATTCGCCATTCAACCACAACCATTTTGGTTTTGCACAGCAGGAAGAAAAAAAACACAATATGAAGAAAAGAACAAGGCCATATTTCAACCCTTTCATACTTTACACAACAGCCCAAGAGAAGATTGACGTCCAATTTTTCAAGTTTCAAAGTAGATTTACTGCCAGTACATCATTCCTATGGCACAGCTATATTTATACCATCAAGCATCAAGTGTTTTTAAACACAGACATCATTTAGCCTTACTTGTAATAAACAAAGTACATAAAGCAGTTCCAGTTATACAGATGCTACAGTTCCATTAAATAGAGTGCTCATACAGTATAATCACCGCTTTTTTAATCAATAACAGCTATTTTAGTTATTTCTTTTTGGAAAATATCTTCAATCATAAATTCCCACCTAAAGGCGCTGAAAATGAAGTAAATAGGGGTTATACAATCTATACATATATACATGCTCATTATATGTTAGCCTGTTGCATTTTCTAACTTTAGCTTTAACTTCATAACGTAAGAATAATGTATTACATGATATTACTAACATCCTATATGCTCATTGTCTATATAGTTAGTAAAACTATATAGTAGAATTCCCAGCATTCATGTAATCTTAGAACTCTCTATGACAAGTTCATGACATAACATATAAGTTCATTTTGACTTCTTGTAATATCAGCTGTTTTTTAAATGCTCTGAGCAATTAAAACATTAGAGAGTCATTTATAGTTGCGCATGAGATGCGTCAAAACTCTATGCATGTGATGGATATGACGGATCGTAGAACTAAAAATACTTTTTCATTTGTTTTATAAATATTTTAAAGGCGTCGTTCAGTTTGAACTATTCAAGTGGAAAAAGATGTTTGAATGTTAAAACCTAAAAAATACAGTGTATGAACAAAGAGTGTTTGATTGTTGTCTTCAACTTATTTTTTTGCTTTTCCATCTAAAATTCAACGACGAACAAACCCATGTATACATGTTTGACTTTGAAAAACGGAATTATTTTTGTCATATATAGACTCTGTCTTACGGTCACCTTTCATAGTTCTATAAGCACAATTGTATTTTCTAGTTGACATAGAATTTTTTCTTTTTCCTTTCAAATCTGCATATCATTTTTATTGTATGATTCAATTATGACAGATAAATTAATGTGAAAGTCCATAACATGCGTGGTTATTTTATTGGTTAATATTGCCTGGTATGACGACATTGTAATTTTCAAATAAACTTTTTATGAAAGTTTTGTTGACGTCATGCTTGATATTTGAAGCTACGATAATAATTTTCGTTAAAACACCACATATTAAAATATGTATTGCAAGCCTTTTTCGTCAACGTATATTTCTAAAACTGATTTATATGTTTGCTCTTGTTTAGGCTACATGAATACATGGCCACAATTTGTGGCGGTTTAAATTATATTTTATGCATGTATATTGGATGTGTTTTAATCCAATCACACAACCTGCTGACAAACGTACAACCCATATACCCCACCCCCATTCTTTTTATTGAAACTTACCCATGTCTCGACGATGTGTCTTGTCATGTTTCAGAGTCAAGTAAACGTCGACCGAAACAGAAACGAAAGCCCGGTCGCAATCCCAGAGTTCCATTCACTCCCAAACAGCTGACGACCCTGGAAAACAAGTTTGAAACAATGAAGTACTTGACAAGTGATAAAGTTCGTAGTTTCTATTTGGAACTGACGTTACCGGAAAACAAAATCAAAATATGGTTTCAAAATCGATGAGCTAGGGAAAAAAGAAAAAGTTCACAAAGCAGCGATGAATATGTTGACGTAATGACAATTGACGAGGAGAACAGTTAGCTATGTATGACGACACATGCACTGAAAATTAGTTATAGTTTTTATAGAGGTCTATAGTTAGAAAATCAGTTATGCAATCATAGAGTTTGCATTGTAGTAATCTTGCACAGCGTACGTTCAACAGGACCTTTATTTATTGCTGTCAATATTCAATAATGAGCATAGAAATTTCATCGATGACGTCATTCGAGCATTTCCGCTTACAAAGAGAAAACACTTTGAATGCAAAGTTTCATAATGGAAAACATCGTAAAAATCTCAGGTTGTAACATAGGATAGAAAATAAAACATACTTTTACATTTCATCATGATCTCAATGTCCATTTTTGTAATAAATATAAAAAATAAAAATGCATTTAAAGTTGAGTGACTTAAAATAAGGTTTACACTGCAGGTCGATTTAAAGACTGCAACAACAAAATCAAGGTTTATGATTGGTTCAAAGTATAGTGAAGTAAAAGATGCCATAGAAATGCCGAATCTCAATAATTAGAGTTTATCGCTGTTATCTAATTGACCCAATCGGAAAATCAGTTTATATAAGGTAAGTACTAATTTAAAAATTAACACACAAAAGAGGGATTAAAAAATTAATGCAACAGAAAAACAAAGCTACCACTTCGTAATAATGCAATACCTGGATTAAAATATTTTATGCGGATTTACTCTATGCTATTCACTGACATTTACGTACATAAATTTTATCGAAAAGCAAAGTTCTCTAGACGAATGGTTGTATTGAAAAATACTAAATTTATAGTAGAAAAACATTAGAAACACACGATACAGAGAGTTAAGAGGTTCAACTACCTTCCCACCATCTCTCGCAAGAGAAGTACCGGTACCACCACCACCACCTTTCTTGCGAGAGAAGTACATGCGCCACCACTTCCCTCTCCCGCGAGAGAAGTACATGCATCACCAATATCCCCTTTCCAGCAAGCGAAATACAAGCACCACCACCAACCTCCCTAACGCAGGAGAAGTACAAGCGCCTTCATCAAACTCTCTAACGCAGAAGAAGTACAAGCACCACCACCAACCTCTCTCTCCCGGAGGAGAAGTACAAGCACCACCATCAACCTTTCTCCCGCAAAAGAAATACAAGCACCACCACCAACCCTTCTCCCGCAAGAAGTACTGTCACCTCTCCAACCTCTCATGCGAAAGAAGTACCAGCAACAGTAGCAATGAAGTGAAGAGTTGAGCTCCAGTTATCTAAGGCTGTAATACTTAATACAAATTATGACAATTTTCCATACCCCTGTATCATTAGACACTGTGCTTTAAACTTTAAGAACGAAGCTTTGAGCTTTTAAACGTCGTTACAGGGTTTAAACAATAAAAGAAATAAAAATGTCTTATTCTTTTACAAGTCACATATTTACACAATTCTCATCAATCCTAATGTATAGTTCTATAGACAAAAGTATTTTCGTAAAAAATATATTATTTCGTAAAAAATATATTATCAATATCCAATAACAAAAACAATTTTACAAAACGATACAAACATAAACTCGACATCATAAACAGTTTCAGAAAAGTTGTCAAAGAACACCTGTCATTTCTGCATATCACTTAATAACAAAAAAATTTGCGCGAAATAATAAACGCACTTTGTAATGATAATTAAAAATCTTTCATTTCTGACATAGCTTTTAGTGTAGCTAATACTAAAATCGGAACTGTGGAATAATTAAATTTTACTCCAGTTTTCACCTGTTTTTACATAAAACAAACTAGCTAAAAACTTTATCATTATGAGCTATATATTCTAAATCCACTAAACTTTGGTTTCATTTAAAATATAAAATATGAAATAAAATTTCTGTGCAGTAGTTATAAGGTTTATGGGTCTTCGAATACAATAATTCGCTATTGCGCAAAAGGAATATTTCTCATTATCCTTAAAATGAAAGTTTGGGTGTAAAACATTACACCGGAGTATAGGGACACATAGAACGAAAACGGGATTTTCTATTTTCAAAGTTCTACTTTTATTTACAAGAGTCCTACCCGTAGAATAAACTATAATGTCAAAGGATAGTACAAAGTTTTAAACAACTTCGGCCTGTTTGACTTAATTTAAACCAGCCTTAAACATGTTTGGACATTTTTAGTTTGTTGATAACTTTCAGTCTTTCACAGCATAACTCTTTCATTTATAAGACGTTATACTTTTTAAATTGATAACATGTAATAAACCAAATCATTCGCGCAGTCCAAATTGAGCCCTACATTCAATCTTTTTATGTTGTGAAATTTTAATTCATTTTGGATGGAAAACTGACTTAAATAAATTTGCTTAACAATCAGCTTATCAATTGCCCACTCGGGATAATGACTAGTGATCACAATGATAACACAAAGTTGCATTGAAAGATAGAACTTTGCTATTTTAACGCTGTTATCTTGATTAGGTGTTGTTATATGATGTATTTTAAGTGCTTTTCGATTGCCATAAGCCCATAACGAATAGCAATGTAACATAAGAAACATCAAAACTAGACGACTGACCACATTATGAAATAGAACTGCCAGGCTGAGACATCATTAGTCATTTATCAAGAATTTAATGATACATCAAAACGCAAGGATGGATTTAGGACAGGGTTGCAGAGAAGTATGCACCACCACCCCCAGTCTTAGATACACAAGATGGAAGTCAATTTCCCTGCAAAATACTAATATATCAAACAATTAATGAACACACTTAACAATCGAGCCTCCCCCCCTCCTCCCACATACACTGACACACAGACACACACAAACCATCATCTCTGATCATTTCGGTGAAGACGGCAAGACATTTCCTTTAATCACAACAAGAAATATGTTTATATAACAGGAGGATGTCACTGCACTAAGAAGATTAGTACAATCAACACGTGCACAAATCCAACCACTTTAGCGGGAAAAGATCGAGAACTATTTTCACTTAACCAAAAGCAATCGTTGATTTTAATCTGAGCCAAAAACATTGACAGACAAGGAAGAAAAGAGAGCTTCAATCTGAAACTTTGATCTCATTGTTAACTAATGACATTCAAAGTGAAAGATATGAAATTTTTGAAAGACGTAGCTGTTCAAAACAATAGCGACAGACTGACAGGTACTTCAGACAAAATGCACATCAGAACACCCACACACACCCACGGTTATAGATTTATACATAACAAAGTCTCCCTTGAGAGAGCTTTTTGCTCTGTATATCATGTTATACACCATTATTATTTGAGCAAAACCAAAATACATTTTCAGAAAATACAAGCACCATCAGAGCAACGTCCTCAAAACCAGTGGTTTGACCATGTTTAAGTGGTTTACCCGTGTTTAAGTGGTTTGCCCATGTTTAAGTGGTTTGCCCATGTTTAAGTGGTTTGCCCGTGTTTAAGTGGTTTTCATGTTTTGCATTTTCGCTATTCGTCTATGTCAATGGGGTTCAAGAAAACTTACTCAAACAATCAAGAAACTTTGTAAGGAATTGAACTCAGTGTATCAATAATAGCTATTATATCACTCTAACGACACGTTTTTGCTTATCACAAGTTCACCAATGAAACATTTGTGATGTAACTACATTCATCGTTCATAACTTTATGATTAATATATAAATTTTTTATTTGGTTATAGTATAGGTAATATTAGCATAGTTTTAAAATGAAGATGAAAGAAAAAGAAACTATCATGATTTGTAGCGAGATTTAAACTGACTAAAATTTAAAATCAACTTTTTGACTTTTCTTTTCATGAGAAAGATCAGGAGTGTAATACTTTTTTAACGATACATATCATTAATCAAATAAACCTTGAACTTAGAGACGTTACAGATTTGCCCAGTGCTTCGATAAAAAATTTGAAAGAAAAAATGAGTCTTGCTTGTTTGTTAAGTCTTCTATAGCTTGTTAAAAAAATGACAACAAACTTACTTCATATATTGGCTGCTACTTGGAGAATGTATTGGAAAAAAAAACTTTGGTATAAACAAAACTTCGTTCCATCGCTCAAAGAGTAAGTTGATCTGTTCAAAATAAAGAAAATGTGTACGCAGCTAACGTACAGTCGCAAGTGCACGGACAGCATAAATACAGAATCCTTTAATCACAGGCATATGAGCAAAAAGAAACAATAACGATGAACCATCAAAATGAAATTTGTATAGTTTTTATTCTACTTGCGTTATGATGAAAAGTTTGCTTACACAAAAAATTCTTGTGATGACCCAAAGCACAAACTTACATTGTGTGCTGAAACAGGAAATTTTGCTATAGCATTTATTAGTACGTTATTCTTAACATTGAACGAATTTATGTTTTGAAATATGATAAATCAAGATAACTACAACAAAGACTTTGCTAAGAATTCTCAATAACATGAGACCAACCTGGGCCCTGGTAAAGCCATAACTTTTTAATACAATAAGACATTCTGTACACGAATAAAATTTATTTTGGTGAGTGAATCAGTTCACTGCAATATTAAAGAAAGTAGAATTCAATACATCGCGTGCAGGGATATTTCGTCTCACTTTCTACATCACAATATACAGCCAATTATCCATTTTCTTCTTTGTCAGTACTTCCTGTATACGTGAGAATTTTGTGTACATCATCATGATGCCCAGCCCAAGTTTTGAAGTAGTCGGACGTAGCCGTTAAGCCACTTCGGAGGTCAACATCAACCCAGAAGAACATTTGTTTTGTCTGTTTCAAAACACCAGATACATACACGCGGTCTTAATTTACCATACCATATAAGACATTTTATTTTGCTATCAGTTGAGTATTTGTGAGAAGAAGAGTTAAGAACGCATCACACGACGAACGCGAAAGTCGTTTTTTTATAACATCCAAAACTTATTATAAGAAGGCCAGCAGACGACAAAGAAGTAAGTCTTGGAGGTATATAATAATTATTATTTGTAATAGCAGGATTACGGCGTTTTACCAAACCCTGTCGTTCGTTTGAGCTGAAAGTACGATTGATAAAACATTTCGACATGTGGTTTATCGAATCGCTTTAAACCAAATTTTAGTCATCGATTCATGTAATTACCAGACTTTGTACACTTCAAATTAGATTTTTGTATAAGTAAATTATATTACTTTTTTAGACAGGTGGAACCCGGCGTACATTTCCTTACATAAAATCAATTTCTGAGGTCACGCTATGGTACCTGTACAATATGTTTATAGTTACGTTGTTTTGATATGTTTGTTGGATATATATCCGGTGCCAGTGGTCAAAGCTAGCGACAATTCTATCAAAATGTGCAATTCGACTAAAATAGATCAAATAAATTGCGCAAGGAATTCCTCCGTTTCGCAAAATGATACAAAAGTAAGTAGTATTATGTAAAAAGTATTATAAGTCATGAAAATAAACTCGAGTGCTTTGTTGACTGCAAAGAGAAATGCATTCAAAGAAATACATACAAGCATACGAAAAAAACGTACACGCGCTTGCTCTTTTGTATTACTCAACAACGTTACATGCAGTGATTTTATCATGAAATTTGACATTTTGAGAATAAGCAAAACTATTAAGTGCAGTGCATTTAATTAGCATTTTGTGGCTTCATGGTAAGCTGTAAAGATAAACATTGCTATCCAAAGTTATTTGGCAAAATCAAATAAGTGTATGATAAAACATGCATAAAACGATTTCACCAATATCTCCGAATACGAACGAAAAATACCAAAAAGGTACGAGAAATTGTTTAGAATTACCATTATTTTATGCATGTTTACAATATCAAGTCATTTTCACTTGCCTGCTTTCTTCATAAGTTCAAGAGTACCAGGCAATAGACAATATCTGCATATTTCTCCATGCATATCAAGTACTCATTTTTTTATAAGTACCGAGATATGATATTTTCATCAATATCTTTTCTGTGTAATGAACTAGGCAACTACATGATATTCAATATTGTTTGTTCCTCGTGAAATTGGAATTTTCATAAAAACAGCAAAGCTTGTGTTGGTTGCCTTGATAAGAACAAAACATAAAAATTACAACATTCCTCAAATTATGTTTACTTTATGTAGTGGCGTAAAAAGAAAGCCCGACATATGAATATATCACTGTTCACACACAGTGGAAACTGAAAATCAGTTCCTACAAAAATAAATAATGGCAATGTTCTCAAACTCATATATAAGACTAAAACTTAAAAGCTTATGCAAAGTCGATATTTGTAAAACGACATCATTTTAAGTTTATCATCATTTGCAACATAAACATAAGCATAAGAAGAATTGACAGTTGATAATCTTTGCAGTTATGCTCATGTTTATACTTTTGCCGAAAGTGAGAACCAGGATTTGAGCGTTATAATTTAGTTCCTCGTCTAAAAAGAACAAATTTTTGTTTTAAAATATTGCAACATATAATAAACATAAATTTATGTATTTAATAAGAAACCGAAGAAGTTTCACTTCCTCAAGAAACATTAATAACAACGATGGTGGTCTCCACAATTGGTGTCCTAACAAATGGTCTTCTTATTGTTGCTATTGTGAAGGATCCTTTAAACAAGCTAAGACGAGGACCATGGATTACCATCTTAAGCTTGTCTATAGCTGATTTCACTGCATCTTTGTCTCAATTCATGATTGTTGGATTGGGTAGATTGTTCGAGGTCAAACCATCAGAAGCTGTCAATTATTCTGTCTCTTTTTTGGATGTTTGGCTCAATTAATTTTTCACTTGACATCACTCACATGGCAAACTTACATGATTGCAAAGTATCCCAAATACAAACAACAAATGTTATCTACAAAGAAAATTTACATATTATGCGCCACAGTTTGGTTGATTGCCATTTGCATGGCATTTGCTGAAGTCACATCACTTTTTATAAAAAAATTTGACCAGCTTATGTATATCTATATCACGGTATATGCTGTCTTGGACATCGCTGTTTTACTTCAGATCATATTGAAGTGTTTCATACTTAAGGTTGTATTGCAAAGTCGACAAGACACTAAAGTAAATGCTAAACAGTACAACACTAAACACTTTGAAATTGTAAAGGCAATCATTGTGCTGAATGTCTTACTACTGGTAACTGCATTTCCTTATTTTGTCGCCAAACAAGTGGAGTTTATTCAAAGGCTTGGAAAAATACAAAGTGAATTGGCTTGGCGTTTTTCTTACTACTACGAACCAGTTGCCATGGTGAATTTCGCTGTCAATCCAATTGTGTATGCACTGAGGCTTCCAGTTTATCGAAACAGTATGAAGGCGTTGTTTAAAAAGACTAGAATTGTTTCCATTCAAAAACCAGGGCATTCAATCTTTTCACTTCGTACTAGTGCTAGTAAACCTGTATGATAGATAATATGTTCTAAACTCAATTTGATAAAAAATGTACGAATAGTGCTAATAGTTTTTATTTAAAGAATAAATTCCAAAACAACTGTGTGGTCAAAAATGTTATCCCGATTATTACTACAATACTTATCTCTTTTTTGATTCTACGTAACTTCAAAAGCGAGAGCAATAATTGTGAATACTTTAATGAGACCATTTGCGATTAAGAAACATTTGCGATGTAACTACATTCATCGTTCATAACTTTATGATTAATATATAAATTTTATTTGTATTGTATAGGTAATACAGTAATGGTTTTATAGGGAAGACGGAAAGAAAAGGAACTATCATGACTTGTAGCTGAGATTAAACTGACTTAAAATTTAAAGCCAACTTTTTTTACTTTTCATGAGAAAGATCAGCAGTATAATAACTTTTTAACGGTACAAACAAAACAAACAAAAACATTTGTATACCGGCAGTATTGAATCCTCAGGTTTGACAGTCCATGAACTTTCTACGCCAAACGTTCTATCTCGCCATATCTCTCTCGTTATACCCATCGCTCATATCACTGTTCACAGCATCCATCCATTCCTTCTCGGTCTACCTGTTCAGGACCCATCAACATTGATATGCAACTGTTCTACGAATTTCAGCACTTTCTTTCCCTCCTTTCCACATGCCCAAACCACCTCTAAACGCTGGCGCCTTTTACCCACTCTCGATACACTAACACCAACTCTTCTAATCTTCATTTCGAAACCACATCCATCAACGTTAACCAATACCATCATCCTACGCATTCTCCTTCCGTGACGCTAATCTTCTTCAGGTCCTCTGTTTTGGCGCTTAACACTTCCCCAGTAATCGAAACACTTCTAACACATACCTTGACTTCTCCCTTCATGCTCAAGTAACGACTTTCCGCACAACATTCCTGACAACTTCTAAACCTACCACGCTGTTGAACTCTGTTCCTCACCGCTTTTTCGCACCTGTACCATCATTTAACATATCGGCTATATTTCAAAATCCGATACACCTTCCAAACTCACGTCACCCAGTTCAAAACCGTTCAATCGCGACTCGCCACCATTGACATCGTCCTGCACTCAAAATCTTATCTTGTCAATGCACCACGACACCTGAACATCTTCCATGAACCCATTACTGCATTTCCATACATTATCGAATTCACCTCCAACTCTTTTACAAAACTACATGGATATTTATCATGTCCTCTACTTCACTTGCTTGAGCATCTCATACTTGCCTTTTGCTCTATTCCATTTCGGTCCCTTTGACTTCTATTGCTGTTTTCCATTCTCGGTACCATTCCATGACTTTCTGCTTGACTCCGCACTCAAGATACTTTTTATACATATCATTAATCAAATAAACCTTGAACTTAGAGACGTTACAGATTTGCTTAATGCTTCGATAAAAATTTGAAAGAAAAATGAGTCTTGCTTGTTTGTTAAGTTTTCTATAGCTTGTTGAAAAAATGACAACAAACTTCTTTCATATATCGGCTGCTACTTGGTGGTTATATTGGAAAACAAATACTTCGGTATAAACAGAACTTCGTTCCATCGCTCAAAGAGTAAGTTGATCTGTTCAAGATAAAGAAAATGTGTACGCAGCTAACGTACAGTCGCAAGTGCACGGACAGCTTAAATACAGAATCTTTTCATCACAGGCATATGAGCCAAAAGAAACAATAACGATGTACCATCAAAATGAAATTTGCATAGTTTTTATTCTACTTGCGTTATGATGAAAAGTTTGCTTACACAAAAAATTCTTGTGATGACCCAAAGCACAAGCTTTCATTGTGTGCTGAAACAGGAAATTTTGCTATAGCATTTATTAGTACGTTATTCTTAACATTGAACGAACTTATGTTTTGAAATATGACAAATCAAGATACCTACAACAAAGACTTTGCTAAGAATTCTCAATAACATGAGACCAACCTGGGCCCCAGTAAAGCCATAACTTTTTAATAACAACAAGACATTCTGTACACGAATAAAATTTATTTTGGTGAGTGAATCAGTTCACTGCAGTATTAAAGAAAGTAGAATTCAATACATAACATGGAGGGACATTCGTTTCACTTTCTTTATCAATATACAGCCAATTATCCATTTTCTTCTTTGTCAGTACTTCCTGTATACGTGAGAATTTTGTGTACATCATCATGATGCCCAGCCCAAGTTTTGAAGTAGTCGGACATAGCCGTTAAGCCACTTCGGAGGTCAACATCAACCCAGAAGAACATTTGTTTTGTCTGTTTCAAAACACCAGATACATACGCGGTCTTAATTTACCATATAAGACATTTTATTTTGCTATCAGTTGAGTATTTTTAAGAAGAAGAGTTAAGAACGCATCACACGACGAACGCGAAAGTCGTTTTTTTTATAACATCCAAAACTTATTATAAGAAGGCCAGCAGACGACAAAGAAGTTAGTCTTGGAGGTATATAATAATTATTATTTGTAATAACAGGATTACGGCGTTTTATCAAACCTTTATTCGTTTGAGCTGACAGTACGATTGATAAAACATTTCGACATGTGGTTTATCGAATCCCTTTAAACCAAATTTTAGTCATCGATTCATGTAATTACCAGACTTTGTACACTTCAAATTAGATTTTGTATAAGTAAATTATATTACTTTTTTAGACAGGTGGAACCCGGCGTACATTTCCTTACATAAAATCAATTTCTGAGGTCACGCTATGGTACCTGTACAATATGTTTATAGTTACGTTGTTTTGATATGTTTGTTGAATATATATCCTGTGCCATTGGTGAAAGCTAGAGACAATTCTATCAAAATGTGCAATTCGACTAAAATAGATCAAATCAATTGCACAAGGAATTCCTCCGTTTCGCAAAATAATACAAAAGTAAGTATTATATAAAAAGTATTATAAGTCATGAAAATAAACTCGAGTGCTTTGTTGACTGCAAAGAGAAATGCATTCAAAGAAATACATACAAGCATGCGAGAAAAACGTACACGCGTTTGCTCTTTTGTATTACACAACAACGTTACATGCAGTGATTTTATCATGAAATTTTACATTTTGAGAATAAGCAAAACTATTATGTGCAGAGCATTTAATTAGCATTTTGTGGCTTCGTGGTAAGCTGTAAAGATAAACATTGCTATCCATAGTTATTTGGCAAAATCAAATAATCGTATGATAAAACATGCATAAAACGATTTCACCAATATCTCCGAATACGAACAAAAAATATCAAAAAGAAACGAGAAATTGTTTAGAACTACCATTATTTTATACATATTTACAATATCAAGTCATTTTCACTTGCCTGCTTTCTTCAAGATTTGAAGAGTACCATATCAAGAACTCTTTTTATATGTACCGAGATATGATATTTTCATCAATTTAATGAACTAGGCAACTACATGATATTCAACATTGTTTGTTCCTCGTGAAATTGGAATTTTCATAGAAACAGCAAATCTTGTGTTGGTTGCCTTGATAAGAACAAAACATAAAAATTACAACATTCCTCAAATTATGTTTACTTTATGTGGTGGCGTAAAAGAAAGCCCGTATATTTGGTCTTGCTATGCGAATATATCACAGTTCACACACAGTGGAAACTGAAAAATCAGTTCCTACAAAAATAAATAATGGCGATGTTCTCAAACTCATATATAAGACTAAAACTTAAAAGCTTATGCAAAAGTCGATATTTGTAAAACGACATCATTTTAAGTTTGGTCATCATTTGCAACATAAACATAAGCATAAGAAGAATTGACAGTTGATAATCTTTTGCAGTTATGCTCATGTTTATACTTTTGCCGAAAGTGAGAACCAGGATTTGAGCGTTATAATTTAGTTCCTCGTCTAAAAAGAACAAATTTTTGTTTTTAAAAATATTGCAACATATAATATACATAAATTTATGTATTTAATATGAAACCGAAGAAAAGTTTCTCAATTCCTCAAGAAACATTAATAACAACAATGGTGATCTCCACAGTTGGTGTCCTAACAAATGGTCTTCTTATTGTTGTTATTGTGAAGGATCCTTTAAACAAACCAAGACGAGGAACGTGGATTACTATCTTAAGCTTATCTATAGCTGATTTCACTGCATCTTTGTCCCAATTCATGATTGTTGGATTGGGTAGATTGTTCGAGGTCAAACCATCAGAAGCTGTCATTTATTCTGTCCTTTTCTTTTTGATGTTTGGGGCTGCGGGCTCATTTTTTCACTTGACATCACTCACATGGCAAACTTACATGATTGCAAAGTATCCCAAATACAGACATCAAATGTTATCTACGAAGAAAATTTACATATTATGCGCCACAGTTTGGTTGATTGCCATTTGCATGGCATTTGGTGAACTCACACCAATTTACAGCAAGAATAATGAACAGCCTATGTACACCTATGTCACGCTATATGCTGTCTTGGAAATCGCTGTTTTACTTCAGATCATATTGAAGTGTTTCATACTTAAGGTTGTATTGCAAAGTCGACAAGACACTAAAGTAAATGCTAAACAGTACAACACTAAACACTTTGAAATTGTAAAGGCAATCATTGTGCTGAATGTCTTACTACTGGTAACTGCATTTCCTTATTTTGTCGCCAAACAAGTGGAGTTTATTCAAAGGCTTGGAAAATACAAGGTGAATTGGCTTGGTTTTTCTTACTACTACGAACCAGTTGCCATGGTGAATTTCGCTGTCAATCCAATTGTGTATGCACTGAGGCTTCCAGTTTATCGAAACAGTATGAAGGCGTTGTTTAAAAAGACTAGAATTGTTTCCATTCAAAAACCAGGGCATTCAATCTTTTCACTTCGTACTAGTGCTAGTAAACCTGTATGATAGATAATATGTTCTAAATTCAATTTGATTAAAAATGTACGAATAGTGCTAATAGTTTTATTGGAAGAATAAATTCCAAAGTGACAAACAACTGTGTGGTCAAAAAAAATTATAACGATTATTACTACAATACTCATCACTTTTTTGATTCTACGTAACTTCAAAAGCGAGAGCAATAATTGTGAATACTTTAATGAGACCATAAATTAAGTAAAGCACGTACATCAGGTACCTGGAAATATAGCAGCTTTGCTGAGATGAAAACCTTGAAAAAAAGAAGAAAGATTTGTTATTTTCATCTTGGTATATTTGAAATGCCAGCGAAAAGTACGTATAGGAATTTGGGGGAGGGAGTAAGGCCAATATAAGCCTCTTGAGAGCTGAAATTAAATGTTTCTTTGCACTATAATAACAATGCTACACAAACTTCCCCCTTCTTCTGGACAATATTGCAACAAAAAAGGTGGGGGCAATTATTGTTTCCACCCGTTTACAGGAAATGAATTTTTAAAATCACTCACGTATGTGGGATGTACATGTGAATCCACCACATGCATGTGGACGTCACAAGGCCAATTTAAAAAAAAGCGGATTCAAAAATATCGAGATACGTGTTGACGGGTCATAAACATTATACCGACTGTATGAATACAAGTGATCAAATTGCATTAAACCATTCAGTCAATGCAAGTCATCCCAGAGACAAGAAATTAGAAGTTAGAAGAGTTGATTAAACTGTCTGAGATCTCACTATGGTACTCTCACGATATTTCCAAAACGTCTATCCTTCCTTTATTTACGGATTCCTTATTCTTGCAAGTTTGATCTCAGTATATCCAGTGACCAATACTGGTGATTTTTTGGAAACGCGCAATTCGACTCAACCAAATCATATAAATAACTCAAGGAATTCATCTGGTTTACGCAATCAAAGTGCTGTAAGTATATAATCTACTGCAGTTATTTTTTCTACAGATCTTATCACTATCTCATAGTACAAACGTTAAACATTTATAGATACAATTAAGAACTAGGAGATGTTCAAACTAGTTCATGATTCTCAGTGTACGACTGTAAAAATTACGATTTATCTATGTGCAATTATGAATGTATATGAAAACATTTGACGTCTTTTCCTCTTTCTATATTTCATATGAAGCCCATGAAGAGTTTTTCACTTGGCTATGAAACATTAATAACAACGATGGTGGTCTCCACAATTGGTGTCCTAACAAATGGTCTTCTTGTTGTTCTTATTCTTGTAGATCCGCTTAACATACTAAAACAAGGAAGGTGGATTACAATCTTAAGCTTATCTATAGCTGATTTCACTGCATGTTTGTCTCAATTCATGATTGTTGGATTGGGTAGATTGTTCGAGGTCAAACCATCAGAAGCTGTCATTTATTCTGTCCTTTTCTTTTGGATGTTTGGGGCTGCGGGCTCATTTTTTCACTTGACATCACTCACATGGCAGACTTACATGATTGCAAAGTATCCCATACGTAGCCGACAGATGTTGTCTACCAGAAAAATATACATATTATGTGCGACTGTTTGGTCGATTGCCATTTACATGGCATTTGGTGAACTCACATCAATTTACAGCAAGAAAAATTAACAGCTTATGTACACCTATATCACGCTATTTGCTGTTTTGGAGATTGCTGTTTTGATCCAGGTTATTGGGAAGTGTTTAATACTTATAATAGTATGGCAAAATCGACAAAACACGACAGTAAATGCTAAACAGCACAATAGAAAACATCTGGAAATGGTTAAGACAATTATCTTGCTAAATATCCTATTACTGGTAACTGCATTTCCTTATTTTGTCGCCAAACAAGTGGAGTTTATTCAAAGGCTTGGAAAAATACAAAGTGAATTGGCTGGGCGCTTTTCTTACTACTACATACCAGTTGCCATGGTGAATTTCGCAGTCAATCCAATTGTGTATGCACTGAGGCTTCCCGATTATCGAAACAGTCTGAAGGCGTTGTTTAAAAAGAACAGTTATATTTCTACTGATACAGCACAGCAATCGACAACCTCGTTCCGTTCTGCTGATGAAAGGATTGCTTTGTAGATAATATGCATTGATCAATATGCATTGATCATATATAACTTGATTACAAATATATATAATGATTATTTTTTAATATAGGTAATAACATAAACTTTAGTGGAATTTGTAGTTATACTTTTGTGTAATTTTTAGTGTAATGTTTGTATTTGTAGCCAATTTTGCCTGCAACAAACTATTTTGATAACCACATCAAAACATAGTACAATATCGTATCTAATAATACGTTGTCCTCCTTGCTGCTTATTTACATCTTTACGAAGAAATTCTCTACATTGAATTTAGCGTGAGTAGAAGCTTTGTGTAACAGGTAAAACTTGGCAGCTTTGTTGCATTGAAAATTTCACAAGAAAAAGCAAGTTGCCCTTACAGACTTAACTTCTTTTAAAATGGCAGAACGTTTTTCATTGATAAAACAGCATGGTCAGCAATCAGCATGTATTTGAAAATTCAGGCAGAATCGTTTTAATAATACTTTATAGTTTGCAAGAAAAGTATGTTTAACAATCTATCAATATGTAGCATTTTATCTGCACTAGCAAAAGAGGAAGGCAGAAATGAGCATAGTCTTAAAATTCACACATACACATTATATTTTCATACAATTATATTTGTATAATTTTAGTGTTTGATAGAATAAGCTGATAATAAACGAACAATGAACAATACACTTTAATGAATACATTTATTTATTGTCCATAAAGATTTTTGAACGTCTTCTTTTACAAAGCATTACTCTAGAATAACCACATCTTTTTTTCATATGGTGACGCAGCTGACGCTTTTCCTTTTTGTTTTCCAGTTCAATTGGATTCTCCAAAGATTCGCCATTCAACCACAACCATTTTGCACAGCAGGAAGAAAAAAAACACAATATGAAGAAAAGAACAAGGCCATATTTCAACCCTTTCATACTTTACACAACAGCCCAAGAGAAGCTTGACGTCCAATTCTTCAAGTTTCAAAGTAGATTTACTGCCAGTACATCATTCCTATGGCACAGCTATATTTATACCATCAAGCATCAAGTGTTTTTAAACACAGACATCAAGCTTCTTAACAGCTTGAGTTTACTAAATGGATTCGGGCTGTTCTTAGTTTGGATAATACCTTTCAAAGTCTTTAAGCAACAAGAGAACACTTGACAGAAAAAAAATGATGAGAACCGAAAGCCTATTACTATATGTTGCTTTATTGGTTAAATGGGTATTCAGTGTTCTATGTTTTGCCAATAATTTCGCTATTGTTTGGTTCATTTTAGACACAGCTTGAGCATAATTATATTTTGTATCGGTGTTCAACTGCATTGAAGCATCAAGTGCTTTTATAAACTGTAGTGACAACGTGTGTTAAGTACGTAGCGTTGCCAGATGGAATAGAATCTTCTAACTTTGCAAAACAGCATTCACAAAAAATGAACATTCGAAACTACTTGTTTTTATACATACGAAATTTTTTGTCTCAGTAATCTTCACATGCTCCTTTAAATAAAATCGTTACAGTTGTACGTGTGTTAAATAAATTTTCATATTTTTATTAAATCATTAATGACTTTGAGCTGACCTACACAATTTTAGCCTTACTTGTGATAAACAAAGTACATAAAGCAGTTCCTGTTATACAGATGCTACAGTTCCATTAAATAGAGTGCTCATACAGTATAATCACCGCTTTTTTAATCAATAACAGCTATTTTAGTTATTTCTTGTTGGAAAATATCTTCAATTATAAATCCCCACGTAAAGGAGCTGAAAATGTAGTAAATAGGGGTTATATAATCTATACATATATACATGCCCATTATATGTTGGCCTATTGCATTTTCTAACTTTAGCTTTAACTTCATAACGTAAGAATAATGTATTACATTGTATTACTGTCATCCTATATGCTCATTGTCTATATAGTTAGTAAAACTATGTAGTAGAATTCCCAGCATTCATGTAATCTTAGAACTCTCTATGACAAGTTCATGACATAACATATAAGTTCATTTTGACTTCTTGTAATATCAGCTGTTTTTTAAATGCTCTGAGCAATTAAAACATTAGAGAGTCATATATAGTTGCGCATGAGATGCGTCAAAACTCTATGCATGTGATGGATATGACGGATCGTAGAGTTAAAAATACTTTTTTGTTTGTTTTATAAATATTTTAAAGGCGTCGTTCAGTTTGGACTATTCAAGTGGAAAAAGATGTTTGAATGTTAAAACCTAAAATATACAGTGTATGAACGAAGAGTGTTTGATTGTTGTCTTCAACTTATTTTTTATTATTTTTTGCTTTTCCATCTAAAATTCAACGACGAACAAACCCATGTATACATGTTTGACTTTGAAAAACGGAATTATTTTTCTCATGCCATTGAAGCTATTGTACTCTGGTATATAGACTCTGTTTTACGGTCACCTTTCATAGTTCTTTAAAACATAATTGTATTTTCTAGTTGACATAGAATTTTTTCTTTTTCCTTTCAAATCTGCATGTCATTTTTATTGTATGATTCAATTATGACAGATAAATTAATGTGAAAGTCCATAACATGCGTGGTTATTTTATTGGTTAATATTGCCTGGTATGACGACATTGTAATTTTCAAATAAACATTTTATGAAAGTTTTGTTGACGTCATGCTTGATATTTGAAGCTACGATAATAATTTTCATTAGAACACCACGTATTAAATATTTCTAAAATTGATTTATATGTTTGCTCTTGTTTAGGCTATATATTCACGATGTGCTGTGGGAGGATGTCGGAACTGCCAGTGTCCATTCCTAGGATATGATTACAAAGATATTTCTTTGATATCGAAGTTGATATCCGGTACCACAGATGGCAAGCACAAAACGCATGACTTCATACACCTCATATCAAGTTTCTCACAAACCAAAGTTATTTCGTCTACGTATATTTCTAAAATTGATTTATATGTTTGCTCTTGTTTAGGCTATATATTCACGATGTGCTGTGGGAAGATGTCGGAACTGTCATTGTCCATTCAAAAGATATTTCTTTGATATCGAAGTTAATATCCGGTACCGCAGATGGCAAGCACAAAACGCATGACTTCATACACCTCGTATCAAGTTTCTCACAAACCAAAATTATTGTCGCGATATAATGTCAAGTCAAGTCAAGTAAAGTCAAGTCAATATAAAACATATAGTTATAGTTTTATGAAATCACAAGACGTACGTTGACAGAAGAATTAACGCCAAGTGTTATAAATTTAAGGTAAGGGAAGGGTTATTCAAGAAATTTGCGGTAACTTGCGTTTAATGTTTACGTAATTCCAAAGCCATCATCAGAGTATAAATATAATATATTAATATATTAATATATTATACTAATAACAACTTATACTAATACAATACAATAATAGTCAAAGCACCGCGTATAACGGTCAAAGCACTGCGTATAACGGTCAAAGCACCGCGTATAATGATTAAAGCACCGCGTATAATGCTTAAAGCATCGCGTATAATGATCAAAGCACCGCGTATAATGGTCAAAGCACCCATTGAAATAAATTTGCACGACCTAAGACAACTATGGCTTCCATAAATACAACTTATACTTATTATACTTATACTTATTATACTAATACAACTTATTTGGATTAATATATTATGTATGTTTACGTAATAATCAGTAATCCGTCTGCCATCGAGAATGGTAACTAACGTGATAATTTGTCTTTAATTTAATTGGGAAACACGCGTAATGTCTTTCAAACTACCATTTCAAGTCGTTGTGTGTGTTTACAATATCGTACATTAAGCGTGAAGGACAATATATAATCCAAACTAATTTGTTTACGGCTAAAACGTACTTAAACGTATTATGAAGGGTTTGAATTTTCTCTGTCAATTGCATACAAAATATTTGATCGTGATTCACTTGATGTAGTTTATATAAGATTGCTTTGTTGGAAACGAAATGTATAACAGAGTAAACTTAAAAATGCTGTGGAAAATCCTTAAAGCTATTGAATTTAATAACGCTTTTGTAAATGATGTTATGATCGTCTTCACGGAAATGAAAAAATATACATTAAAACTTTTTTTATTTAAAACTTGGCTATTCCAGAATTTTCTACATTTCACGCAAAGAAACTTTGCCCCATTTTCAATTTTTTAATGCTTTTTTAATGTCAGAGTTTGTCTTACTTTCTTTACTTTAAAAATTTATGAGGTCACTGCATGCTGTAACATGGTCGATATAGAAAAACAATCTCTCAGAAGTAGAAACCACATCTCAAATTTAGGAACAGCCCGCAAAGAAAAATTGAAAGAAACTTTTTTAAACGTGCAAAATTTATGCTTTTGCGGTGTTACACACAATGGTTACACCTGTCTTTGTTTAATCATCATAAAATGATTTAAAATTTCAGCTGGAATAATGAACTTTACAACGGCCATCCCATTTATCGACCCTTTCCCCTTTGAAACTTCCAACATCGTGCTGCCAGAATGTGTCCTTGGAATTCTACTTAACTCCTTATTACTCATAGTGATACTACAAAAACCAATAATAAATATCCGGCGAAGAGGTTGTCTTACCATTATCAGTCTAGCACTTGCTGATCTCACGTCAAGCATTGGAGGTATGGGGTTATGTTTTTATACAATCAAAGAACGCCAAGACCCTGCCAACCGCTGGCCAGTAAAATCGTTGCTTTGCATAGTGCACGTTGGCTTTTCAGCTTCGTTTCTGATGCTGTTTCTGTTGAGCGTCGAAGTTTACATCATCACGAAGCGACCGCTGACAACACATATTATTCTAACGAGGCGCAAGATTCTTATAGCAATCGTTTCTTTATGGCTTGTCTCGCTTGTGATTGGTTCTTGCAACTTTTGGACTGAAGATTATCCATTCCTTGCCCTCAGTATCGTCCTGGTCCTGCTCGAGTTTTCAGTCATGGCAGTTACAATCTTTCGGATCATGGTCGTTTATAACATAAGACGAAATAGACGCGAGGTCACGGACCTTATGCCCAGCGGTTCAAAAAGTAACAATTCCGGACTTACCGCTTCGTTTCTAATACTCTTCTTCGTGTATTTGGTAACTGCATTTCCATACCTCGTAGTAGAACAAGTTCATTTCTTGTATCATCTAAAACCAGAGTGGAATATTAGTTTTGATCACGCAGCGATATCCTACACATTGGTGTTTGTTCACGTGAACTACTTCATTAATCCAATCATCTATGCATATCGTATGCCCCACTATAGACAAGACCTCATCTCTTTGTTTGTATCGTGTTGTAAAACAAAAAGAAAATCAAACGTACCAAACACACCAAGCTCAGACAAGAGAACGTTTGAAGTCTTTAACATGAGCGCAGCGTTAAGAGCGAGCAATGAAAACAACAGCATAAACGTTTAAACACCCATGGCTGAATATCAGTGAAGAACAATTTGCATCATCATGGTTTGTGCACGTCAAACGGTACATTCATTGGAGGGATTTTGATGTTTAGATAAAATAAATTCTATATTACCCTCTCAGGAAATGCTGCATGTTATTTCTTTCATCGAGTTTTATCTTATAAAGAAAAACTTTCGTAGATTCTAAAAAGGCCACGGCAAACAAAGACCCCTTAGAAGTGCTAGCAGTCATTGTAAAACACTCAGCCTTCCTCAATGAAGCGCAATTCACCACAAGAGGCGTTACGGACATATACAAGTAGAAATAATTAATGTTAAAAAGTGTTTGACAAAATTAATATGCTACAAAATTTTGTTTGGTTGCATGGTGATGAAAAATAATCATACATTGCCTTTTTTGAATGAAGTATGTTGTGAGACGTTGATCGATTTTTTGATTTTCTTTAGAAGGGAGAAATGGTAGCTAAACTTTGTCACAACCAATTATTAATAGAGTTCTAAAATCCACGAGTTCAAGGATATTGTTTGACATGTCAGGGTCGACTTTCATACCATTACACTACAAGAAAGTACATCAGTCATGAGAAAACGATATTCTTTTTATAACACAGGGTCGACATTCACACTATATATACTTTATGCAAGACGATCCAATGAAATACCACTATCGATTTCAAGGTGGCGAGTATTAGCTTCATGTCAGAGACCCATTGAAAAATTGTTTTAGTTGAGCAAAAAAGGAAAAGTCTCATGATTGAACCTTGCGAAGATATACAAATTTATTGAAGGTGAAGAATGTTAACGATACACTTCATACAATTGTTTTTTGTTATGTATAAAAACAAACATCAAAGCGTATTACTGCAAATTTCTAGTTGTTCATTAAATTTAGATAAAATAACCTCACGGTGTGTTGGTAATAAAAGTTATCAAATCAGCTGATTAATGCATCAAGGCTCATCTTCATTCTTGCTTGGTATTTGGGAATCCTTTGGGAATAAATGTAATCTTTAAGACACTTCATCGCATAGAAAGAGTGCCCAATCTTTACAAAGGTGATTCCAAAATCATCAAAATTGCACAAAAAATTGTTTAGAGTAACAAAAGGTTTACATGGCTACCATAACCGTCGTATATTTTTGTAGGTCGCCGTCAAAACGAGTTCTAGATACATGTTTTGGTTTCTTTTTTCATGAACTAATGGAGTATGGACTATGGACAGTAAGGTATACATCGAATTCCGTGATTTCAAAAATCAGTTAACGTGTAAAAAACATGCTATATATCAAAACAAAGAATGAAATCCACATTAATATAGGCAAAAAACCACACAAGAGAACTGAAAATGAATCAACGAAAACCTTTATTTTTCATGTATCAACGAAAACCTTTATAAACACCGTCGAATCTCTTACGTACTCACGAGTATGTAACAAAGAATGCTTAACAAATCTGGTAAATCCAAATCCTTCATTTTCAAGCTGCTGTGGTCTTCTGAATTGTTTGTTTCCCGCTGGTATCAACAAACATGTTTCATTTCGCCGTTCCCAACAATTATCCTGCTGATCAACAAGTACAAAAGAAACTCGCTTGGTAAAAGGCCAATCCAGGCATCCATCAAGATCCCCTTTCATTAAATTTATGTAAACCCCCATGTAACCAGCAAACCCACGTGGAGCTTCATTGAGATGTACAAATAATTTCATTTTGTATCTATATCTCGAGTAAAATGGCTCACTTTCAACAGACCCATAGGTTTGCTGACGCTTGGCTGCTGCCAACTTGGCATTAAATCCATCAATCTTCAATATGTAATCTGCCTCTGATTCCACATGATTTTGAAATTGGTGCAAAGGTGGAGACAATCGAGCATCAGATTTCAATTGCAAAGTCCTTAATGTGGCCTCCATGAATTGTATTCTTTCCTTGAACTAATTGCAAATAAATTATTTCAAAAAAATCACAATCATTACACTGATTGCTGAAAACAAACATTAATGTATAGTACACAACATTTCTTGTATATATGACAAAATCTATAGATATAGATCAGATGATGCACCACCTTAGCAGTAACTTGCTGGGTAACTTGTTTTAAATCATTTGCATGCTGTAAGAAAAAAAATCAATTTATATTTAACATCATTTAAGGCAAGTGAAAAGATATTTATCCATAAACAATGATAAATTGAGCAAATGTCAAAATATATTGGAAATGTTTACTTTTTAAAATACCTCATACACAATTTAGTTAAAAAATTTTATTCTTTGGAAATTAATAACTGCATTGTACTTAAGTCGTTTTTAATGTAGACATTTGTACTTTTTGTGTGACTTGTGAGTGACACCACCAAGCACAAGTATTTATTCCATCATATTTTACTGGATTAATAAATACAGCAATTTTTCATGTACCTCAATTTTCATCTTTTTTAAGTCATTTTCATGCTACATAAGAGAAATGAAATACCTACATTAAAAAAACCTGTGTTAAGAAATAAAAGTAAAACCTAAAATACCTTCAACTTTATTTCTTTTAATCTTTTCTCATTCTAGATTAAGGTAGAAATATGGCTATTTGACTGAAAGACTCAAACTATGAGAAGTAAACTATGATTAATAGCACTAAGAAAAACTTTACATACATATTATAAAAGCTGGGTTGTAAGGTATAATAACTTCCTTGCTACCTGCTGTTCGATAGTAACAATTTTCTCTTCAAGAGTAACCACTTTTTGAAACAAGTTTTCAAACGATGACTGATCAACAAAATCCTCAAAAGCAAAACCAGATTTTTTCATAAAGCTGCATGTTTCACTATGATCCTAAAATCAAGAAAGAGCATAACATTATGAGATAACAATTGCATACAGCCCTTATCAACTTACACAGAAATTTACTCATTTAAATGGCCATAAAACACATTGACGAATTACTATTTAAAGGGCCTGTAGGCTAAGACAAAGTTGTTGGACTTTAAGTCAGATATGTATTCCTTCCATTAAGTTCAGTGTCTTGATGACAGCTGCAATCCTTATGCTCCATGCCTTTGCATTTCCCAACTATTTTTTGTAACTCATAGTATCAACAATAAGGAATAAATTGTGAAGACCCACTACTCCTTCAGTTCTGAGCATCATGCACTTGAACAGTAGCCCATATAGTTTTCAAACAGCATAAATGGACTAAATTAAGAACATTTAACAGTCTAAATACAAAGAGCCTCTCAAAAGCCAGGGCTTGTAGGCTTTAGCCTGCTTAGCGTACTGAGTATTCCGCCTCTGATAAAACATCTCACCAACTCCATAACTTGTTACCAATTCATTTCATACCTCCAGAAACAAACTGAGACAGCCCTGCCAATTACATCCTTCATAGCAGCAATTCACTTTTAATTGTTTTATGAGTCTGTTGGCAGCATGATCATCAAATATCTTCAATTTGTTTACAAGAAATCAATCTTTTTATTGGAATCTAGTAAGCGAGTATATTTAAATACTCCCACAACGTATGTTACAAAATGAAAACAAGAGAGACTTAATGGGAATGAAATTGATTTAATACCACTTCACGAGATATTTTTATCCTGCAACTTGGGCATCTAGGATCAGTCCTGCATAAACAATAAAATTTTATTTTAATACCTTCACAAAGAAATATCAAACAAGTATTAAAGAACGACCTACTTAAGAATGTCAGAAATGCATAAAGCACAAAATTGATGACCACAATCACAAATTTGCACTGGATCCCGTAAGACCTCCAAACATATACCACATTCAAACATGTTTCTTGCTGAATTTTGGTCTTCAAACCATTTCATAGGATACCCTGAATGACCGTTCGTAGCCATGTTTTGATATTTCCTAATAAATGCGTCACAGACTCACAACGGGGAGTAACCTGAGCATTGTAAATGATCCAGGATGATTATCTAAGGAGGGCTCTATTTTGGATTAGATTGCGTTATTTGGAAGTTCCTGTGCCATGTCAGAAGTTTTTTTTTGTTGTATAAATCTTTCACTTTCAAACCATGGTTGGGACTTGGAAGATATTTTTTATAAGAGTTCTCCATTAACTGCACTCTCTCGATACTTGTGTGCACCCTTCCCCGAAAACCATGGAACCAAAGTGAATCAAAGGAAATGCTATGCTTCTTTGAGATTAATTGAGCACTCCCACTAATAATTAACAGTATAAATGGATGATTACAATTAAACTAAACGCAAATCATATTATACACATGGTCATTGCAACAATTATTTTAGCAAAAATATCATGTCAGGAGCTTCGCTCAACATCATTCTTATTATTTCGAGCCAAACTCTTCCATCCAATCAGCATATTTCTTAATATCGGCTTCAGAAACTGACTTTGAAACTTTCTTCAATGCTTCCTTAAAATCATCCATGTTAACAGGTAAGTCCAACTCTTCTTTCGGAAGATTACGGATCTGTTCGGGAGTCAGACCATGAATGCGTCTTCTCATCGACATCATAGACGCATCTCTATTTAAGTAGTGAAAAAAACATAATGGCAGTGAAATTTAAATGCAGCGAGCTTGCATGGTGCCAGAAAATACAGCTAAGTTTTATACGGTGAAATTTTTCAATATCTTTAACAACTTTTACAATGTTTTTAACCATTAAAGAAATATAAGGAAATAGGCATTAGGACAACAACTAATCTCCTTAAAAAATTTATCTGCATATGATTGCTTGACTAAAACTGTGCGGTGCATACAAGGTATAAAACAATAGATCCTTTAACATTTCACACGTATACATTTAAGCACAAATGGCTTCAATTTATAAATCACCTGCAAACATTGGTGATGTCAGCCCCACTATAACCTTCCATACTTTTAGAAACCTCTTCCAGGACAACGTTTTCAGCCAACGCCACATCGCGAAGACATATCTTCAATAATTCCAGTCTGCCCTTGGCTACATAGAACATGACAATGAGAAAAAAAAGAGGTACAACATGACGAAATAAAAATCAAAAGAACGCTTGTAAGAGAAAGAATGAAAGACAAAACGAATGAAAAATATGATAGGTAAGAATAAACTATTGTTTATTACCAAAAACTAGTGAAACTAAACATGAAAACTATGGCAATGAATACCAAATAAAATATTTTGCGAGTGTTGTAAAATACGGTCAATAACGGCCAGCACCTGTTGGTAAAGGGATATATATTCGTTTTTCGAGGCGCCTTCTCAAAGCTTCGTCTAAATCCCATGGAAAATTCGTGGCTGCTAGGACCATAACGAGTTTACCATCAACGGACGTTGCCCCGTCAACACCTAAAACGTAATAAAGCCCACAGAGATTATAAATACGTCATGCTGTATAATAAATCTCTATGATGTAGACTTTGTCTCTATAGACAATAAAACTTTTAAACAGTGAAAGCGGCTGGTTCTGAGTAATACCGTCCATTTGAACAAGAAGTTCTGACTTCACTCTACGACTGGCCTCGTGTTCATTCTCCGTGCCGCGTCTACTGCAGATTGAATCGATCTCATCAATAAACACAGTGCTTGGTGCATAGAACCTAGCCTGTAGTGGAAATATCATCAGAGAACGGGGGGAAATTATCTACATTTAATCAATAAATCTGATCTCATTACAAAGGAAAACAAAATCTCACCATTTCAAAGAGTAATCGCACGAGTTTTCAGACTCTCCTCGATACTTGGAGGTAAGTGTTGACGAAGATACATTGAAGAACGTTGTACCACATTCTGTAGCAACTGCCTTGGCTAACATTGTTTTTCCTGTGCCAGGAGGGCCAACCATACACACACCCTGTGGAAGAGGAGAGAAGGACTATTTATGGCTCAAAGTAAACTAGTAACAATATATTTTTTTAACTTTCCATGAAAAAATACATTGAAATGACATTAATATAAGGCAGCATTTAGATTTCCACCTTCCAAGGTCTTCGTAGTCCAGTAAAATACTCTGGCATAAGCATTGGCAAGACTACAGCTTCTTCAAGCAGCTTTTTAGCTTCATCTAATTCAGCTATATCTGACCTCAATAAGAAAGACGAGATATTCAGTTATTATGAGATCACTGGAATGGGCAAGTTATAAATAAAATTGAAATTCAAGACTATTGAGCAAAAGTTAATAAATATATACCAGCGAACATTAGGATTTCTTTGCAATATATCTCTTTCAAGTCCCTCAACAAGATCTTTGTCATAACCTGACGAATCAAACTTCTTTTCATCTTCAGAGTCTTTTGATTCTGGCTTTTCATCATCCTAAATTTTCATAATGTCATTCCTCATACATGTATTTAATTATAAATAGAAATCAGTCGATGGGTAGAAACAAAAGATGCTAACTTTTTTAGCACGACCAGCACGATGATTGTCTCTGTCACTCTTAGGATTCTTGGACGGTGCACTACGGCCACGTTCAGATGACTTTACCTCAGACCTCCGTGGGTTTGATACTTTTTTTGAAACAGGTTTTGCATTTTGTTCTTCACGTCTAACTGGCCTGGATACAGGTCGAGCATTCCTATAAAACAAGGATATTTTAATTGCATAAATACATACTTGAATTACTTGAAGATGAAGTGTTTTTAAAAATCTTTCGAAAAACTGGATTCATATTAATCATACCTTTCGTATTTTTCTCCCGTTCAACAGGAGTTGGTGGAGGCCAAACCTCTGGGTCTCTGGTCGGAGCTTCATTTGCATTAACTCCTCCGTACTGTGTTGGAATGGGATCTTTCTTAAAGTTGTTCAATGTCTTATTCAGATCATTCACTTGTTCATACTCTTGTGTGAGCTCTTGACGTAACTGTTGTACGTAGGTAAGAAAATTATACTTCACATGATGAAAGGTTTAACTCAAAAATTTTGAAAGGCAACAGTTATCCCATTATTTACGGTAAAAATTTATATTTATCATACCTGTTGCCATTTCTGCTTTCGTACTGGATCGACTATACGTGTGATATACTTCTGAATTTGTTGTAAGACACCTTGGAAGTACACCAAAGACGTCACGTAATTTCCAAGCAAGGCATATTCCCTGGCCATTTTTACATTTTCAGCAATCTCTTCCATGTTATATATAGAACTATTATAGTACGGTACAAAGTTGAGATCACGTTAAATATTATAAATTGTTATGAAAGATAAGTCAACGATATCAACGGTCTATGAGCTCATGAGAGATGCTTTTGAACGAAGGCAACGACTTAATTCCATCAGTCAAATTGATAATTTCAAAATGGCTGTAATTTTGCAGGGTTTGTTAATGAAAAGGCACATCGTCCTGTATTGATGCATCAAAATTATTTTTATTGGACAATATTTAGTTCATTTTCACTGTAGCAGTACTTTCCAAACTATTTGTTAACCAGTTTCAACAACATGCCATCATCAAGGGGTATTTTCGCTGCAGAAGAGATTGAAAGTACTTGTTACTTTCCTTCTACAGAAGTTGTAACGGCTGTGGAATTTAGTCCTTATAAAGATACATCAAAACTAATTGCTTATGGTGGAGAAAGTCGTGTATGTATTGGCGCATGTATATTTAATGATGAAAACCTACATGATTTTAAATTTGAGCACCAAGTCGATATACTGCATGGTACCAGGGTTGATGTCATCTCTTGGTCACCACAAAGCACTACTAATCAGTATCCTGCTCTACTGAGGTAAAGACACGCATTTCTCAGAACTGAACTCAAGGTATTTGTGTGTGTGTGTGTGTAGGGGGTTGGGTGGGGTGAAATGCTATGCACAAATTCAAATAAAAGTAAACAATTTACGATTTTAGTATTTTTTTTATTGTTTAGGTTCTGCACTGCTGGGGGTGATCGAAAGTTGAGATGTTTCTCAGTAGATTCAAAGCATAATTCTATTGTACAAATTTTTGAAGGACACAAGAGCTACATCAATGATTGTATTTTTGATCCTGTCCAAGGCAATGCAATTGCCAGCGTGAGTGGTATGTTTCTTTTTAGTAATTTTTCGTTTCAAGAGTAGATGTAGGTCATTATGGGTTACACATACTGTAAAAACTTTTTCAATTTCTAAAATTGCAGATGATCACACATGTCGATTATGGGATGTGGAAACTAGGCAGGAGATAACACAATTTCGACTTTTGTCCCCTGGTGTTTCTGTTAAATGGATCCCCAACGAACCAAACAAAGTAAACAACAAAATTTATTAAATTAAAAGAACTGGTATCAGTACATTGGTTATTACCAAACCTAAATGATTACTTAAAAATGCCTTAGTTACTGGTTGCTCAAAAGAATGGCACTGTTAAAATCTATGATATTGCAAGTCATCGACCATTCATGTCATTCAGTACTTTGGCTTCACCTTTAAAGTGTGTTGATTGGTCGATAGCTAATCCTATCAGAGTTGGTGGTGTTGTGTCAAATGAATGGGAAATTTGGGACATATCACAATATAGGTATTATACATGATTAAGTAATTAACCTTTCGTTATGTAAATCTGGTGCTTAACTAGATTCTTTTCTATTTGTACATAGTTCACCTCAAGCATGCAAAGAAGCTCATATTGAAGGAGCATGCAATTTCAAGTACGCTTGCATTGATGTTTTGATAGATTTGATTGTTGATTTATGTGCCAAGATGCACTACAAAGGCTTCTGAATTAAACTGATTAATAAACTGATGACTCAATGTAGATGGTGCAAGTTGACAGATGGAATATTTGCCACATCTGGTTATCCTGGAAACCAGATCAAGGTGTTCCAAGTTGGTCATCACAAGGTTAGAGTTGTACATTAGTGTTGTATATAGTCCACACATTTGAATAAAACCAGGAGTGATAAGATATCCCTATGCCATGCTGTTATTATAGAATCCAGTCACTGCAAATCTTAAAGTTGGAGGTGGTTTGTCATGGCACTGCCACTTGCCTATCCTGGCAGCTGGAGGGGATCGTGCAGTACATTTATGGCGCTTGGAACTTTAAGACATTTTACTTTTGAAAGAATGATTATTCTAACACTTAAGCATCAATGGCATTGATACAAAGATGTGGAAAGAAGTGCCAAACACTTAAGTAAAACAATGCATGAAGTATTGTTGGTCCAACATGAACCCTGTTAAGTGTTTTGTTTATGATGAGAATGTTTCTTCATTTTCTATGTCAACAGTATTATCAAGCAAATACATTCATTGCCCTATTGCCATCTGCAGACATATCTATTGTGTGGGAATATTTACAGTGTAAAAATGAAGTTGTCTTAAAATGTTTCTATTTACATTGAATGATTAAATTTATTGCTGCATATGATACATGGTCTAAAAATATTAAAAAATTATAATTTCATTTCATAGCTGTTGGTCTTTAGATGAGCACAACATCCTGAAAAATGAAACAAATAGATTAAAGTATATTTTCACCTTACCAAGCATAAGTAATAAAAAAAATCATAATACTGTAATAGCAAATAACAGCATGTTGTAAATTATGTAAGCAAGTCTTATAATTGTCTACGTATTGATTTCAAAAGCGATGTCTACACGTCAGAAATCGAGTCACGTATATGACAACTTGCTTTTCATCTGCCTTTTGTCCTTTACACTCAATGCAACATTTGAATACATGAATGCCTAAACAAAAGGTTTAGCAAAAGCAGGATTTTACTTCTTTAGTAATGTACCGAAACACGTAATGCTTGTGGTGATTAAAATATTGTTACAAAATAGGAAACTTGTTCATTACGTGACTCACGAGAGATGAATTTCCTCGAACTACCGGCAAATTTCGAAAAATTATTCCAGTCAGCTCTGTGTAATATAATCATGAAGATGAAAAATTCATGTACATAAACAACTGCTATCCTTTGGTCACCAACTGCGACCTGTGCGTGGTCACTAAGAACGAAAACAAACTTACATAATCCTCCTCGGAAGAACAGTTTTGTTCTTCCGATTCTTCAACTTCTAATATGCTATCCTTGCAATACTCTTCAGCTTGAGACCGACTCATATCTGCATCATCGTCCGCGAATGGATGAAAGAATGAATCCAAATTTGAAGTGCCAGCATCTACCTTTGAAACCTCGTCGAGAATTTGTACATCAGTGTTGGTATCTTTATAATTTGTTTTTGATTTCGATGATGATTGTAGAAAAGTCTTTTTGCCTTCTTCTCGGCCATTGTTGTCTTCAATTGCGGCTTTATGATTCAAACTAAATTTTTCAATGCTACTGAAAGGTTGCTTCCTACTACAGGATGCTGTTGAAGCATCACGTGCAATACCATCATGATTATCACCACTTTCTCCGTTAGATCCTTTTTCTAATTCAGAAAAAGATGCCGCATACTCTTTGTCTACAGAACCACTATAGATACGGGACGTGATTTTTGCTCCAGTACATTTTGATTTAGTTTTTGTATTGATTATTGGACGTCTTTTTTCGGTTGCTTTCAGCCAGGATGGACGACAATATAGTGCACTTCGTTCACGTCCTGAACAAAAACGAAAGGAATAAGACTTGACGCTATTCACAGCCTCATATAGAAAATAAGAGCCTGGGGACGAGGCTGCGCTAATCACCTCACTTTTCAGAAGCATCGTCTTGGGAAGATAAAACATGTTGAAAACATTGTTACAGAAAACTTATTTTCACAATCTCTACCTCTTTTTGCTATAATCTTGTTTGATTTTTCACAACTGTAACCCGTTCTACCGTCGTCAAAAACAGCGTTATTATCAACATATTTCTCAGTAGAAGCCAATGAACATGATAATCCTTCTTGACTTGTCCGAGGTGCTTTGGATTGTCTACGTATGAAAAATCTACGTTGTCGTTTACGTGACGGATCTCGTCGGCAATGATCACTTCGAGAAACTCGCGTGTTCAACGCGTAACAGGATTCGCTAAAAGGACCTTCACTTTGATCATCATTGTCAAGCGAAGATTCATCAACATCTTCAGAATGATCGGCCTGATAATTTAAGGGTAGAACTTTGAGAACGTTGTGGGAAGCAGGTTTTCTGCACGTCCCGACACGTAGCAATTCCAAATCCGAGAAATGGAGTTTCTTTATCTTCTCGTCAATAAACGGATGATAAGGATAAGTTTCTGAAGTAAGGACTACTGATGGATAACCAGATTCTGCTAAAAGTCAATCATGCGTTGTTAAACAAGCAATCAGTCTGTAACAGTATTCACATCAAATCTCAAACCTCGTGAAAAATTCCCATGAGATGAAATGAAACCACTCGCACATTCCGGAGCCAAGAACGGATGACGAATTGCGTCCATTGGTGTAAGACGCAAACCTAGAAAAAACACAATACGCATGACAGATATGAGTTCCATTACAGTGCATAAAGTTTAGGATTTTTTGCATTAAAAGGGATTGAAAGCCGGAAAAGGAACACTGGTGTTGCCCTATCGTCATGAAAACAATAACTTTGTTCAATTCTCTCAGCGATAAACGATGTGCACTTACAAGGGTCGAATGCCAAAAGTTTCGTCACAAAGTCAGCGAAAATGAAGTCAGTCGATTTCAATTTTTTCATAACGTTAACAACTTTTTCACAATGACCTATCAAGCAAAGTATGAAAAATAGGAACTGGGAAACATTAAAACTTATGATTAACTGCGCATGTGTACCGTGTACCAATGAGTTACGAGAAACATATTTCTTAAAATCTGTAAAATATTTTCCCTCCTGGTATGGAGACAAAGGTAGTGGTCCTAACAGTGAATGCATCTAAAACAGAGACGTTGTTTTGTGAAATGCAGCTTGCGTATTATTTTTGCCAAAACTATATTGCTTCCTTATAATTTATTTTTTCTACACAACTTTTATAGCTAGATTATCTTAAATAGCATTAACAAGTCTAACCCATATTTTACAAGTCTAATCAAGAATATATTGAAGATCATACTTGCTCCAGTATTTCCTCTTTGAAGTCCCGAGAAATAGCGGTTCTCCCAGATAAAGCTAAAAACAATTTAAAAAAAAAACACGCTATTCTTATTTTTCTGCTATTCCCACAACTTTATACTTCATATAATTTGTTATAACTCATGCTGTTCTGCAACTTATTCTTAAAGCACTCTGCTTCAAAACAAATGTCTCTAATCATTGGTTTAATGTTGAAGATGCTGCATTTAACAAAGAAATCAATTTTAGCTCTATATACAGTGCGGACCATACATGAATGATTTAGTATGAAAAACGCGTTGATGGGTGCAGAATGCTTCCCCATGTTCCAAATGTTACTATTTTCTAATCAAGTAGGGCTGATTAAATTACCAAGTATGGTCACACTGTCTATATACCTCTGCTAGTACACAAGCCAGCGACCACATGTCAATCTGATAACCAAATGGTAAGCCGAACATAACTTCCGGGGCTCGATAAAAGACAGTTTGTAATTCAAACGAGTCAAAATATAGAGACATCTGAGAGTAACAGAAAAAGATTATCCATATACATACAAATGTTGGCTCATAGCATGGACGAATTTTCTAGGGGGGGGAGTAAATTGACACTGGCCCATATAGATTTCATGTCGTAATTAAATTGTTCACTTCTCTAAGAAATATTCTAACCCTTCAAATATTTAGCAAAAAAATCAGTAGTGCAGTTGAGCTGAATTTTTTTGGACAAGGTTTCAAGTCTTCTACACTATTTTTACGATTTCTATGCTTCATCCATTGCGTAAATAGTATAACATATGAATGAAATACAATTCATTTTACTTCAATTATCTTACCTCTTTGTGAACACAATAAATTGCATTGCCCAGGTCTATTAATTTGACATTTTTTCTACTTGCTGTTAGATAAAACAATTGTACTTAGAATTGTTGTCATTGAATCCTTATCTAGAGTTTAATTTTATACACATACCATCTGTGAAGAGAATATTTTCAGGCTTTATGTCAGCATGAATGATATTCAAACTAACAAGCAAATATAAATGAGTTGGTAAATGAAAATACTATACCAATCGTGAGGAAAACATATTCATTGTACCTTGATAATACAATAAGACTTTGAGTTACCTGTTATGAAAAAGTACTTTTAATCCAGTAAATAAAATTGGAATTATCACAAAATAGAATTTATACAAATACTTGAAAAGCTATTCTTCAAAGAGTTCAATCTTTCCATCTGCAAGATAAAATACAAAATATAAAATACAAAATATAAAATATAAAATACAAAATAAATAAGTAATTAAAAAAGTCCCTGAAGACACTTAACTGGACATAAAACCACAAAATATTTTCTTACCTTGCTTTGGAATGGAAACATCTAAACAAAAAAGAATATACAAACAAGAAATACTAAATAATTAACAAATAGACATTTCTCCAGGGCAGGAAAATGTCAAATGAAAAACATGTAACCAATGTAATGAATGTAGTATCATAACATTGTTTTACCTGAAAATACTTGTAAATGGGTTTTGGTAATAGGAATTTGAAGACTATGCAAAAATGATTTCCAATAGCAAACATATTCTACAAAACAGAGAAGCAAGTGTTGAAATTTTTATTAAAGTCATAAGGTATTTATAAGAAAACATGTTGTTACCAAGAAATGAGCAATGTTAGAAACATTATAGGCATCAGAGTTCCTTAAATGAAGTAGACAACTTGCTTCCTACATGAATAATGGTAATTGATGACTATGTGCTGCTAGGTTTGTTAGTGAGCTGCAAATTTTGTAAGTGAAAAGTTTAATTTTATTAAATGTCTTTACCTATAAAACAACAGCATAAGGATATGTCGCACATGGCAGGGATTTTTTTACAAAAAACAAGTGATAAACACCCTTACTCTGTCACATTTTGTGAAACATCTTAAAGATTTATGGTGACTGACACACAACAGGTAGTAAACGTCATGTTTACCTGAGGTCCCAAATTGGCATAACTTTTGTGTAATATCTTTATTGCTACATATCTCTGCCTTGGATGATATGTATCCTACAGAGGGTATTAATAATGTTATGAAAACAACAAATTGCTTTGATAAAATGCAGGACAAATCAGTGTATGATATGCAGTAGTATCACCATGGAGGAAAAAGGGGAGAAGCCCCCCCTGTCAGTTTTTCTAAAGATCAATTTTGACATTTTTCTAAATGTGAAGATAAAGGTGTATAAAAAAATTTCATCTTAAGCAGCCATAAAAGATTTGCTTCTGTAAATGAGCACATATAACCAAGCCCCCTTAGAGATCTCATTCCTGAGCCACTTGCATCTCTCTTCCCTTCCTTAGTCTGAGCAACCTTGCTACATCAGAGATGATATTTTGCATTTAAGACACATCTGCCATCATAAAATGTGACCTAATCATTCACCTCTGCTTGTACCATCACAGATGACTGACCTTCACCAACATTAGCGATAACTTTGTACCGACCAGCAAGGAGAGCTAAATATAGTTTTTCTTTATAAGAAGAATAGTAGCTGTCTTCAAAATTGATTAATCCTTTAATATTTAGCGATTGGTTATTTTGGATGACATGAGTAACATGACCTATATGCAAGACAGGGATTGCTATCATAAAGTGCAAGTGCCACATAGTGCATGGTAACGATATTGAGTATCAAGCATCAATCAAGAAAAAAGGAAAAAAGGAATAAAACCTCCAATTACTGGCTTGAACTTATCTTCTTTAAAACTGCTGTTGAGAAACAACGACTTATTTATTTGCTTCTTGTTTGCTTTATCATCAATACTTGAATACAACATTTTAAGACCCACAGTCATTTGAGCAAATATAGAACGTTCAGAAGGATTCGGACAAACACACAATCGCTGAAAACAGTCCCTATATCGGAAAAGTGTTCATTAATCATCCTTTGATTGATTTGAATAAATTACAAAGTTTTAGTTTTAGTCTCACAGACGAACTTTAACTATCACACATACCTAGACTGGTGAGGAGGTCGAAAAGAATGCATATATTTTTTCGTTCCTTTCTAGGGTAAAATGAGCTCAAAATTTCATTGTCTATTCAAACGGCAAACAACCATCTTGCAAACACATTACAAAATCTAACTTAACAGCCATCTTGAATTTGCTGAGGGGCAGTGAGGGTCTGTGTGGAGCAGTGAGGGGCAATGTGGCTGAGCGTGGGCAGTCCAGGGGCAGTCATGGTCACGATGGGTAGCTTGCTTGCAAACTCGACGTACCAGACGGAAAGTTGTTAATGGTTTGCTGTTCTTTGTATTTTTCAAGCAGAAGATTAATGGATAGAAGCCCAAAGTAGAAAGAAAATCTTTGGATAAAGTATGTTATCGTTTTTTTTTTGCCTAGTTAACTGTAAAAGTGCTTCTTTTTTCACCCAAAACGTCTAAACGTATGTTAATGTTCAAGACAATTTTCGCGCCACTTTTAGTTGTTCAAAACAAAAACATGAGCACGACAAAAGTGAACTTCAAACACAGTGTACACACATTGTGTAAAAACGCGTACAACTGTGTGGAATTTTGTACACAATGTGTACAAATCTTTTCACACAATAAACCTATCAGCTAAGTTCGAGCAATGTAATTTCTAAATGAAATTATTATTTATCTATACAGCCAATGATGCAGCCTCGCATACAGCGGCCATTTTGGCATTTTTCAATGTTTTCGTTCAAATAAGAGATTGCGTAGAGTACAAAAACAAAGCGCCAACAAAATGACTTTCGAAAGTTTGAAGTTTAAAATGATTTTTTAAAAAAGGAGAATTTAAAGAAAGAGTTAGACAATTCACAATTAATTCGAAGCCAATACAGCGTTGTTCTTGGTTTCATAATCACGAACAAAACACAACATTTTCACTCACAGCAAATACTTGAACGACATATAGTATTACTAAAGTAAATGGTTTGAACCCGGGAGTATCGTTATATGTTTGTAAATGATGATCGTCCAGGTTAATAAAGTCCTGAGAAGGACTGTTTTTGATGTTGTTGACTGACGTTTCGACAACCTTAGCGGTAGTCATCTTCAGAGTCAAATGAGGAGTAAACGTCAGGTTAGCCGTATTTGTTGTCTGGTTCTTACGTCATTGTATTGTGTGTACAGGAAATGTGCAGGAAATGTGTATTGTCATTGTGGATTAGTGTGAAGTGAAATATTTTATTTTAGTTGTGATGTGTGATTTAGGTGTGACGTTTTTAGTTGTAGTGTGTGGGTCAATTGTGTATTGTCATTGTGAATTAGTTTGAAGTGTAATGTTTTAGTTGATCGTTTGTTTGTATTGTGAATAAGTCGTTTGTAAGGTGCAGGTAATTGCTGTGATCTGTTCAGGGGGGTTTGTTCCAAGTTGGTATACCAACTTTCTAATGTAAGCCGTTGTCTATAGTCAGTACTGTAAGTGATGCATTTTGCCGAGTCCCAGTCAATGTTGTGCTTTGTGATTCGGTGATGTTCGGCAATGTGATTAGTTTTGTCTTGTTTCTTAGTAGCTCGTTTGTGCTCAGTAAGTCTTATGTTTAAGTTCCTGCCAGTTTCCCCGATATAGGAGGCGTGGCAGTCGGAGCAGTTTATTTTGTAAACTGCACCTGTCGTTCGTGGGTTGTTCTTTGTCCTTTATGTTCGTTAGTACTTGTCGTAATGTTGTGATTGGTTTATGTGCGACACGTATGTTGTATGGTCGTAAGATACGCGAGATAGTCTCAGACGTACCTTTGATGTAAGGTATCGTTGCTGTTGTCAGTGAGTTGTTCGTTTCGTTGGGTTCGTTGGTTTGTAAGTGTTGTGTTTGATAAAGTCTGAGTTGTAGTTGTTTTGTCAAAACACGTTTGAGATAGTTGTTTTCGTTTTGTAGAGCGTCCGGTGAATCACATATGATTTGTGCACGTCTTGTTAATGTTCTGATTGTGGTGGCTTTGTGAGATGTAGGGTTGTAAGATGATTGGTCTAGTAGTCGGTCAGTATGTGTTGGCTTGCGATAAACTGTTGTTCCTAGTTTTTGATTGTCATGTTTTTAAACAGTCGAGAAAAGGAAGAGTTCCGTTTTCTTCGACATCTTTGGTAAATTGTATGTGGCTGTTCTGTTTGTTGATGTGAGTATGGAAGTCATCAATCTCGTCTGCATGTAGTGCTGTGATTGTGTCATCTACGTAGCGAAACCAAAAAGGTAGTGCATGTTTGTAAGTCATGAGTGCCCGTTCCTCTATAGATTGCATTACAATTTCAGCAACTACAACAGAAACGGGCGAGCCCATTGCTGTCCCATGTAATTGTTTGTAGTGTGTTCCTTTGTATTGGAAGTAAGTCGAGGTGAGGCAGAGCTCTAGTAACTCCATAATGTCTTCTGTCGGTAATGGCAGTACGTCCGTGGTGTTTGTAATGAGGGTTTTTGTACAAGTAAGTGCCAGATTAAGTGGAATACTGGTGAACAGTGATTTCACATCAAAAGACACTAGTATATAGTTGTCTGGTATTTGTATAGTGCACAGTTTTTTAATGAAAGTTTCAGTGGATTGTAGCTTGTGTTTTGATTTGTTTGTTAGTGGTTGCAGTATGCTAGTCAAGTACTTTGAAAGTTCGTAAGTAGGCGAACTACAGAATGATACAATTGGTCGCATGGGTATTTGTGGTTTGTGAAGTTTTGGTAGTCCGTATAGTCTGGGTGGTCGTGGTACTGAACATCTGAGTCGATAGTAAATACGTTCAGATATAATGTTAGATTTTCTCATAGAGAAGATCTTGCTGTTAAGTTTGCGTACTAGTGATGGTGTTGGGTCTCGTTTGAGTTGTTCGTACGTTTGTCTGTCGTTAACAAGTGCGTCCATTTTGTTAAAGTAATCATTCCTGTCCATGACCACAGTCACGCGTCCTTTGTCTGCTGGTAAAATGACGATGTTGTTGTCGTGTTTTAGTCGTTTGAGTGCTTGTTGTTCGTCTTTGTCAAGTTGTTGTCACGTATAGAGGACGATTGTAAAGTGGAGGCTATCCTGCTTCTGATCTCGTCTCTTTGTTGTCTCTGACAAGTCTCTTTGATACGCTAGGACAGCCTCGACACTTGATACTATCGTCTCAGTCGGGATTTGTCTAGGTGTTATGGAATGTTTTAGTCCGTAAGACAGTAGTCGCGTTTCAGTTTCGTCTAATGGGCGGGAAGAAATATTCCTCACCCAGTTATCGTCATGTTTATGTCTTGCACGTGTTTTAGTTTGTTTTAAACGTTCAAGTTTTTGTTGTTGTTTGATTTGGTGTTGTGTCTCTGTCTTGTTTGCTCGTTTCTCTGCAATAGTGTTGTAAAGTAAAGTATCACTTACTGTCGTTGGTATGGAGTTCCTTCAGTTTGTTCAGTCTTTGTTCTTGTTGTTTGATGTAATAGTTGATTCGTCTGTGACAGTCGTTAATCCGTGCTCGTATCAGTCGTCTGCTGGTGGATTTGATAATCTGAATAGCCCTTGTGTGTTCAACGGAGACTTAATTCTAAGTCCTGCCGGAACGAGACCAAAATCCTTGCAGCGGTGGTTGAACCAGAGTTGTTGGCGTATGCGTCTGACGTTGCTTGCAAAACGTATGTAGTCGTTAGCAAGTTGTTCGCTCTGTCGTCCAAATGATCGTAATAAAGTAAATGGTTTGAACCCGGGAGTATCGTTATATGTTTGTAAATGATGATCGTCCAGGTTAATAAAGTCCTGAGAAGGACTGTTTTTGATGTTGTTGACTGACGTTTCGACAACCTTAGCGGTAGTCATCTTCAGAGTCAAATGAGGAGTAAACGTCAGTAAACGTTTGTTTTAATCTGGCACTTACTTGTACAAAAACCCTCATTACAAACACCACGGACGTACTGCCATTACCGACAGAAGACATTATGGAGTTACTAGAGCTCTGCCTCACCTCGACTTACTTCCAATACAAAGGAACACACTACAAACAATTACATGGGACAGCAATGGGCTCGCCCGTTTCTGTTGTAGTTGCTGAAATTGTAATGCAATCTATAGAGGAACGGGCACTCATGACTTACAAACATGCACTACCTTTTTGGTTTCGCTACGTAGATGACACAATCACAGCACTACATGCAGACGAGATTGATGACTTCCATACTCACATCAACAAACAGAACAGCCACATACAATTTACCAAAGATGTCGAAGAAAACGGAACTCTTCCTTTTCTCGACTGTTTGGTAAAACATGACAATCAAAAACTAGGAACAACAGTTTATCGCAAGCCAACACATACTGACCGACTACTAGACCAATCATCTTACAACCCTACATCTCACAAAGCCACCACAATCAGAACATTAACAAGACGTGCACAAATCATATGTGATTCACCGGACGCTCTACAAAACGAAAACAACTATCTCAAACGTGTTTTTGACAAAAACAACTACAACTCAGACTTTATCAAACACAACACTTACAAACCCAACGAACCCAACGAAACGAACAACTCACTGACAACAGCAACGATACCTTACATCAAAGGTACGTCTGAGACTATCTCGCGTATCTTACGACCATACAACATACGTGTCGCACATAAACCAATCACAACATTACGACAAGTACTAACGAACATAAAGGACAAAGAACAACCCAACGAACGACAAGGTGCAGTTTACAAAATAAACTGCTCCGACTGCCACGCCTCCTATATCGGGGAAACTGGCAGGAACTTAAACATAAGACTTACTGAGCACAAACGAGCTACTAAGAAACAAGACAAAACTAATCACATTGCCGAACATCACCGAATCACAAAGCACAACATTGACTGGGACTCGGCAAAATGCATCACTTACAGTACTGACTATAGACAACGGCTTACATTAGAAAGTTGGTATACCAACTTGGAACAAACCCCCCTGAACAGATCACAGCAATTACCTGCACCTTACAAACGACTTATTCACAATACAAACAAACGATCAACTAAAACATTACACTTCAAACTAATTCACAATGACAATACACAATTGACACCCACACACTACAACTAAAACGTCACACCTAAATCACATCACAATAAAAATAAAATATTCACTTCACACTAATCCACAATGACAATACACATTTCCTGCACATTTCCTGTACACACAATACAATGACGTAAGAACCAGACAACAAATACGGCTAACCTGACGTTTACTCCTCATTTGACTCTGAAGATGACTACCGCTAAGGTTGTCGAAACGTCAGTCAACAACATCAAAAACAGTCCTTCTCAGGACTTTATTAACCTGGACGATCATCATTTACAAACATATATAGTATTACTGCCATCAATAATAAACCTTATTTGACATGCTTTAAAAATTCTGTTCTTTCCGTCTTTGTTTACTTTGATGAAAACTGTTTTCACCAATTTATTAAAACATTTTCCTCACTTATTGGAAATTGTTGAATGCCAAGCATATAAAATACAATTTATCAGACCTTCAGCTTAAACTTCAACAAATGAAACAAATTGTTACACAACTGTATAAAAAAAGAACGCCATTTTACTGTTTTAGTACAAGACCACATATAAAAAGCTAATCAACTATTAGTTCGTTAAAAAGAACAGAAAATCTACTTGTGTTGGGAAAACCTGTTTTATTTGTTTTGTGCAAACATCGTTGTATTTATTTGACAACAATCTTAATCAGTCCATCATGATCGCAAATTGGAAATAAAAAATTATAAATATTTATTTTGTGCAAAAATATTGCTGTAATGATTTTAATTTAACATATCAAACACAGTACAAAAGGTAATTTATGGCCATGAAGTGCCAACGAAAGTATGTGGCTAACTATGATTGCAAGAGCGATCTTTCACTTTTGTAACATCTTCGTGTCACCTGTAGCGCCTTTCTTGCATTTCATATCTTTCATTGCTCTATGAAAATAAAGCCATAAAAACCATATAGTCTGCTTAATAATTACTTAGATGTACTTAAATACACAAGACGCATGATTTATGTGAACGAAACATGACGAAACTTCAATGAATTTCACGAGATAATTAAAATGTTATTTTAAGGTTCAATAATCAATTTGCCATAAAATTCATAAAGTTTGATAATTGAACGGAGGGAGGTAAATGCAGTAGCGTGGTGGTGCAATTTTGACTGCGGGGGCCAAAGCAAATTTCGCGGCCCCTTCACCTTGAACTAACAAAATTTGCAGTACATGCAGCAGTATTTTTGAGTCTCGATACTTTATGTTAGCCTTTGCGTTTTGATTACACTCTATGGATGACTGCTCTACCACTAGAAAATTAAAAATAGGTACGCGAATGCCGTAAATGACTAATATTTAATTAATTACATGAGAAATCACTAGAAGTCCGACGGTCATTTTTTTGTAATGATAACCAAAATATTATAGATCATTTGTCAACAAAAATGATAATTTTGCACTTTCGAATATTTTCCGTAACGCATCATGGCCATGTAGTCGTGTCAATTTGTGAATTGCCATCCTAGCACTTGGACATATGGACATTTTTTAGTATAACATTGTGGTTAGTCTGTGAGCAGGCTACCCACAAAAAATATTATTAAGCTTGGATTAACAATAAGATGCAACGCCAGTAACGATTCCTGTCTGTGTGAGAAAGCCAAGAAATTTGATTGAAATAGACAAAAAACTATACATTTTTCGGCCTTGTTGCGCCCCCTAAGAGGACATTAAATTTGGCCCTGTATGTTGTCTACAGTCATTGTGACAATTGACAAGTCAGGTGTTGTGGCCACATAAGAAACATCAAGAATGCTCCTCAATTACTTTATTCCTTAATTGACTGTAAAACTAACCCCCTTACAAGGATTCATTTTGATCAGTTTTCCTTTTTCCCCAAAGTTAACTTCATTTACTGTATATTATAACTGTGGAAATAACTGTTCTGCTTCAATTCATTTTTCTAGCTCAAATTTAAAACTTCGTGACTCATATTCATTTCTGCGCTCCCAAAAAATCAACAGCTGGGGGGGGGCTTGGCCCCCCTGGCCCCCCTGCCACCACGCCACTGGGTAAATGTCAATACATGTATATTTTGCCGGATTAAGTTTGTTTGAATAAATTGTTTTTAGGGTTATACAATGCATACATGAATATTTGCTCCCTCCCCCCGTCCAGTTTTTCAACATCTTTGTTACACAATACACAATCATAATCGCTGGGGGAAATTTACCAATATGTAATTACGCACTATTGATATGCTTATCTACTGTCCAGCATCGAGATTCACCCAATTGTTGATATATTTAGTAAAGTGATACTCACCACAGCTCGGACAGAAGGGCCATGATCAACGTTAGTGATTACATCATAGTCTATTGAGAAATCGTAATGAGTCCTTGAAGTGTCGTAATAATTAGACTGTGATTTTCGTCTGCTCACAATTACCTTGTGCAAAAAAAAACAAAGCGTTGCTCATAGATTGTACTGTACTCACTGGTAAATTTATTTTTTAATGTAATGCCACCTCTCATACACATATCATTTCACTTACCGTGATAACTGCAAAAACAAAAATTATAAATGCCATAGATAAGCAAACTATCAAAATAATAAGCCACATGTCAAAATCATCATCATCTCTGTTGGAACTTGTTATGTTGAAATTTGTCGTTGAAGAGAAACTACTTATTGATAAATTTACTGATGAAGATGTGACCAATGATGATGAAGAAGTTGTAATCACATTGACAATACGTCCATTTATGGTCACATTCTGTATAGTAAACGGTGCATTCGATCTGTTGCTCTGGGCTTCTAAAATCGGTTGTATAATCTCATTCCGAGTAACAATTGTCGAACTGAATAATGCTTCCATATCTGCGATTACACTTCCATTTAAAAATCTCCTTAGCCGTAAGGAGATAAAACCTGGTAGATTTTCGTAGAAGGGAAGTAAGAAATCGATAAATTCTTTCTTCAAACTCCTAAAATAAATGCTTGTAGAATCATTTAAACTACTGTTAAACACTCTGTCGCTAACTGTAACAGAAATATCAAAAGTAGCAGTAGGAATTTCCACTGCAATGGAGCTAGTTGATGCGTTCAAATCATACGTTGAAGAAAAACTAGTTTGTGATAAATTTACCGACGATGATGGTTGAATAATGATTGTAGACATAGAATCAGTAAACAATGATATAGCAGCTGTTGTTCTGACACGGAGACTTTGTTGTGAGGAAAAACCTGACGGTTTGATTCGATTCACCGACGAAAATGTTACATTGCGCATTGATACGCTGCCAGCTGTAGATGAAGAAACTGTAGTCCTCTCACCAATACTTGAATCCGAAAACTGACTTGATTGTACCAATGAACGCGGCACATTGGTAGCTGACAGAGAATCTGTAAGTCTGTTGATAACGCTTGATTCTAAGGACAGGCTTAATGGTTGAACAGATGAGGATGGCGAAATGGTAGTTGACACAGAATCAGTAAGTTTGTTGCTAACGCTTGATTCTATGGACAAACTTGACGACTGAACAGATGAGGATAGTAAAAGCGAGGTAGACAAAGAATCGGTAAGTCTGCTGATGACGCTTGATTCTAAGGACAGGCTTGATGGTTGAACAGATGAGGATGGTGAAATTGAGGTGGACAAAGAAACTGTATGTCTGTTGATAACACTTGATTCTAAGGACAGGCTTGATGGTTGAACAGACGAGGATGGTAAAATCGATGTGGGCAAAGGATCTGTATGTCTGTTGATAACGCTTGATTCTAAGGACAGGCTTGATGTTTGAACAGATGAGGATAGCAAAATGTTAGTTGACACAGAATCTGAAAGTCTTTTCCTGACGCTTGATTCTATCGACAAACTTGACGACTGAACAGATAAGGATAGTAAACCCGAGGTAGACAAAGAATCTGTAAGTCTGTTAATGACGTGTGGTACTGTGGTCAAACTTGATGGTTGAAGAGATGAGGGTGGCAAAATGGTTTTTGACAGTGAGTCTGTAAGTCTGGTGATAACGCTTGATTCTCTGGTAAAGCTTGATGGTTGAAGAGAAGAGAATATCAAAATGGTAGTTGACATAGAATCTGTAAGTCTGGTGATAACGCTTGATTCTAAGGACAGACTTAATGACTGAAGAGATGAGGATGGTAAAATGGTAGTTGACACAGAATCAGTAAGTGTGCTGCTAACGCTTGATTCTATGGACAAACTTGACGACAGAACAGATGAGAATAGTAAAAGCGAGGTAGACAAAGAATCTGTAAGTCTGTTGATGACGCTGTATTCTAAAGACAGGCTTGATGGCTGAACAGATGAGGATGGTAAAATCGTAGTGAACAAAGAAACTGTATGTCTGTTGATAACACTTGATTCTAAGGACAGGCGTGATGGTTTAACAGATGAGAATAGCAAAATGGTAGTTGACGATAAATCTGTAAGTCTGTTGCTAACGCTTGATTTTGAGATCAATCTTGAAGGTTTAACGGATAAGGATGGTAAAATGGTAGTTGACACAGAATCTGTAAGTGTGTTGCTAACGCTTGATTCTAAATAATAACTTGATGACTGAAGAGATAAGGATGATAAAACCGAGGTAATCACAGAATCTTTAATTCTGTTGTTAACGCTTGATTCTGAGGACAAACTTGATGACTGAGGAGATGAGAATGGTAAAATGGTAGAGGACGAGGAATCTGTTAGCCTGTTGTAGACGCGTGATTCTGAGGTCAAGTTTGATTGTTGAACAGATAAGGATGGCAAAATGGTTGTTGACAATGAATCCGTAAGTCTTTTGCTAACGCTTGATTCTATGGACAAACTTGACGACTGAACAGATGAGGATAGTAAAACCAAGGTAGACAAAGAATCTGCAAGTCTATTGATGTCACTGGATTCTAAGGACAAACTTGATGGTTGGACAGATGAGGATGGTAAAATCGATGTGGGCAAAGGATCTGTATGTCTATTGATAACACTTGATTCTAAGGACTGGCTTGACGATTGAACAGATGAGAATGGCAAAATGGTAGTTGACATAGAATACGAAAGTTTGTTGCTAACGCTTGACTCTATGGACAAACTTGACGACTGAACAGATGAGGATAGTAAAACCGAGGTAGACAAAGAATGTGTAAGTCTGTCGATGACATGTGGTACTGAGGTCAAGCTTAATGGTTGAAGAGATGAGGGTGGCAAAATGTTAGTTGACAATGAATCTGTAAGTCTGGTGATAACGCTTGATTCTCTGGTAAAGCTTGATGGTTGAACAGATGAGGATAGCAAAGTGGTAGTTGACACAGAATCTGTAAGTCTGGTGATAACGCTTGATTCTCTGGTAAAGCTTGATGGTTGAACAAATGAGGATAGCAAAGTGGTAGTTGACACAGAATCTCTAAGTCTGGTGATAACGCTTGATTCTCTGGTAAAGCTTGATGGTTGAACAAATGAGGATAGCAAAGTGGTAGTTGACACAGAATCTGTACGTCTGGTGATACCGCTTGATTCTGTGGACAAAGTTAAAGACTGTAGAGATGAGAATGGTAAAATTATGGTAGACAAGGAGTAGTCTGTAAGTCTGTTGCTAGTGCTTGACTTCAAGGACAAACTTAAAGGTTTAACGGATAACGATACAGAATCTGTACGGCTGTTGATAGCGCTTGGTTGTGAGGACATACTTGATAGTTGAACAGATGAGGATTGTAAAATGGTAGTTGACACAGAATCTTTAAGTCTGTTGATAACTGTTGTTTCTAAAGATGAACTTGATAACTGAATGGATGAGGATGATAAAGTGGTAATTTTAGGAGAATCTGTAAGTCTGGTGCTAACGCTTGATTCTGACGATAAACTTGATGGCTGAACAGATGAATACAGTGAAATTGTATATGACAGGGAATCTGTAGGTCTGCTGGTAACGCTTGATTCTGACGATAAACTTGATTGTTGAACAGATGAATACAGTGAATATGTAGATGACAGAGAATCTGCAAGTCTGTTGCTAACGCTTGATTCTGAGGATAAACTTGATGACTGAGGAGATGAGAATGGTAAAATGGTAGAAGACGAAGAATCTGTTAGCCTGTTGTAGACGCGTGATTCTGAGGTCAAGCTTGATTGTTGAACAGATGAGGATGGCAAAATGGTAGTTGACAATGAATCCGTAAGTCTTTTGCTAACGCTTGATTCTATGGACAAACTTGACGACTGAACAGTTGAGGATAGTAAAACCGAGGTAGATAAAGAATCTGTAAGCTTATTGATGACACTGGATTCTAAGGACAAGCTTGATGGTTGGACAGATGAGGATGGTAAAATCGATGTGGGCAAAGGATCTGCATGTCTGTTGATAACACTTGATTCTAAAGACTGGCTTGACGGTTGAACAGATGAGAATGGCAAAATGGTAGTTGACATAGAATACGAAAGTTTGTTGCTAACGCTTGACTCTATGGACAAACTTGACGACTGAACAGATGAGGATAGTAAAACCGAGGTAGACAAAGAATGTGTAAGTCTGTTGATGACATGTGGTACTGAGGTCAAGGTTAATGGTTGAAGAGATGAGGGTGGCAAAATGGTAGTTGGCAAGGAATCTTTAAGTCTGGTGATAACGCTTGATTCTCTGGTAAAGCTTGATGGTTGAACAGATGAGAATAGTAAAATGGTAGTTGACGATAAATCTGTAAGTCTGTTGCTAACGCTTGATTTTGAGATCAATCTTGAAGGTTTAACGGATAAGGATGGTAAAATGGTAGTTGACACAGAATCTGTAAGTGTGTTGCTAACGCTTGATTCTAAATAATAACTTGATGACTGAAGAAATAAGGATGATAAAACCGAAGTAAGCACAGAATCTTTAAGTCTGTTGTCAACGCTTGATTCTGAGGACAAACTTGATGACTGAGGAGATGAGAATGGTAAAATGGTAGAGGACGAGGAATCTGTTAGCCTGTTGTAGACGCGTGATTCTGAGGTCAAGCTTGACGATTGAACAGATGAGAATGGCAAAATGGTAGTTGACATAGAATACGAAAGTTTGTTGCTAACGCTTGACTCTATGGACAAACTTGACGACTGAACAGATGAGGATAGTAAAACCGAGGTAGACAAAGAATGTGTAAGTCTGTTGATGACATGTGGTACTGAGGTCAAGCTTAATGGTTGAAGAGATGAGGGTGGCAAAATGGTAGTTGACAATGAATCTGTAAGTCTGGTGATAACGCTTGATTCTCTGGTAAAGCTTGATGGTTGAACAGATGAGGATAGCAAAGTGGTAGTTGACACAGAATCTGTAAGTCTGGTGATAACGCTTGATTCTCTGGTAAAGCTTGATGGTTGAACAAATGAGGATAGCAAAGTGGTAGTTGACACAGAATCTCTAAGTATGGTGATAACGCTTAATTCTCTGGTAAAGCTTGATGGTTGAACAAATGAGGATAGCAAAGTGGTAGTTGACACAGAATCTGTAAGTGTGTTGCTAACGCTTGATTCTAAATAATAACTTGATGACTGAAGAGATAAGGATGATAAAACCGAGGTAAGCACAGAATCTTTAAGTCTGTTGTTAACGCTTGATTCTGAGGACAAACTTGATGATTGAGGAGATGAGAATGGTAAAATGGTAGAGGAAGAGGAATCTGTAAGTCTGGTGATAACGCTTGATTCTCTGGTAAAGCTTGATTGTTGAACAGATGAGGATAGCAAAGTGGTAGTTGACACAGAATCTGTAACTCTGGTGACAACGCTTGATTCTAAGGACAGACTTGATGACTGAAGATATGAGGATGGTAAAATGGTAGTGGACGAGGAATCTTTAAGTTTGTTGTTGACGCGTGATTTTGAGGTCAAGCTTGATTGTTGAACAGATGAAGATGGCAAAATGGTAGTTGATGCCAAATCCCTAAGTCCGTTGATAACGCTTGATTTTAATGACGAACTTGATAGTTGAACAGATGAGGATGGTAAAATGGAAGTTGATACAGAATCTGTAAGTCTGTTGATAACGCTTGATTCTGTGGACAAACTTAAAGACTGTAGAGATGAGAATGGTAAAATTATGGTAGACAAGGAGTAGTCTGTAAGTCTGTTGCTAGTGCTTGACTTAAAGGACAAACTTGAAGGTTTAACGGATAACGATGGTAAGATAGTAGTTGATACAGAATCTGCACGGCTGTTGATAACGCTTGGTTGTGAGGACATACTTGATAGTTGAACAGATGAGGATTGTAAAATAGTAGTTGATACAGAATCTTTAAGTCTGTTGATAACTGTTGTTTCTAGAGATGAACTTGATAACTGAATGGATGAGGATGATAAAGTGGTAATTATAGGAGAATCTGTAAGTCTGGTGCTAACGCTAGATTCTGACGATAAAATTGATGGTTGAACAGATGACGACAATGAAATTGTAGATGACAGAGAATCTGTAAGTCTGCTGGTAAAGCTTGATTCCGAGGACGAACTTGATGGTTGAACAGATGAATACAGTGAATATGTAGATGACAGAGAGTCTGTAAGTCTGATGGTAACCCTTGATTCTGACGATAAGCTTGATGGCTGAACAGATGAATACAGTGAAATTTTATATGACAAAGAATTTGTAGGTCTGCTGGTAACGCTTGATTCTGACGATAAACTTGATGGTTGAGCAGATGAGGACAGTGAAATAGTAGATGACAGGGAATCTGTAGGTCTGTTGCTAACGCTTGATTCTGACGATAAACTTGATGGCTGAACAGATGAATACAGTGAATTTGTAGATGACAGATAATCTGTAAGTCTGCTGGTAACCTTTGATTCTGACGATAAACTTGATGGTTGAGCAGATGAGGTCACTGAAATAGTAGATGACAGAGAAACTGTAAGTCTGCTGGTAACGCTTGATTCTGACGATAAACTTGATGGCTGAACAGATGAATACAGTGAAATTGTATATGACAGGGAATCTGTAGGTCTGCTGCTAACGCTTGATTCTGACGATAAACGTGATCGCTGAACAGATGAATACAGTGAATATGTAGATGACAGAGAATCTGTAAGTCTGCTGGTAACGCTTGATTCTGACGATGAACTTAATGGTTGAGCAGAAGAGGACAGTAAAATAGAAGATGACAGAGAATCTGTAGGTCTGCTGGTAACGCTTGGTTCTGACGATAAACGTATAGGTTTAACAGATGAGGAGAGTGAAAGAGTAGATGACAGAGAATCTGTAAGTCTATAGCTAACGCTTGATTTTGAGGATAAACTTGATGGTTGAACAGATGAATACAGTAAAATTGTAGATGACAGATAATCTATAAGTCTGCTGGTAACGCTTAATTCTGACGATAAACTTGATGGTTGAACAGATGAATACAATGAAATTGTAGATGACAGAGAATCTGTAAGTCTGTTGCTAAAGCTTGATGGTTGAACAGATGAGGATAGCAAAGTGGTAGTTGACACAGAATCTGTAACTCTGGTGATAACGCTTGATTCTAAGGACAGACTTGATGACTGAAGATATGAGGATGGTAAAATGGTAGTGGACGAGGAAGCTGTAAGTCTGTTGTTGACGCGTGATTTTGAGGTCAAGCTTGATTGTTGAACAGATGAAGATGGCAAAATGGTAGTTGATGCCAAATCCCTAAGTCCGTTGATAACGCTTGATTTTAATGACGAACTTGATAGTTGAACAGATGAGGATGGTAAAATAGAAGTTGATACAGAATCTGTAAGTCTGTGGATAACGCTTGATTCTGTGGACAAACTTAAAGACTGTAGAGATGAGAATGGTAAAATTATGGTAGACAAGGAGTAGTCTGTAGGTCTGTTGCTAGTGCTTGACTTAAAGGACAAACTTGAAGGTTTAACGGATAACGATGGTAAGATAGTAGTTGATACAGAATCTGCACGGCTGTTGATAACGCTTGGTTGTGAGGACATACTTGATAGTTGAACAGATGAGGATTGTAAAATAGTAGTTGATACAGAATCTTTAAGTCTGTTGATAACTGTTGTTTCTAGAGATGAACTTGATAACTGAATGGATGAGGATGATAAAGTGGTAATTATAGGAGAATCTGTAAGTCTGGTGCTAACGCTAGATTCTGACGATAAAATTGATGGTTGAACAGATGACGACAATGAAATTGTAGATGACAGAGAATCTGTAAGTCTGCTGGTAAAGCTTGATTCCGAGGACGAACTTGATGGTTGAACAGATGAATACAGTGAATATGTAGATGACAGAGAGTCTGTAAGTCTGATGGTAACCCTTGATTCTGACGATAAGCTTGATGGCTGAACAGATGAATACAGTGAAATTTTATATGACAAAGAATTTGTAGGTCTGCTGGTAACGCTTGATTCTGACGATAAACTTGATGGTTGAGCAGATGAGGACAGTGAAATAGTAGATGACAGGGAATCTGTAGGTCTGTTGCTAACGCTTGATTCTGACGATAAACTTGATGGCTGAACAGATGAATACAGTGAATTTGTAGATGACAGATAATCTGTAAGTCTGCTGGTAACCTTTGATTCTGACGATAAACTTGATGGTTGAGCAGATGAGGTCACTGAAATAGTAGATGACAGAGAAACTGTAAGTCTGCTGGTAACGCTTGATTCTGACGATAAACTTGATGGCTGAACAGATGAATACAGTGAAATTGTATATGACAGGGAATCTGTAGGTCTGCTGCTAACGCTTGATTCTGACGATAAACGTGATCGCTGAACAGATGAATACAGTGAATATGTAGATGACAGAGAATCTGTAAGTCTGCTGGTAACGCTTGATTCTGACGATGAACTTAATGGTTGAGCAGAAGAGGACAGTAAAATAGAAGATGACAGCGAATCTGTAGGTCTGCTGGTAACGCTTGATTCTGACGATAAACTTGATGGCTGAACAGATGAATACAGTAAAATAGTAGATGACAGAGAATTTGTAAGTCTGCTGGTAACGCTTGATTCTGACGATAAACTTGATGGCTGAACAGATGAATACAGTGAAATTGTAGATGACAGAGAATTTGTAGGTCTGCTGGTAACGCTTGATTCTGACGATAAACTTGATGGTTGAGCAGATGAGGACAGTAAAATTGTAGATGACCGAGAACCTGTAAATCTGCTGGTAACTCTTGATTCCGAGGACAAAACTGATGGTTGAACAGATGAATACAGTAAAATAGTAGATGACAGAGAGTCTGTAAGTCTAATGGTAACGCTTGATTCCGACGATAAACTTGATTGCTGAACAGATGAATACAGTGAAATTGTATATGACAGAGAATTTGTAGGTCTGCTTGTAACGCTTGATTCTGACGATAAACCTGATGATTGAACAGATGAATACAGTAAAATTGTAGATGATAGAGAATTTGTAAGTCTGCTGGTAACGCTTGATTCCGACGATAAACTTGATTGCTGAACAGATGAATACAGTGAAATTGTATATGACAGAGAATTTGTAGGTCTGCTTGTAACGCTTGATTCTGACGATAAACCTGATGATTGAACAGATGAATACAGTAAAATTGTAGATGATAGAGAATTTGTAAGTCTGCTGGTAACGCTTGATTCTGACGATAAACTTGATGGTTGAACAGATGAATACAGTAAAATTGTAGATGACAGAGAATCTGTAAGTCTGCTCTTAACGCTTGATTCTGACGACAAACTTGATGGTTGAACAGATGAATACAGTGAAATTGTAGATGACAGAGAGTCTGTAAGTCTGCTGGTAACGCTTAATTCTGACGATAAACTTGATGGTTGAACAGATGAATACAGTAAAATTGTAGATGATAGAGAATCTGTAAGTCTGTTGCTAACGCTTGATTCTGGGATAAACTTGATGGCTGAACAGATGAGGTCAGTGAAATAGTAGATGACAGAAAATCTTCATTTCTGCTGGTAACGCTTGATTCTGACGATAAACTTGATGGTTGAACAGATGAATACAGTGAAATTGTAGATGACAGAGAATCTGTTAGTCTGTTGGTAACGCTTGATTCCGAGGACGAAATTGATGGTTGAACAGTTGAATACAGTATAGTAGTAGATGATAGAGAATCTGTAGGTGTGCTGGTAACGCTTGATTCTGACGATAAACTTGATGGCTGAACAGATGAATACCGTAGAATAGTAGATGACAGAGGATCTGTTAGTCTGCTGGTAACGCTTGATTCTGACGATAAACTTGATGGCTGAACAGATGAATACAGTGAAGTTGTAGACGACAGAGAATCATTCAGTCTGCTGGAAACCTTTGCTTCTGACGATAAACTTAATGGTTGAACAGATAAGGACAGTGAAATAGTAGATGACAGGGAATCTGTAAGTCTGTTACTAACGCTTGATTCTGAGGATAAACTTGTTGGTTGAACAGATGAAGATGGTAAAATGGTAATAGTCGATGAAGAATTCACGTTTCTCATAATAAGAGTTGATTCTAAAGATGAACTTGATGATGAACCTGAAATTAAAGTTGATAAAGATGAAGCTGTATTTTATTCTTCGCATTGTCTCTTGGTTATCTGGATTGTGGGAAATATTAAAAAAAGTTATGTGCATTCTGTGCATTCTTTTTAAAGACCACGCCCTGAGTTGGAAACGGCTTGTACCTTAGAATAATACTTTTGCATTTTATGTCATCGCTGCGAAAAACAAGTTTTGTAATGCAAGTCAGAAGAATTCTTTTTCGTCAAAGTGAAAACAGAATAGTACTAAAAATGAAAAAATTACAAGCTCACGATAAACTTTTTTGTGATTATTATGTGATTAAACCATAGGAATAAAACAAAGCAAGCATCTATTTTTGAATTCTCGTATAGTGAGAATTCTAATGCAACTTTAAACGCGCATATAATCTATATGATATATAATGTTAGCTACTGAGTTTGTCTTACAAAGATCATGGTCGACAACGAATTGCTAATATTGTCGCAATATCAACCTACAATTCAACATGAAATTAATGAATAAAAGTTAGCATTACGTACGTTATTTTAAAATATTTGTTTGTCAGGCAATGACAATTAAGGAACTATGTCACACATTTTTTCATAGCACTTTTGTTGCCATTGTTTATTGTCGTGAAGGCGAAGACAACCAAGCAAGTGTTAAGTTAAGTTATTTCTCATAGATACTAAAGGTGTAATTTTTTTATGATAAATCTAAGCCAAATTTTAAGATAACACTTATTTGAAAAAGTCCCGATTTTATCAGTTGCCACATGTGTTGTGCATGTTCTGGCAAGACTGTAAATACACCTAGACAGATAGCAAAGCTGCTTTGCCAAAGCGACAACAGCTTTACATACGCTTCACTCTCACAGAGAAAAAACTGGCTGAATAAATTGTTATAGGTTGAACTTCCCGAGTAATCTTAAAAATGGAGAAGTGATTGAAAACTCTATAATTAGAGTAATCAGTTACTCGTCACAATGTAAAGCTAGGATTTTGCGCTTTGTATTTACTGCAAATTGAAAAGAATCTTTGTAACACCTTGGGATATCATAGTTGATCGATAATATATTATTATTGCACCGGATATTTAACATAAATCAATAAGTAGCTCCTCTTGATAGTTGATAATAGATTTTGAATGAAAATCATATCCTTTATATACAAGTTAGCAGTGTTAGCTACCAAGAAAACATGGTGAGGTCTTATGAGCATGTCAAAACAATATTAATGTTCTTAAATATCAATGAAAATCCTGGAATTCACCAACAAATATCACTCACACACTTAAAGGCATGCAAGAGCATAAAATTCTGTTTTGTATGAATCATGTTTAAACGGCTGAATTGTATAATTGACGATTCGAGCTATATAGTACGTTCGAGCTGCGCCTGATAGATATTATACATGCAAAATAACAATCGAATTGTAGAAAGGGATATAAAATTAGAAGAGACCATGTTATACACATGCATTTAAAAAAGTACATAAATTGGGTGTTGTTTCATGTTGAACATGTTTTTGCGTCCGCAAAGTCATTACTTCAGCTATAACTTTCATTCAATTTTTTTGGCAAAAATACTATTTTACTGTTAGGCTTTTTCAAAAGAGATATAGAAGTTCGATTAAGAGATCGATTTACATCTTTGACATTTTAAGACTTTACGATTGGAAAAGATATTTAAGAAGAAAAGCGTAATGCTTACCATAAACACAAATGAAACTGCTCCATTTAAACAAGCATCCAAGTAGAAGAACTGAAATATGGAGCACCATTACCGGCATAAAAGCAAGAAAGTTCCAATACACTTTTGAAGTTATATTTCTTTTGCTTGCAAGTCAGTGGTGTCGTCAGCTCGATAAGTGAGGGGGACAATACTCTTATTTGCATGTTTTAATCCCTAAGAAACCATTGATTTCAAATGAACTTAATACAGAAAAATATGCATATATGAATAAAATCCTCCGCATTTAACAAGCTGGTGACGCCACTGTTCATTATTTTTCAATCACGTGAACGTGTTATCAACTTATGGAGCATTATATAGCGCATTAAGAACACTTAGCTTTGTGTTAACGATTTTACACAACAAATGAAAAGCGGACTATAAGAATGCGTGGGATATGGTTGATAAACAAAACTTTATCAGCAATTATCAGCACCTTCTCTAATTTTTACTCTTTTTATATACGTACACACTACTCACTTTATGCCCTATTTCTATATGTGACGGCCTGCAGCGAAGTTTAATCATTGATAAGATAAAGAGAGACTATGAGCATATGTGGATTTTACAATTGCTAACGAATACCGCTAATTACTTTACTTGTTATGTCTCGTGTGTTTAATGGCTTTTTAGAATTCTAATGCAAATTAGAACAACGTTCAAACTTTATAGAGCAAAGCTGAAAGAAAAAGTAAAAAATTTATGGCAATGTGGGAATGATTAGGATCGCTGGAACAGTTTCACTACACTAAACAGTTTCCCAATACTATGAGACTTGAGCAAACAAGGACAATCAAGTGATTGAATAATAGAGATTTACTATTCTTCAATTACAGGACGGGACGACGAATTTTTGTCAATGTAGCTAATTGAAAAAACAGTCAAATCAGGGCTCGATAATAGTTTTGGTATTTATCGCGGTATTTTTAATCATAAATGTAACATTTGGAAATAAAGATAGAAAACCAGAAGTGTATATGTTGCCTTAGATATCTAACAAAAACTCCCTGTACGTTACACGCTCTCATTTAAAAATTGCATTCGACCTTTATGGTTTAAGTAGAGCAAAAAACAAATTCCAAATTTGGTTTAGGGTTTAAGACGAATTTGCGCTACTATAAAGCCTCGGCGCATTTTAATTTTGTATGTCAAAAAACAATGCCATTCCAAAATTCCAAATTTGAAGCAAAGGTTCAAGTAACGCGCATTATACGGCGAAGATTTCGGTCGTTGAGTGGCAGTGAAAGCACTGAGGAAAAGAAAATTTCACAAACCAAAAGGCACAGTGATTTGATAGATCATTTGTTTAGCTGTAGTCAAGATGAAGGCGAAGACATTTCAATGAAAGTCGGTTCTCCAGTATAAGCAATGACAGATATTCGCCCTCCCATTATTACTTGCTTTATCATCGAGTTGATCGCATTGCAAAGGATAAATGTATGACTGAGATATTTACCATTTTTTCTTGACTTTCAAAGTGTCCTTATTCATATTGTAGTATTGGAAGAGAAGGCTGTGCACATTTAATTTTATGCAATAATGAGAATGTGATCATATGGACTGTTTTTGGTCAACAAAGACATGTTATAATTTGTAAAGGTCAAAACATGTACAGGCAAATGCAGTGCATTCCCCCCTTTTCTCCAAGCATTAAACTCTGGTAGTCAAGCAAGTGTTTACTTGTCACTAAATACTCCACCAATAGCCGGTTTACTTGTGCACATCAACCAAGATTAGTTGAACGAGTGACGATTATATCATTTATATATACGTTATACTTAGCTTACACATACACTTTTGCTAAACGTCATCATGTTTACTCTTTCGCACTACTTTCTCAAACACATATTAACACCCATATTACGGAACCTTGATTTATAAATTCTCGAGTTCCCTTTAGCTATTTTTAACGGAATTCTACGTATTGAGTAGATCCTTGGAAGTTAGGAACACTCTGATAAATGAAAAGAAGACAAAAGGCGAGAAGTAGATCTATAAGTATAAAAGATGTAATATTATTCAATATAATTTTCTTAGCTATAGCTAAAATTGGCATCCATGTTTAATCATGATAATAAATATATTTTACAACGAAATGCATAAATAACAATAATGTCTATGTTCTAACAAGAAAATTTGAAATCACACGTTTGCATAAAAACACTCACAAAAACACGTTTGCCAAGCTAAAAAGTTTCGCCTAGCTCAAAATCTTACTCATGCAGCTTATTTGCGAAAAAGGATAACGAACTCTACATCATCTGCTGCACGTTTCCTTTCCACTATATACAAAGCTATGAACAATTTGACGAGTAAAGTCAATCGTTTCTTTCCTCACACGTCATGTGGAACAGGTCTACCATAGCATATTTAAACATAGTGAATATAACTTGTCGTTGAACGATTCTGAGACTTTGCTGGGACATCATCTATAGGAATAAATTTACATACATAAAGTATGGTTAGCGGAACAATCATAGAATACCATCCACAAAGACTACCTACAATTATAAGGCTAAGTTAGGATTGGGTTTGGGATAGGGACAGGCTTACAAGTATGTGGCAGAGTATTTTATTATTACCCAGGTTCCAAAAATTAATAAATTGAGAAGGGCACTTCTTCCCATGAATCATATTGACAAGTTTAAAACGCACAAAGTTGGACTAAACAGTAGATAGTACTAAGCTTCTTTGTACGAGAAAATATACTTGACATATTATGAACTTCCTTCTATGTGCTAAACAGCGCCTTACGTTTGGCCACTGGATCGAACGATTCTGGTAAATTTCCAGCAAAATGAACAAGGTTGTGCGTGATCTTTGGTTCAACGATACCATACCTTAACATATCATTACAAAATATGTTTAAAAAAAAACACGCACGCACACACAGTAACATAGAAATGAACGTATACACCTTCAGTATTACTATACACATAGTAAATAAAAGCATGCAAAAAAGCGGTTGTTTATGAAATCAGTATCTTTTCAAAATTCTGCAAATTTAACGCGATTTATGCAAGGTAAAGGGTCGTCTTTACGATTAAATACTCCTTGCTTCAACATATTTGTCATTGCATTTATGTTTAATGTTTAAATTTACCAAAATATGATCCAGTCACCAATAGTCCAACTACCGTCAGCTCGGATGAAATACCTTGAAAGAAATAAATGTGAAATGCAAAATATGCGGATGCTATGAACAGCAGATTCATTCAAATGACTGGATCGTTTAATAGCGTAATGCAGTTACGCTAAGAGTGGACATACACTAACAACTCACCATGGATTTATTCGGTTTGTGGTACGAGAACGCCAAAACAGACGAGGAAAATCGCGCGTCAGATGATTCCACAGGTCATCGCTTGTCCCTAGCCCCTGTATATTGAAACAAAATCATTATTATTTGGTAAACCAACATCTTGAGGTTAGCCTAACCTGACACGATGACGATATAACAAACTTATCGAGATACGGTATTTCATGCTTCTTGTGATCATGAATTACCACAGCTGCTGCGGTATAACTAAGAAAGATTTAATATAGAGATTAGTTACCCTAGATCATACTGAAATCCATTATGATGAACACCTTATTTTCCTTACTTTTCCGATATATACAGACGTTGTAAATGCTCTTGGACGACCGTCATATAATTTGGTTTCAATGGCTTGCGGAAAGATCTTGACGTAAAAATATAGAAAATTTGGTTGACAAGCATTATCAACAATCCATGAAAAAACTTGTTCGTAGAAAACAATTTTTGAAGTTAATCAACTAAGTGCGAAGGATTAATTGTCAAGTGAGCAGCATTTGGTCATAGGAATCTAATAGCCCTAATCAAATGTATAAAATATGTAACCCACTGGCTCAATAACTTGGCTAATCTGTCAACATCGACTTCGCTCAATGAATTGAACTGATCAATCGCCTCAGTTTTCTGGATCATTGTACCACAGCCTAGAGCGGCAAAAAAGTTACATAAGGCTGAACGAAAGTACTAGAAAGCTTTTAAGAAAAAACCTTGATGGCTAAAAAGCTCCTTGATAATATTTTCAGGGCTTGTTATAACTGCAGTGGAATTGCTTGAAAGATGCTGAAGTACGGAGCTGATTTCATCAATCTGTGAAAGACAAAAAACTTTATGGTATTTAAAATAAATGCATTACAGAAAAGAAAGGACATGGGTACCTGGGTCTTCAGTTCAGGAGTGCACCATGACTGTTTTGATATGTCTCGTAGATCTCCAGGGATCTTAATGTGAGATACAACCTGAAATGTCGTTAAATTATGAGGCAAGCATTTACCAACAAAAAAATTTATTGCATGCTAAAACTTTGGTGAAGTAGAAGAACTTTTATTATGGAGCACAGAAGAGCCTTTGATGAATAGCACAGAGGACTTTTCAGAGAACATTGACTGAGGAGCACAAAGGAGAATCTTTTGCAACTTTCCTTTAGCCTAAAAGAAAGTTCTATGAAATGCTCCTCAATCAATGCTTCTCAGAAATAGTACCTCGATCAACGCGACAAAAAGAGTAGTAGCGAATTCTTAAAAGCAAGAGAAAAGCTAAATTGTAATGTAAAACACTCTTCACTTTTAAGTGAATGGTTTCAGTCAGGGAACAAGGTTGCATATTTATAGATGTTGATCGTCCAGAAAGGCTGTTGCCGTGGGTATTGACTGACATTTCAAAGTCCTATAGGAGTCCTATATATATATGGACACCCTAGCTGGGCTGTAGTCATCTTCAGATTCAAGTGGAACAAAATTGAAACGTCAGTCAACACCTACATCTACACCTACAAACATTTAACTCTTGGATTAACAAATTGGTTTAGCGAAAATGACGAATACAAGAATCCTATAATATTGCAAAATTTTCATATCTTTGCACCATATAAAGTATAGTGAAATTTAAATATAAGAGTTAATTTAAATACAAAATAACGATTACTAAGCAAATCTAATTTGATCAGCTTCCAAAATGATTTTGAATGAATGAGATGAGTCAGAAATCGACGAAATTGTGTAACAACCACGTTTCAGTCAGAACACATGCTGAACCACAACAAACTTGTCAAAACATGTTGGAATGACTTGTCAAAACATGTTGGAATGGCTTGTGAAAACGTGGATGTTTGAGTGTACGAGTAGGTATTTAGGAGCAAATGATCATTAATCCATGTGTCATGATATACATTTAAATAAATCATCAAAGACAACGAACACTTATTGAATAGTCGTTAGAAATAAATGAACATTCCATCATTGGTCAACCTGCCTGGTGTTCCCAAATAACCGGAAGTGACTCAGTCATATTACATCATTTGATAACAAATACAGGCAATATTGTCAGTAAATATAAATAAAAATACGTCACAGCACAGTCAGCACTCAAAATACTAGCAAACACAAAAAAGTGAGAGTAGACATATGTGCCAACGTCAAATGAAGACATACAAGAGCACTTATAGTGCTAAGAGAAAAAAATTCAAATGAGCTATAGCATTACCAAGTACTAAAGAACAGAGCAAGTGAGAGGACAAATGAAAATATCCTGAACACAATAACAACTGAACAAAAAACAAATGTTGTAAGTACCTACGTGTGTATGTACATACCTTTCCATACTGATCAACCAAACCACCATGATTGTTAAGAAAAATTACTTTCATTGGTTTCAAAACTTTAGATAACTTTAAAGCCGTCTGAAGAGGAGACATTGGAATTAGCACTCCAGTAGATTTATCTATGGAAATGGAGGTCACCAAAGGAACACAACCAGATCTAAGAGATAAAACATATACTTACACACTTCAGAAAAGCAGAATATAATATGCAATTGCTCTGTGGAAAATCATAAATTTACAAGTACATAAAGCTGTGGAGGTTCATTTCTTTCTGGAAGTATAATCTGTTAATCTCCTTAATATATATGATCACACTGAGAAATAATCATACAGTAAATGTTGTCAGTTGGTTCATACGGAAATAGAAAAGGTTTGCTTTTACCATTTTCACACAAGAAGCTTTGTTGCATACATTTATTACCCATTATGGTGAACTGATGGGGCATTACAATACATGATGCAATAGAATTATGATCAACAATCACCTAAAAGCCCATCTAATTGGATCAGGATTGACATATTTCAAAAAGGCTTTTTTTCTAAAAAGGCATAAATTTAAAAATTGTTAGTAATTATGACGAGGAATGATTTAATGGAGTAAATGCGGTTTTTTTACTGATGTAGACACCTTGGTTGTGATGTTTCACTTGCTATAATACCGCTGCTTCCACAAAATGTTCTAGTTGGAATGTTGTATGTTTTTTCTAAAAAATCTACAAGCTGCGTTGTTTCCAGTTGCAATTGTTGAACTTGAGACAATATGTCTTTATTAGCACTTTCTGCCACTTCTGGGCCATAAATCAGCAATGTATCCATTCCATTTCGATTCAGAAAGGAAAGGGACGAGCAAATATTTTGCATCTAATTGAAAAAAAATAATGTCTATGTCAGTTTCTGATAGAGCATTTAGCTCAAAAATAAAACAGTGGTAGTTAAATATTTTCTTTAATGGCAAAACATATTATCCTACAAACTTTAATTTACTAAATAATGCATATAGCATGTAATTTATAAAGAGAATAGCTTTCTTTAATATTTACTGCCTGTTCATTTCGTAAAATTGATGAGCTAGCCTGTAGTACTGCAAACGGACATTCTGGATCCTTTGCCTGATGCTGAAATTGACGTAACCAAAATCTTGCTTCTTTGGGTCACTGCCAACCTGTAGAGACAAATTTCGTATGTACGTATTTTTCATATAGCAATAGGAAACTGTCGTTAAATTCAATTCAAACTGAATTGCCAATGATTATAGACTCCTAAAAGCGATTAACAAACTGAGAAAGCTGTGTTTGCGAAGTTAAGGCAGCTGTTTGCTATTATTTTACTCCTAATTCAATAACTTTAAACACAAAACAATGGTAGCTCCGTCGAACAAATACTAACCTCTTCTAAAAACCGTTTCAAATCCGTTGGAAGTTGATTATTAGCAGATTGCGAGCAGGAACGAATAGATATAAATCGCTGACAAGCAGGTCGTGAAAGATTTAAATCCAGTCTCCTGAAGATACGGTGACACATTTCTTTTGACAAGACACCCAAATGTTTGAACGCAATCTCTTTTCATAGTATTATGAATGAAAAATCAGTAAGAGATTGTCTTTCAATTTTCTCTTTTTGATGTGTTTCCTCGTATCGTTTGACGACAAACAAAGAAGGTATATATTTTCATTCTTATGATTGCTAGCTTTGTTGAATATTTATAATTTATTTTGTTTACGTTATGCTAATGTGCTAATTATTATATAGCATACAGAGGTCAGACACAATTTATTAATTTTCAGGGATGGTTGAGCTGTACTTGATTTTCATGGGTTTTACCATACAAACCAGAAATGACCCATACAAATGATCTGAATTAAACCATGAATTAAACCAGTTTAACCATTGTGCTGGTGATGTATCTTTGCTTTAATATAAAATTTCCTGTTATTTCAAGAGGAACTGACTGATTTATTTAGTTCCAGTTTGAACTCTGTGCAATGTATTCATGTGATTCTCAAAAAACATATCATAACTTTTCGGTACAACTGGTATGCAATGGCAGTTTATCAATTCATTATGCAATGAAACTCTAAGCTATTATTGCTTGTTTTATTGTTGATAGACCGTAGAGTGAATGGTAGACAAGATAACTTAGCTTAAAGGTAACAATGTAGATCGTTGCTATAATTGCGAGTCACTATTGTACGCAAATCTCTGTAGGTTGATATCTTTTTCTAGTTTGCGCATAAATCTCCAGCTCTTTCTGTACTGTCTTGAACACGAAGGGATGATAGTGAACAACGTCAGTTGGCCCGGGTAAATACGAGTCTGTTAATTTAAATACATCGAGGACTTCAAAGCCAGCTTTGCACATTGCCGACATAGCATACGTATCAAATAATCGTACACGCTAAAAAATAAAATATGATAAAGTCTGAATTGTTTTGAATTTGCTGAAAAATATTTCCACCCCAAGATTTATAAGCGCACTCTACACTTGCAAGATCTTGCATGAGTAAATCTTGCCAAGATCATTAAAAGAATCTTCTTAGATTATGGCAAGATCCTGAAAAATCTTGCAAGATCTTGCATGATCTGGTAATTTCTCGCATGATCTTATCAAGATCTTTGCGTCATCAAAAATCAGTGATCTTTACCGGATCAGTAAAAAATCTTTTAAATGTCAAGTTTCGCGGAATTGGCTCATTTTCTTTCTTGATTGCAGTGGACGTTTTCCATATGATGCGTGCATTGCTTCCCAGGTCTCGCCAACGGTTTCTCAACATCACTATAACGTCATCCACCAATCTTTGATAAGTGGTAAAGTTTAAAGACATGGTGTAATGGAGCACAAAATTCAATATCAAGATGCTTTCGTCTGTCTTCATGTCGTCGCGTCGTAAAACATTTCTTATTGACTCTAGCACTAATTCAGGGCGAAAATCAAAGTCATCATTTAATTTCTTTGCCACAGCTTCATTCTCATTTGGAATAGGATACACCCAATTATAGCTGTATCCACAGGACCGGAATAACGTTTGACACAACGTGGTTGTTGCGACTGAATTATAAAAGCGTACTGCCAACGAGTCTCCATATATCCACAAACTTCCTTTGGTCACCTCTGAAGATGAACTTTGGGTGTTAAAATTCATTTTCCGGCTTTCTGGAAAAAAAAAGATGACAAGAAATTTCATTTTCAACGTTTTTGACTTCTCTATCAAATTTCAGGATCAAGCTTTTTCTTTTCATATCCTGTTCCCTATCACAACAACCTTGAACAAAAGGCACCCATTCATTACTTAGCCATCTGCCTAGACCACTTGCGAGGCATCGACAGGAATGTTCACATTTTATTGGTGCTATAGATGTCGATAGGTCTAAAAGTTTAACAGTAATATGATTCAGTCTTTTTCATATGGACGTGTGGTGTTGCACCTCACAAGATATTGGTTTGTGCATGATGAGCATCCATGATAAGAAAAGCGCAGACTACCTTCGCCTGCACGTCCTTGCAGTCTCTTTCTTGCTGGCCTCACTTCAAAAGTATGAAACTTTGAAGGTTTCATCTTCTCATATAAAAAATGGTCTAGGAATCCAATTGATCCTTCTGGTTGATTTCGGCCATGAAAATTTCCTAAAGAAAACAGGATATTTTTTGTCGTTCAATACTTGCCTTTCATTATGTTTCATTGAACATTTGCATTATTTTTGTTAGTAATTTTTGTTGCGGGACACATTGCTGAGCGATAAGAAACGCACCTAAATTGAACCAGTTCTTTGGTGGATCACGCAAACCATCACAAAGACTATAATCTAAATATGCGTGAACTGTATATTTTCCTGCTTCCATGATGAGTGCAATAGCCTCGTAAGTGCCATTTTCATGATCAAATACATGCGCCGCAATGTTAGCAGGACCTGTAATATACACTCGCCACGAATCGCCACCAAATGTTTTGGGTTTGCCTTTCGCTGTTTGACTTTGAATAAATATTCTTGAAAAATGACCCGAACGCTGAATATCCATGTGACTAATGAAACTTTCCGAAGCAGAACTTCGTTTGTCGTTTGTCCAACCTTGTCTCACGGTTACCCAAGATTGCTGATCTTTACACGGACGTAGAATTGCTTTCCAGTTTGTTCGAGCCCGATTCAACCTCAGCCAATGATGAGTGAAATTGCTATTATATTGAGATGTTTTACGACCATAACCAAACAAAGAAAACATTGGCATTTCGGGATAACATAACTGCTCCATCCAGCACAAATGAAAAAATAGTAGAAGAGTCGTTGCAAAGAAAACGCATAGCAAAAAGGCATTTTAGAAAACCTGGCTTGTACTCATACAAAGCCATAGTATCAATCAAATTCTAAAACATAAATGAATTTGAAGATCAATTAAAACCAAATCAGATTATGCTCTGATTGTATCGTGCAAAATTAGTCTAAGATCCAAGAAACTCTCTCAAAATGAAGATTGTAAATGTACATCTGTTATATTCTGAATACTTACATAAATGAGCTATGTTCCATACAGTGAAATTACGATTATAAATCTTCTTATTATAACATGAAGATAATTGTACATGTTAAAATATTTACGTGGCAAGTTACAGGTTACAAAACAACGTAGCTGCCAAGTTTGAACAAAAGGACACGCTGATTATGATAATTAATCTTCGTATCTGAAACAGAGCTTTGATGATTATCTAATATTGTATTCTTTGAAGCCGAAACTTGATGCCCAACACTTTAAAAAGTAAGAACTGTCCCAGTAACGCAAGAAAAACTCAATGCAGCATAAATGGCGGATCTAGGATGAATCAAAATACATTACATTTGAAATGGTTTAATTCAAAATACCATTGAAATAACTCTGTTTATTTAAAATTTCTTAAGAATATTTTGAAGCCAAAATTTTTCCAGTAGGATTGTCCGTGAAATATTTTAAATTTTAAATGAAGACTTTGTCGTGGTGACAAAAAATTTAGAAATTGTTTTAAAAAGAGCAAACAGCATGGTGAATGGTCAAAATAATAACGTAATAGTTCTGACAAGAACTATTTGAAAACAAGAACACTATACCAGCAATTCGAAAAGAGCTGTTTAGAAGACTAAAGACACTTTGCATTTCGGCAGACTACTAATCAGGAGTCAACGTCTGCTAAATGCAAACTTCGAAATCATTCGATATTTATAATGTGAGGAAAACGTCATCTCTAACATCATTATTAATCTAAATTGAGAGATGACGTTGAATTTTTCTGACATTATAAATATAGAACGATTTCGAGGTTCTCATTAGTTTAGCAGACGTTGACACCTGCTGAGTAGTCTGCCGAAATGCATTGTGTCTTATTAGCTTTAAAACAATCTTTTAGAATTGTTGGGTTAGTGTTCTGGTTTTAAACAGTTCTTTTAAGAACTATCGCATTATTATTTTTACTATTCGCTCTTTTTGAAACAATTGTCATTTTGAATTTGAAATGCAATTTTTTAATGTATTCAGTTTTACATCCGCTTCGCTACCGTTGGGATTCTCGAGAATTGCACTACTTTCATACCAAATAAACTTCTAGCAAAAATTTGTTAGGCCACTATTCACTTCTATCATACGCTTGCAATTCAAAAGTTACAACGAACTCTTCAGTGGAGGAACCTTTTTTAGGAGGGAGGGCAGAGTCAATAAATCATACCGCTTGACAGCAGGTGCTAACTGTGAGTGATGCAAAAAGCAATTAACTCACGTCATATCACATGTTTGTACGGGTAATAGCATGGTTTCGAGTGCATTTTGGGAAAAACATGCAGAGTGAATTTTTCTTACGAGTCCTTTGGACTCGTGCAATTTCAAGTCTTTAAAAAACTCACGAGTGCTTGCACGAGAATATATGCTATTACCTATTAATAACATACATGAAAAATTTCTCAATTCTGTTGATTTTTAACTTCAGCGTAAGTTTATTTTAGCTTGCAAGTTATTCATATCGATGGACTGGCTCGTATATTCAATTCCGTCAGATATTACTTTCACAACACCATAGCTTTCACACACACAGCTAAAACAAGGTATCTACTTTGCACTTCTTTGTTTGAATAACCAATCATGAGCGCATTTTTCAAAAATAAATTTCACTGCATTTCCTTTTTTTACACTTGTACTTAATTACGATAAATTGCCCTCCTCTTAACCAATCAGAACTGAGAAGTTTTTTCATGTATATTTTTATACAACTAATAACATACATGAAATGATCTCTCAATTCTGATTGGTTAAGAGCATTGCAATTTTTTCCTAAATACCAGTGCAAAATTACGAAACGCCATTGCTAAAAAGCGAAACACCCGTACAAATTTCTTTTCAAAATTGCTCCTGACTGGTTAGTGAAACAAAGAAGCAATATAAAAGCTAATCGAAATAAAACATTTCAAAGGCGAGAAAGTTTGATAGTCTTAAAATTAGTCTGAAAAACTAACTCGTGCATGTTTTTCCCAGATCGCATTCGAAACCATGCCATTCCATATACTAATAAAAAGCAGATTGGATATCAGCAGGACACCTAATTTTGCGGTTTGACAGGTTGAATAATTTGATGTAATTTGTATTTAAAACAGGCCGCTTCACGTGTGTGTCTTGAGGTGTTTGTTGCATCAATTGTCTTGACATATCAAGACGTATTTGGGAAATAGGAACAGAAAAGTTTGGCAAGAATTACGATTGAAAGAAGCAAAATTTTGTAAGTTTTCTTAGTCTGTGATTTGATTGATATATATATTTATCAGTGCAATGAAGAAGTTAATTGCCACATTTCATAGAAAATGCGAATTAAGACAATTAGTACAGTAAATTTATGATGGTAAGGGATCTTGTTTATAATCTTCCTTTTTTTTTTACGGTCAATATCCTCCAATTGTTTCATAAGCACTATTTCTAATGATGCTTGTTTCCCCATCATTGCAAATCTCTATCTGTCTGTCTCACTCATTGTGCATTGTCTAAGTTGATGTCACTCTTTACAACACTTGAAGTAAAAATCTGTTGTGAAGCTATATAATTTACAGATGGTGAAATTGTTTCACAAATAATATTAAGCAACGCAACGTTTATATTTTTGTGAATCTTTGGAACATCATTCTTTATGATCATAAGTGATAGTAAATATAAATTCTTTGTCACATGATGAATAAGACAACAGCTAAAATTTTGTTTGGACTTCATGCCAGTACATGAATTTTAGCTAATAAAGAGACCTTTAAGCCTGATTTGAACAGTTGTACAATGCACATAGTGTTGGGATAATTTTGTTCAGTGGGTGGAAAAAGCAGCTTCTTCAGTATTCATTGGTTTATTTACTTTGCATGCATTTTAAGTAAAATGATAACATAAACCAGTCATGTGCTTGGTGTGACCATCGTGTGATGTATATTTGTCTGATATTACAAATAAGATGAAGCGCTTGCTCTATTTCTGCGCGATGAGACTCGGAAAATGAAAACACTGCAGTTTGACGTTCTCGTAACCAGCTCGAGTTCCTCCGTTTAAATTATAAATGAATACGCTGATTGGTCAAACCCAAGTACGCAAGTCTGTGACAAATCACACATATAAATATCTTCCGACTGGATCGACTGTGAAAGCGTTCGACCGAAACGACTATATAAATAATAACAGTATTGACATGACAGAAAGATCAAATATCAAGTTGTCTTTCGCATAATAATAAGAAAGCTTAGCCTAACAGCAGTAAACTGTATTCTTTAAGAAGCAAATGTTAGTGGGAAGACACAGCCTTTGTAAAAGTAAAAAGCCCTTCTAAATCAGGTGTACAATGTCTGATGTAGTAACAGTCTCTCATCTACAAAAAAGTAAATAATTCATTTTTCTGCTGCGCTTGAATTTCATCTTCCCTTTCGATTGTTTCCTTTGAAATTTCTATTATATATTTAAAATTTATGGGGAAAATAATTATAACCCAACTGCAATCTTTTTGAACTGAATCTTTAAAAAGTAATGAACTTTTTAAAAACTTCAGCAATTTGAAACCATGCACTATTGAGAACACATTTCCTTTCGTAAAAGTCCAGTTCGTTATTGTTAGATATTTTTAACAGTAATCTCGCTAATATTGCTAATTGTCCTGTAAAATTCATGTTCATGAGCGATCGAACAGGCGACGAATGTGTTTCACTTATTTTATAGAGCTGACGTTTGCTTGCACAGTCGAAGCCGATAATTTCCGTTTTGTCTTGTCACCTTTTTCTAATGGAAGAAAAATCAAGCAAGATGCTGTTTGTGGTGTTAATTGCTGCTGTCTACAACACGGTAGCGAAAAACGTCGTTGGAAATGAAAACTTAAAAAATAGTACATCAAAATCTGTTATTCTTCATTTGTCAAATAACTTAAGGAGATCGATAGAAATTGCTGAGAGCACAACAAGTGCAATGTTTGCTGATAATATCGCTTTAGCCAGTATCACAGAGCAATCAAAGGAACCGTCACTAAATTATTCTATTCTAGCAAAAGAAAGTACTTCAAAAGATGATTTCTTAACAACACACCAGAAAACACCATCAATGACCAAATTAATGTCATCACCCCCAATGTCGTCTTTAGAAAATTTTGTAACTACACAAAATGCAGTGAAATCATCGTCAGTGGTCTTAAAAGAAAGTATTTCTTAATAATACACCAGAAAACACCATCAATGACCAAATTAATGTCATCACCCCAATGTCATCGTCTTTGGAAAATTTTGTAACTACACAAAATGCAGTGAAATCATCGTCAGTGGTCTTAAAGAAAGTACAAAAGATGATTTCTTAATAATACACCAGAAAACACCATCAATGACCAAATTAATGTCATCACCCCCAATGTCATCGTCTTTGGAAAATTTTGTAACTACACAAAATGCAGTGAAATCATCGTCAGTGGTCTTAAAAGAAAGTACTTCATTAAAGACAATGGAAAAATCAAGTATGTCTTCCATTTATGAAGAAAGTTATAGTTTGACAAAAGATGATTTCTTAACAACACACCAGAAAACACCATCAATGACCAAATTAATGTCATCACCCCAATGTCGTCTTTAGAAAATTTTGTAACTACACAAAATGCAGTGAAATCATCGTCAGTGGTCTTAAAAGAAAGTACTTCATTAAAGACAATGAAAAATCAAGTATGTCTTCCATTTATGAAGAAAGTTATAGTTTGACAAAAGATGATTTATTAACAACACACCAGAAAACACCATCAATGACCAAATTAATGTCATCACCCCAATGTCGTCTTTAGAAAATTTTGTAACTACACAAAATGCAGTGAAATCATCGTCAGTGGTCTTAAAAGAAAGTACTTCATTAAAGACAATGGACAAATCAAGTATGTCTTCCATTTATGAAAAAAGTTATAGTTTGACAAAAGATGATTTCTTAACAACACACCAGAAAACACCATCAATGACCAAATTAATGTCATCACCCCCAATGTCGTCTTTAGAAAATTTTGTAACTACACAAAATGCAGTGAAATCATCGTCAGTGGTCTTAAAAGAAAGTACTTCATTAAAGACAATGGAAAAATCAAGTATGTCTTCCATTTATGAAGAAAGTTATAGTTTGACAAAAGATGATTTCTTAACAACACACCAGAAAACACCATCAATGACCAAATTAATGTCATCACCCCCAATGTCGTCTTTAGAAAATTTTTTAACTACACAAAATGCAGTGAAATCATCGTCAGTGGTCTTAAAAGAAAGTACTTCATTAAAGACAATGGAAAAATCAAGTATGTCTTCCATTTATGAAGAAAGTTATAGTTTGACAAAAGATGATTTCTTAACAACACACCAGAAAACACCATCACTGACCAAATTAATGTCATCACCACCAATGTCGTCTTTAGAAAATTTTGTAACTACACAAAATGCAGTGAAATCATCGTCAGTGGTCTTAAAAGAAAGTACTTCAAAAGATGATTTCTTAATAATACACCAGAAAACACCATCAATGACCAAATTAATGTCATCACTCCCAATGTCATCGTCTTTGGAAAATTTTGTAACTACACAAAATGCAGTGAAATCATCGTCAGTGGTCTTAAAAGAAAGTACTTCATTAAAGACAATGGACAAATCAAGTATGTCTTCCATTTATGAAAAAAGTTATAGTTTGACAAAAGATGATTTCTTAACAACACACCAGAAAACACCATCAATGACCAAATTAATGTCATCACCCCCAATGTCGTCTTTAGAAAATTTTTTAACTACACAAAATGCAGTGAAATCATCGTCAGTGGTCTTAAAAGAAAGTACTTCATTAAAGACAATGGAAAAATCAAGTATGTCTTCCATTTATGAAGAAAGTTATAGTTTGACAAAGATGATTTCTTAACAACACACCAGAAAACACCATCAATGACCAAATTAATGTCATCACCCCAATGTCGTCTTTAGAAAATTTTGTAACTACACAAAATGCAGTGAAATCATCGTCAGTGGTCTTAAAAGAAAGTACTTCATTAAAGACAATGGAAAAATCAAGTATGTCTTCCATTTATGAAGAAAGTTATAGTTTGACAAAAGATGATTTATTAACAACACACCAGAAAACACCATCAATGACCAAATTAATGTCATCATCCCCAATGTCGTCTTTAGAAAATTTTGTAACTACACAAAATGCAGTGAAATCATCGTCAGTGGTCTTAAAAGAAAGTACTTCATTAAAGACAATGGACAAATCAAGTATGTCTTCCATTTATGAAGAAAGTTATAGTTTGACAAAAGATAATTTCTTAATAATACACCAGAAAACACCATCAATGACCAAATTAATGTCATCACCCCCAATGTCGTCTTTAGTAAATTTTGTAACTACACAAAATGCAGTGAAATCATCGTCAGTGGTCTTAAAAGAAAGTACTTCAAAAGATGATTTCTTAATAATACACCAGAAAACACCATCAATGACCAAATTAATGTCATCACCCCCAATGTCATCGTCTTTGGAAAATTTTGTAACTACACAAAATGCAGTGAAATCATCGTCAGTGGTCTTAAAAGAAAGTACTTCATTAAAGACAATGGAAAAATCAAGTATGTCTTCCACTTATGAAGAAAGTTATAGTTTGACAAAAGATGATTTCTTAACAACACACCAGAAAATACCATCAATGACCAAATTAATGTCATCACCCCCAATGTCGTCTTTAGAAAATTTTTTAACTACACAAAATGCAGTGAAATCATCGTCAGTGGTCTTAAAAGAAAGTACTTCATTAAAGACAATGGAAAAATCAAGTATGTCTTCCATTTATGAAGAAAGTTATAGTTTGACAAAAGATGATTTCTTAACAACACACCAGAAAACACCATCAATGACCAAATTAATGTCATCACCCCCAATGTCATCGTCTTTGGAAAATTTTGTAACTACACAAAATGCAGTGAAATCATCGTCAGTGGTCTTAAAAGAAAGTACTTCATTAAAGACAATGGACAAATCAAGTATGTCTTCCATTTATGAAAAAGTTATAGTTTGACAAAGATGATTTCTTAACAACACACCAGAAAACACCATCAATGACCAAATTAATGTCATCACCCCAATGTCGTCTTTAGAAAATTTTGTAACTACACAAAATGCAGTGAAATCATCGTCAGTGGTCTTAAAAGAAAGTACTTCATTAAAGACAATGGAAAAATCAAGTATGTCTTCCATTTATGAAGAAAGTTATAGTTTGACAAAAGATGATTTCTTAACAACACACCAGAAAACACCGTCAATGACCAAATTAATGTCATCACCCCAATGTCGTCTTTAGAAAATTTTGTAACTACACAAAATGCAGTGAAATCATCGTCAGTGGTCTTAAAAGAAAGTACTTCATTAAAGACAATGGAAAAATCAAGTATGTCTTCCATTTATGAAGAAAGTTATAGTTTGACAAAAGATGATTTCTTAACAACACACCAGAAAACACCATCAATGACCAAATTAGTGTCATCACCCCCAATGTCGTCTTTAGAAAATTTTGTAACTACACAAAATGCAGTGAAATCATCGTCAGTGGTCTTAAAAGAAAGTACTTCATTAAAGACAATGGACAAATCAAGTATGTCTTCCATTTATGAAGAAAGTTATAGTTTGACAAAAGATAATTTCTTAATAATACACCAGAAAACACCATCAATGACCAAATTAATGTCATCACCCCCAATGTCGTCTTTAGAAAATTTTGTAACTACACAAAATGCAGTGAAATCATCGTCAGTGGTCTTAAAAGAAAGTTCTTCAAAAGATGATTTCTTAATAATACACCAGAAAACACCATCAATGACCAAATTAATGTCATCACCCCCAATGTCATCGTCTTTGGAAAATTTTGTAACTACACAAAATGCAGTGAAATCATCGTCAGTGGTCTTAAAAGAAAGTACTTCATTAAAGACAATGGAAAAATCAAGTATGTCTTCCATTTATGAAGAAAGTTATAGTTTGACAAAAGATGATTTCTTAACAACACACCAGAAAACACCATCAATGACCAAATTAATGTCATCACCCCAATGTCGTCTTTAGAAAATTTTTTAACTACACAAAATGCAGTGAAATCATCGTCAGTGGTCTTAAAAGAAAGTACTTCATTAAAGACAATGGAAAAATCAAGTATGTCTTCCATTTATGAAGAAAGTTATAGTTTGACAAAAGATGATTTCTTAACAACACACCAGAAAACACCATCACTGACCAAATTAATGTCATCACCACCAATGTCGTCTTTAGAAAATTTTGTAACTACACAAAATGCAGTGAAATCATCGTCAGTGGTCTTAAAAGAAAGTACTTCATTAAAGACAATGGAAAAATCAAGTATGTCTTCCATTTATGAAGAAAGTTATAGTTTGACAAAAGATGATTTCTTAACAACACACCAGAAAACACCATCACTGACCAAATTAATGTCATCACCACCAATGTCGTCTTTAGAAAATTTTGTAACTACACAAAATGCAGTGAAATCATCGTCAGTGGTCTTAAAAGAAAGTACTTCATTAAAGACAATGGACAAATCAAGTATGTCTTCCATTTATGAAGAAAGTTATAGTTTGACAAAAGATGATTTCTTAACAATACACCAGAAGTCAACATTAACCTCGTTTCTCGCAAAAACAATGTCTTCACCATCAATGACGTCAATAACAAAACCACATTCCCCATCAGCATTGGCGTCAACGATGAAAGCAATGTCACCACCCTCAATGATTTTAACGACGAAATTAGTGGTAGCAGATTATCATTCGACAACTTTCATTTATCAGACAATAAGAAATGTGTCTACAGTTAAAAAATCATCGTTGTTTCCAACCATGACCTCTTACAATCCTAAAGGAACTTTGTCACCTGAAATTGATAAAACAGAAACATATTTTTCATCATATACCATTCAAACGAATACTTCAACCAATCTTACAGAAAAAAAAGGGACGTCCACGACTATTTTTGATTTAAAAAGACATGATGTGTTTAAATCAACCAGCAAATTATGGAAGACTCCTGCTTTGGTTACGTCAAATATATCGAAACAGAATAATACAATTCGGTATTCAACGGTTTCGAGTATACCTTTGACCACATCCATCATTGATATAGTTGTGAATACATTTGAAATCAGGCTCTTGATAACATCGGAGCCATTCAGGATTGAATACATGGAAACCAGTTCTCCCGAATTCAATGCGAAAAGCAAACAAATTGAGGAAAATTTTGACAAAGTATTTCGTGATACGACTTATTATTCTTCGTCAGAAGTTATAAGATTTTTCGAAGGTAGCCTTGGTTGTATTGCTAAAGTTCATGTAAAATCAAATGATGTAAAAGTTGTGGATATTGACCAAACTTTACGCAATAAAATTGATGAGGATGAATTTGGTGAAATGGTTGTCAGTAGCATCGAAGTTAAAGTTTTCGAAGTTGTTACTGCAAAACAAGATGAAAAGAAACGTCACAGTGGTTGGAGTACTTTGGCAATCGTTTTTGTGTCAGTTCTAGGTGGTATTTGTGTTCTTCTTGTTCTTTGTGTAATCATCCTGTGTGTAAGTAGCGAAATTTTTCTATTACTTTTATCGTTTAGCTTTTGCCAATTACATTTCAAATATGATCATTTAAGTCATTAGTTTATTTAATTATATTTTTCCATTGACATATCATGTACTTTAAATAAACAGATAAAAGCCTAAGTATAATCATAGACAATTGCATTAATGTCTTCTTTTTAACACTTTTTTTATGTCATAAATAAATATTTTTCGCTGCATGTTCATAGCCTTTTAAAAACGACAACATGTGATAACAACTTGTTTTGATTTCTTGGTTTTCCAGATTCAAAAACGTCAATATACACACTATATCGAGGAGTCAAATGGACTTCAAGAACATTCGCCTAGTATTCAATTAAAAAGGCATGGTAGCATACTTGCTGAAGATGAAGAGCGTGTACCAATGAAAACCTTTGAAAGTATGGAATTTTAACCGTTAAAACATAGGATAAACGAGTCCACATAAGGTAATATAGGATATATATAGGATATATATAGGTAAAATAAGGTAATATAGGATAAACATAAGATAATGGTACTTTATTTAGATATTTTGTTAGAAAAGTTATTTAGATGTTCTTTAGATATTTTTGTTGAAGTGTATGTATGTAATTTTTTCAAAAAGTGCTTTTCATTAAGGCTTTCGAAATATTTTTGCATGTATGGATTGTAGTGTTTCCTGTCGTGGAGTCAAACCTTGAACTGTAGCAAAGCCGTAGTCCTTGTTTTTACTTCTACAATGCAACTATTTTTCTGTTCATTCACTGGAAAAAAATTATTAAAGATGATTTTCTAAAGAAATGAAAATACCTGAAATACTTGCATTGTAGCTTTTAAAGTCGGATTGTGTTGGATTACACAACCCACTAAACTCAACAAACACAAATTTTGAGTCCAGCAGATTGTGTAAAAGTTAGTAATGAAAGAATCACACGAACATTGCACTGAATTTATTTAAATAAACCGATATGCACAGACTGAATTGCTCAGTTAACAAATTAAAAATTTGAAAAGTCCACAATTTAAAAAAGGTAATTGTAGCTATTTACACTACATGATTTAGGCTACATGTTAAAAATCATTGCAAGTCTGTACACTACGTACAACGTATAAGTATTTTTGAAACCGTAAATGCAACAACGTAACTGAGTGTGATTGTTTCTAAGATTGTTATTACGTTTCTTTGGAAGAAGATAATGGAGTTTATGATTATTATCTGCATTCTTTTATATTTAAAACAATAAATCGTCATTAGGATCAGGAATCAAACTAGTTCTCGAAGACTCTGTAAAATAAATCGGGGAGGACTGTATTTAGGGCACGCTTTCGACTTCTTTAAAGAGGTAAGCATTGACGCCAAAGTTCCAAACCTGGCAGACATGTTCCAAAAAAGACCTTATATAAGCATTATAAACAATCATTTGTGATATCTGATCAAGAAGTCGTAGAAAATAAGGACGCCTAACTGAAAGAAAGAGCAGACGTAACAACTATTTACTCGAAAAGTTCTGACGTCATGAAGAGAAGAAAATGTTAAAGGAAGGCTCAATTAACTTCACCCAAAATATATGAAAGGACTAGAACTGTAAAACCTCCCAGAGATTCAACTCTGGCACATATTCTTGCAAGTTCTTTCCGACGCTTTAGTTTGTCAATAAGGGCCTTCAAACTACTTACGAAATGATGGCCTTGACATCACTCCAGTTACATGTTAGAGTTCACAAGACCATCTTCAGCGGTATTTGGCGGGAAAGTTTGGAAGACGAACATGGCCGAATACAAAATATCTTCAACAAAATTGTGAAATAAACTATAAAAGTAACCAAAAATTATCAATAAAATGCCTTTGGATTTAGGAACTATGCGTTATGCTCACTGTGAAGGATACACAGATGTCTGCTACGACAATGATGGAAGGTTTGTGAACATTTTAAAACAAAACTTTACATATAGATAAATTTGTTATTGCTCAATTTGTTTGGTTTTTTCTCATTGAAAATCACTTTTTCCAAGTAAATCGTTTTCCAAGTGGCACTTTATTGTTAAACATGAGTCAACCATGACTTTCAATGGTGATTTTGTTGTTTCACGTTTTATATCCAAACCTCTAAATTCTTACTCATTCAATGATAATAAAAGCCTTGATAATCAGAAGTAATATGTATATTGTTATTGAACTAATCAAGGTACTTGATCACATGTGGATCAGATGGAGATGTGAGAATCTATGATGGATTTGATGATGATGATCCCAAATCGTTCAGAGCTGGAGAGGAAGTAACCGCAGTTGCTTTTCAGGTACATTAATTAATGCACACAGCTCCTTTTACTGTGTTAAGTTATGAAAGCATCATGGTGTCAATAAGTTATGTAATGTGAAGGGATGTTCAGGAAAATAGAGTCTTCTCCCTGTGATCTCATATATCCTCTATCTTCAGGACAACAGAATTTTAGCAGGAGCAGACTGTGCTGTAAAATCTACACATTCCGAAGTAAGCATATGATTAAAATTTTATTGGTAATAATGTTCACCATTTGCTGTAAAAATATCATCCTTAGCCATTTTGATTATGTATGCCTCAGTTCATACGCATTTATCCCTTAACTAGTTTTTATTGTGTGTGAGTCTTGGACATATTTAACCCTTTATACAGCAAATTTTTTCCTCAATCGAGTTTCATTTCGTTTCCCCATATTTGTCGATTGGCAACAATCTCAAATGGATGGTTAAACAAGACAAAACTCACGGCCAGCTTCATTGTTGGCTGCAACCCTCACAAAATAGTTTCTTCATTTAACTCCTGGCATGTGATCAGTGTTATAGGACTTAAAATAGACCAGCTTTTGGCAGGCATGCATAGCACTATGATACTGTGTTGTAATTAGATTAACATTTTATCTGGTCAATTTTTCTAGGATCAAGTCTGATTTTGTTTCCTTTTTACCCCGGTTGGCAACAATGCCAATTGCATCACTCAAGTTTTTTTACATATATAAACAGGGAACTCCTGATGGTATGATAACAAGATTTCCTGCCACCATAAACTCTTTGTGTTGTAGTAAAAGTGGAAATTATTTAGCTGCTGGAGCAAGGTGAATCAATCACTCTCCATGTCTATTATCTTTGTATTAAAACTTGATGTGATGTTTAGGCGTAGTAAAGTTTTATGACATAATGAATGAGTACTACTTTATTCCCAATGTGTTCTCGTGTTTCATCATTTCAGTGACTTCAACATCAAAGTAGTTGAGGTTCAGAATAGCAGTCACAAACTACTAAAAGGTCACGAAGCACCCATCCTTTGTGTTGCCATGGATCAGAACGAAGAATTCTTGGTACGTAAGTACAATGCCATCAATTATGTAACGTTATGATGATTTTTCTCTCCTATCGCTATGAACTTCCTGACATTATTGTTAAAATGTCTTATCGTTTACTGTGCTTCAGGTATCGTCCAGTTGTGATGGCACTGTAAAATTTGGAATTGGAAAGAACAGGTACACTATACATACCAATAGTTTAACAGCTTAAACGCATCGCCATTTTCAACAGTTTACTGATTAATATGTGCAATATAATTTTGAAGATTTTAAACACATGTAGAAATGTTTGCGATCGCTGAGCCTTTTACAGAAGAGTAACGATTTTAGGTGAGTTTTTTTTTGCCCATAGCTACGTATAAACATTCTTCATTATTTGAATATTTCTACCACTCAATTATGTAAGTTCGACCACATTTTATGATTCTATGAGATTCTGAGTAAATTGTTTGCAAATGGAAAACTTTCAGCGTGGCGAAGAGTCTTTGTAAGCTTGAGTTTCAGCCCAAGGAGAATGGTTGTTTGGCCATTCCTGTGGCAAAGGAAATAAAGGTACTTCTTCAGTCATCACCAATGCAGTGTGCTTAAATGTGTATGCAAGCATTACTAAATGTTGAAACAGTGATCACTGTATTTTAGATAAAAACTGACTTAGCTGAATTACTCATTTATTTTTCAAGATTTACGAAAAAGAAACTTGGAAATTACTTTATGTGTTGAAAGTTGATGATTCTGGATCCGGTTCTCAGGTAGTAGCTACTTACGTTAAAACGTCTGAGAGCGATCGTGAATGTTGATTGAAAATGGAAGGAAAACTGGAGAAGAATCAAATGCACTTTTAAATGTCATTCCTAAAAACTTAGACTTTGTTTACCATTGTTTTGAAGATTGTTTTGGATCGTCACTATCAATTTTTCCAACTTTAATGTACAAAACAGTTAATAGTTCCAGACGTAAGCATGCAAACATTTATGTTACGACGAAAGAAAGTTCATTACAGTTCTAGGAGATCTTGTATTTAATAGAATAGGCACTACAACACAGTCAACACCACTAGTTATGAAGCATGTACCTATTCGGCATTAATTGACACACATTCTTTATAGTCTGTTTCCATTGTAAAATGGTCACCATGTGGAAATTATCTTGCATCTGCCACAATCAACGGGGAATTTCTCATTTGGTCGATAAAGACCAAACAAGTCGTTGAAAGGTTGAATGGATATTTGATTTTCATTGACTTTTGATGTCTTGAGCCTTGTTCGTACCTGTTTATTCACACTTATCTCGGTTTCTTCGTTAGGGCACAACATGAGAAATCACTGCCGATTACAAGCCTCGTTTGGAACCCTACAAAGAATGGGGAAATAGCCTACACAGATAATCAAGTGAGCTGCTCAAAACATGTAGAAACCAGAAATATGATGATATGTGTTTTCCTTCATTGTCAACAACGATATAGTCATAAAACATTTTCTGTTTAATTCAAATGAATCATGTTGTGTTCAGGGTCAACTTGGTCTTTGCACAGACGTCATTCCATCGGATTCAACTGTACAAAAAACGGTATTTGCATGGACTTTCCTACTGCTAATATTCTAAAATATTTTTAATACATGCCACTGTAAAACATGTCTATCCCGCCAGAACGTTGTTGATCCGTTGAATGCTATGGCTAACGAGTTTATTGATGATGATGATAATAGAAGCGAGACAGAAAGTTTGTTAGGAGTGAAAAATAGAGGACGTTTGAAGAAGTCATGGTTGGACGATGAAGCTGATGAAGATGATGACTACGATGATAATATAACTGGTATAAATTTGTTTTTGATAATTGTATAATCTGTAATAACAACTGATTTCTATAGAAACTAATAAAATAGTGCATGCATACTGTAAATGAATACAGCTCCCCCCCTCTCTGATTATCAATCTTCTGCTGCTCTTGGAAATATTAGTATGTTTTTCTTATGAAAGATGCCGTGGATATGCAGATTTTCCTATATAATCTTGCTATGTCAACGAAGAAAAAATATTCGTTTACTTAGGTTACCCGTAGTTATAAAGAAAACTACCTTCCTTGCAAATTACATGCATTGATTTTCATTTCCTGTTTTGGTATAAAGTATTTTAGTGTTAGAGTTTTGTTATATAGTAAAATGATACAATGATTTACTCTTTAAAAAGAGTTCAATTATATTGATTGTGGCAGATTTGGGCAAAATAAAAGCGGAATTGGCTGGACCACTGGGTTTGGATGTTGATGATGACATGACGTTGGCAGACAGTATGAAAAACGTCACAGAGACAAATATTGATAACAAACCAATTGTGTTCCAACAACCGCAGACTTTTCAACAGCAACCATTTCAACCTGGTTCAACTCCTGTTCACCTTATGCATCGATTCATGGCAAGTAAATTATGATGAAACTAGTTATCTACCATTGTATAACAAGCTAGCTCAGCAAAGTAGCGTCAGCTTACCAGCTCAACAAATTTCACTTTCATCAAAAAGTTTCCTGCGCTACGTACGTATGTCTACATATGTCTAGGATGACCAAGGTCAACGATTAAACAACCATGCATAGATCTATGCTTGTGTAATAAGTCCTTGCAGTTTAAATAAAGTTGGTATAATGCAGATTTTTACGCTAGTTTCCATTCTGCTTTTTATTAATACAGCCATCAAAAGTAAATTATTTATTCCTTGGGGTTTATAATGCATTACAATTTGTAAACGTAAGATAAGGGAGCCTAAATACCTTTCATTTAAATTTGACTGCTGATGATGAAAATAGCTTTTCGTATTTTTAAAAGGTTTGGAATCATGTCGGTATTGTACGAAGTCATTCCGAAGAGGAACCGGCGTCTATTGACGTTGAGTTTCATGACAGTAACCTCCATCATTCCATGAATCTCATCAATGAATTGAACCACACAATGGCAGCTATTTCAAATCAAGCTGTCTTACTTGCTTGCCAAGCAAACGATGAGATTCCGAGGTGTGTTGATTGGTAAAGATAATCACATATTCGTTGGAATGCTGTCGTGACATTCCATTAATAAAAAAATTACTTTGCTCTTAACTAAGCTTAAATGTTCCCATTGAAGAAAAATTATCGTGAGCGAGTCTTATCCATATTCCAAAAAGCGATTTTTTTTCGACCAGTTAATGAAAAGTAATGTAGACAAGATGAACATGTTGAGCCATGAACAGTAGTTAACTATTTTTAGTGGTGTTGTGGTACTTCTATTTTCATTGCATATTCCAAATAACATTTGCCCTCGAACAATTTTAGCAAGTTGGTGTGTTTGCATTTTGGAACCTGGGACCGATCAAAAGAATGGAGTGTAGCCATGCCTCAAGGGGGAAGATATAATGGTGAGTTTCATGTGTTTTACAAGTAATCCCTCGCTACTTCATTCTTCATTCATTGCATACAAACATTGTATAGTTAGTACGCATATTATTAAATATGCACGATAGAAACTGTAGCTAACAAAATCGTAAAAAAATTGTCTCCTACTCTTAGGGTAATATACTTTGTATCCTTTTTGTGCTATCCGCTATTCGTCAATTGGCTTTCTTTTTAGCTTATCATAAAGTTTATTTCGATTTTTGACTAGGCCATCGCTGTTGGTAGTAGTTGGGCGGCAGCCATAACCAATCAGGATCTACTACGTGTCTTCACAATCGGTGGTCTGCAGAAGGCGTTGATCTCTGTACCTGGTCCTGTTGTCTGTATGTCTGGTTTTGGAACACAATTGATTGTTGTTTATCACAATGGTGTCGGTGTAGCGGGATCGCAGTGTCTTGCTGTCAAGCTAATTGATCTTGAAACAAATACTCAAGTACTTTGTGATCAGCGGTTGCCTTTGTCACCAAAAGCCAACCTCTCGTGGCTCGGGTAAGTGCGTTATACAGTTTCAATTCTATAAAATATTGTAGTTTTTCCTCTCATAGGCAATTTCGATGTTTAAATCACGGCAACTAATTAAAAATTATTTGATCGATGTCACGATATATGAATTTTACGTATCTTTACAGATTTTCCCTGGAGGGAACTCCTTCCACCGTGGATTCTCTTGGAGTTGTTCGTTTATTAAATCGTTCACTTGGCAACACCTGGATTAATGTTGCCAATACAAAAACTGAGGTATCGATCAAAATTCACGTTGTATGATATGACGTTGATTTAACACATTGAATTTTGTGCGTGTTTTTTTTAAATTTTATTCTCATCAGGTTAAGAGGTCATCTGATAACTACTGGGTTGTAGGCATTACAGAAACTTCACAGCAGATCAGGTAATGGAACAGATCATCAAAATTATTGCTCATTTTTGTTTACTATCTTTTTGGTAACTTATTACATTTCAATTTCAGATGTGTTCTTTGCACTGGTTCAACATATCCTCCTACTTTGCCAAGACCACTAATAAGTTCTCTGTCATTGAAGTTGCCTGTATGTGAAGTGGATACGGAGAAAGGACAGCTGGAGGTAGGAGTTTAACCTTTATACCGTACAAGCAATTGTGGAAAGAAAGTCCTTTACACAAGAATATACATATTAAAATGGATTCAAACAAAAAAAAGTAAATTTTTTAGCAAAAATTACGTAAGGCATGAAAACTTGCAAACTTATCAATGACTATTTGTTGCTTTTGTTGTTTTCTATGTTTCACAAGACATAAAAAAGACATTTTTGTTTAGATTTTTGTTTACAGCATGTTCCAGGCATTGTGTTGTAATAAGATGCATTTCAAATACGATTATTTGCTTCAAATAGGAAAACTACCTACGATGGAGGCTTTTGATGAACAGATATGATCATGAAAGTGAGAGAGGCGTTGTTATAGAAGATGAATTGTACGAGCAGAATAAGACTCAAGTGAAGCAACTGCTCATGAAAATATTTGCTGTACGTAGAAAGTTTGTTTTCGTGTCGAATATTTTGTACGGTTGGTAAAAGGGTTGCGCATGAAAGTGCTTAAACAGCCTTCCCAATATCAGAGAGATCAATTAATTTAGGCGTCTGACATTGTTATAATAATTCATAATTTTCTTCGTTTTTCTTGTCTAAATATTTTCATAATTTATAGTTGTCATGTAAAACCGAAAGAGATTTTCGGGCAAGAGAAGTTTGTGAACTACTCCCAGATGCGTATTCCGTAAGTATTTAGCTATTGATACTTTGATTGAAGATTTAACTTTCTTGTAGATTTTTATTCATTATGTGCATAAAACTTTTTTCAAAGTGACAGTAGAAAAAGTAGGTACAAGCACAAAATTTTGATTCGTATAACGTTATTACTTCATTGAAAAGATGTTTGTGCGTTGTGATCCGCGTAAAGATCGTTTTCCATCGTAATGTAGGTGAGCTTAGCGATAAAATATGCCTCGCGAAATCGTCGCATGAACCTTGCTCAAAGACTGGACGAAGTAGCATTACATAAAGCGGAAGAGGAAGCAGCCAATCAACATGAACAATTCGATGATATGTACAACATAAAAGAGGAAACAGGTCGCAAAAGTTCAGATTTGTTTGAAAGAGAAAACCGAACACAGAGTAAGCAAATGCATCTTTTTAGTTCAAAGTTTCAATGGAAACTTTGCAGTGTTGTTATGAGTGGCAAAAATTCAAATAAATCATACATAGAGTGTACATTTTTCAGCTGGGGTGATCGTAATTTTGTTCCTCGTGATTAATGCAGTTACCGTATTACTCGTTTAAGCGCCGCCCTCCAAAGAGCACCCCCTCGAATGAGCGCCGCACTAAGTATTTTCAAATGCACGATTAAGGGGACGCAACATCAAAATTGTTGAAGACACAAAAACAAAAAAAAACACAAATCTTAAATAAACCTTTGAAATTTTTTGCCCAGTAAAAACATCGTAGAACGTGTTTGTTTGTTGTTAAATATTCTTGTTACATCGCACATGTTAAAGATCATTTTAAAGAGCGCCGCGTCTAAAGTTCTGAAAATTTTAAGAGCGCGGCGCTCAAACGAGTAAGTACGATATTCAATTAAGAGTTATTTAGGCAGCTTTAGTTTTGCTATTTAAAAATTCTTTAGACATTTTGTCAGGATCAAAAAATTGATTGTCGTCATTGTAAATTTTTTAACATTTCAATGTCGGGTTGATTATATGATCTTACTCCGGAACACTTGATTCTTTCTAGTTCAGTCCAAGAATAAGATGCAGCCTCAGACAGTGTGGTCCTGTAGGCGTGAATATTGAGTAAATCTCCTATGAATTTTTCTCGGAGACGAATTTTGGACTTTTGTGGTTGACTTAAATTACGAGTCCAAGCACCGTATTTTTAAAACTTTGAACTATCCTCGGATTCCTAGTTTACGTACGTCTCTGTTGCCAATATTTCGATGATAAATGAATCATAAAAGAACAAGAAATTATATTTTGACAATCATGTTTTAGTTTCTATTTATGTGTTTATATTAACAGGAAATCATGTAGTAGAAGAGTACGAAGATGACACAAAAAACGACGGTATGTACTTTTTAGTGCATGTTATGATGTATTTTTTGTTATTATATTTGAATTATCTCTTGTAGAAATCTTAAGTAAGATCTTGAAGGCATCTTAGCGAGAATTTACATTTGATCCTGCAAGTTTGCAGTTCACCTTGAAATACTCACATAAATAAACTGTCACCAGTTTAATCAATTTGATAATTGTATACTTGACTCTTGCCTTGTACTCATTGTGTTGCGCTTTTCTTTAAAGAGAAGCCTGGAGGAATTCTCAGGTGAAACGTAGCTACGAACGTAAACTGTCATTTGTTCTCTATTTTGCCTCAGAAAAATGCAACGAATCTTTTGAATCACCATTACAAGTCTCAACGATGCCGAAAGCTAGCCGTTGTTCGCTGTCAAAGCGCTTGCCGAATTTCCATCATAGATTTTACCATCAGGATACTCCTCAACGATGTAATCCTTTCAAAGTGAATAAAGAAAAATCAACGGCAAATGATAGCAGCATTAGCTTTTTTGAAAATGTGGAGAACGATCGACAAAGTGCCAAGACATTGGACAAAAAGTCACGTAAGTCGACAATTATTTAGCTACGTGTTTTTACTGAAAACTAGAAAAATTAGAAAGCTATCGGCTTCGTAACTTGAGAACGAGCAAGACTTGTAAATTCAGTTTGAAGAATGCATGGGTTAAATCAAAAATAATAATATCAATTTACTAGAATTGTAATGAAACTTTCAGGAATTAGAATGTCTTAAAATATAAAATCTTGACAAAAATTTTGCAGATAGCTGCATGTGGTTTGGAATCACTGTTGAACGTGTATGCACTGATATACTGACTTTTGAGTCTGTTCCAGGACTTTAAACGTATAATGTTATTTTGTTTCATGTAACAATTTAGAAAAATCCTTGAATTCGTATCTAAAATTGACCAGCAAACTTTTTCTTCATTAGTGCAGATTCTTTCCACGTTAATAAAATGTAATTTAATGTGCTTAACTTAGCAACGGAGAGTACGAAAAGCAAGGCGAGCAAACAAATAAAGTTGTTTAGCAAAAAGAAACGAAACGACAACAAACAAGAGAGCAAGGTTGATGAAGTAAAGATATCAACGAAACCCACAGAGAAAGCAATAACTACGAAACCCAAGTGAGTGCTAGTGTTCACACGAGCTCAATTCTTCGTTACGTACAATGTTATTCTGCTCGTCAAGCTTTACACTTTCTTGACATTTAACCTTTTTTATTAGGAAAAATGCATTTCAGTGTTGGCTTGATGTAATGAAACCTTTCTTTGCCGACGAAAATCCGGAAATGTCGGAGGGAGAAATAATGAAAATAGCTGTAAAGCAATGGAGAGAAACACCAAAAGAAGAAAAACAGGTTTGGGAAAGAAATTCTGCTAGTGCACCGTCGATGAACATTATGTGTCAAAGTCAAGAGCATGCAGAAGACGTTACTGGAGCTGGAGGTAAGAAAATCAATGAATTTGAAAGCGAAGTTAATGAGATGCAGCATGAAAGTGAAATTGATGAAAAGAAAAGGAAGAGGAATGAAGATGGTAATGAAAGGATAATTGGGGATATCTCGGATGAGAAAGAAAATATCTCAAAAAAAGTGAAAACTTTTGATAAGCAGAAGGTTAACTCAAAACTTTCTACATTTTCTTTCACCAAATAAGATTAATTGGTAATGTTTGTCTGGGTTGGTTGAGGTCTCAAACCTTGTAACATAACTTAGGAATTACAATTTGAAAAAAAATGGTTTGCTTCATGGTAAGAATTGTTCATCTGAAAAAATATTTTGATTCATGGTAAGAATTGTTCATCTGTCTATGTTTAAACTAGAATTCTTTTCCTTCATGTTTTAGCAACCATTGTTTTTTGTCTATACCACCACTGTAGTTGCCCATGGAACCCCCAGAATTGATGACACGGTGACATGGCACCAGTATTGTGTAGGGGTTCCTCCGCATTGCCTGTCCCACTGCCCTTGCACTTCCAGGGTTGTGGCACAGCTTGGCCAATTCTCCATAACTTATAGTTTGTCCAGGTCCAACTTTTTCCATGAGAACATTCCAAACTTTACACATGAAAACTTTACTGCCATATGTTTCCATGTCAAGGTTTGGGTATTTCAATGATTTAGTTTTCGCTGGATCCTTCAAGTATGTTTCAAACCATTTTATTGCCAATTGTAAGTGGATATTTTTTGTGGAGGCACGGTGTTCTAAAGTTTCATTTTCTTCGTCGGTGAACTTAACACTCTTTATACCTTTGTCAGTATAAATTATTTTAATCCATCCAATTGGGCTTTGTATAAGATGTTTTGCTTCCATGTCATGGAAAGGTTTAGAAACTTGGAAACAGTGTTATTGTGACCAGTGGTGGAAAAGTGGTGTCTCCCAAATATTCGTCTTTCATGACGTTTTACCAAGGCCATGTATTGGTAACTCGCTGTTGTGAAAGTTGGAAAGAACAAGTTTTGTCCATGAAATCAGTATTTGGCATTTTAAATTTGAATACAGATTATTTGTCAGTATCCTTAACCCGACTGTTCTGTTTTATTACTAATCAATGTCTTTATATGTGTAATTTCGAATCATTGTCAGAAAATGTGGCCAGTGGTTTTAGGGGCTTTGAGAAATTATGCTCCGTATTTGGTTTTCCTTGTGCGTTTGTCATTGGTAGTGTTGGTTATATATTTGAAACACGACTAAGAACTTCCCCTGGCGGGCAACAGGAGAGAAGTACGTTAGAAAGTCGTCAAGACAGACAACTAGTTTGGATTGATGAAGATGACCCAACAAACACAAGGAAATTGTCTAGAGATGAACTGCCCACAACAGTCTTTGACAGACAGGAAAAAGCTAAGTGGAAATTGCTTTAAAAGTCTGTAAATGTATTTATTACATGGAATGTACCGCGTTTCTATTTGAAAGTGTATGTGTGATATGCAAAACTGTAAATTGTGCTGTGTTACCAATGTATGACAATTTAACCATTTGGCAGTTTAACCTTCAACTTTTCATGTGTGACAATGATTATGATTCTAAGCATATATATTTTAAAGCTTGATTAGCAGAAACTGACTGGGTATTTATCTATATTAAGTGGAGAAGCATGATTGTGGTAGTGGTTTGATAGTCTCATTGAACATCTATGCATGATTAGATCATGCCTTGCATAAAGTTCCATTTTTTTGTTGAATGAACCAGGTTGAGCCAAATTATATAAATAATGTATTTTATTAACTACAAATTTTTACAACACACTAAGTCATTGAATAATTGATTATTAAACTATCGCATGTATATTGGTTTTCTACTCGTATTTTTCACATGTACATCATTCAGTTTTATATTGGGAATTCTTGAAGCTAATACAGCAGCTGTAGATTTAAATCCAGCTTTGGCTAGTACATTGGTTAGATGATTATTTTCTGTGCCATAGATTTTATTTGAGAATGGTCGGTCTGATGGCAAACATTTACGAGAAACTGCTTGTTTATTTTCTTTCTCATAGTATTTATGTGAGGCTACTAGGTATGATTTTTGATCTTGTCTTTTAACTGGAGCTCATTAAGAAGCAATTCAGTTCTACAAAATATAAATATTGTGATCAAAATATTTGAAAGTGTAGGCAGAATAATATTTAGCAGCTTACCTTGACAACTTTTCCTCTAAAACCTTTTCACGTTCTCTTAAACTTTCTTCTCTTCCTGAAGACACAGACAATGATTGCTGTATGTTGAATGTTGATATCACTTTTGATAATCATTAATAAGCTTGAAGTAATAATGTATGTTTAATAAACAATAGGGGACCAACAAATGTTGTAGTTTAGTGATTTATAGTTTAGCATCTTAATCCCTACTTTGCAGCTCCTTTCTCTATCATCCAATGCCTTTTCTCTTTCTTGTAAAAGAATGTCATGACTTCCTATGTTGGAAAGTCTATAGAAATGCAATAACAAATTAATAGATTTCATACAAAGTTTGAACATAAAGAACTAAGTTGCCAATGTGCTTACTGAGAAGTAGGTGATGTTAACCTTTCCAGATTTTTTCTTTTTAAAATCGGATTTTGTGCAAGTTCATAAACTGATGGACGCAGATCATCCTGCAAAACAACAATATTTATGTGAACATGGAATTGCATTGTAGAAAACCACTTCTTTATCACAAATTACATAACATACATCTACTCTGAGCATAGTGGTTATCAAATGACTGAGTGATTTGGGATAATGTAGTGGGATGGGATGAAATTGTCCAATCTTGATCTTTTGTGCCAGTGCATTTTGATTGGTAGCAAGGAAGGGAGGTGCTAATGCACAAGCTTCATATAGTAGACATCCAAGAGACCAAACATCAGACTTGTCATTATAACCAGTTTTGTTCATTTGCTCCTACATTGGAAAAGAGATGAACAGTTTCTTCATTGCTGATATATCAAAAACAATCTGTAGAAGCTTGTAGCAGGAAATCATATTAAAAATGTCTGGTAAGAATAATGTTTTTGTATCTTTGAATACAACTACCACAATACATCATAAGCTTGTAACATACAGGAGACATATAGTAAGGTGTTCCAACAAAGGTTCGTGCCATACTCCAGTCGTGTGACAAGACTCTTGCTAATCCAAAGTCACCAAGTTTGACATTGTTGTTAACATCAAGAAAAATATTTGCAGGTTTGAGATCCCTATGAAGAATATGCTGGCCATTTTCACGTTTGTGGCATTCATGTAATGCAGAGACAAGTTGTGAGAGAAGTTTCCATATAAATGCACTTTCGAGATATTTTCTTAAAAGGAAACATTTTATGTAAGTTTTGACAGTGAAAGTAGTAGTGGCAGAGATGTATATTGGGTGCCAACCTTTCTTTTGCATCTAGCAATAAGTTGACTAAGATCTCCACCTTCACAGTACTCCATTATCAGGTAGATGGTTGTCACTGATCTGTCAATAATTCTGTCATAGTACTGAACTATGTTTGGGTGTTTCAATTCTCGAAGAAGATTGACTTCAGATACTAAGAGTTGTTTTTCACACTCTGTCATACTGCCATAGTTCAACTCTTTCCATACCAGTACCTTCAACGCAAAGAAATAAACATACATGATGGTGAAACAGTACCTTTGAGTGAAAAAGATCTAATAAATAGTCCACACTTATAGAAATGGCGTTCTGTTTACACCACCATAGATTATGGGCATAGTATGTGAATGAATTTATCCTACTTTGTTGTCTGTTTTTCGTCGCACTTTTTTACAAATACCGTATGATCCGGAACCTATCGTTTCCAAGATTTCATAGTTTTCAAGTTTGTTTGAAGGCATTTAACAAATTTCAAAGGCAAATAACAGTATCTCTGCAGCAAATCGATGAAAATGTATATAGTGGAATTTTTGTTTACAATATCAGTATAACAAAACAAATTCTCAAATCTTTTAAAATCTCTTAACCCAACGGTCATTGAATTTATGGAAATTGATTGGATCATTTGATCAAGGACTATGATTGGATGCAGTCGTGAACATGACTCGTTTCCAGGTTCCGTAATATCACAGTTGATGAGTGTAATTGTTGTAATTGGGAGCGTTGATATGCCTCGTTAAATTTCGAAAAATTATATTAAAAACATACAATTAAAAAACAATTTGAACAGTTTTTCAATGACAGTCTAGAAAGGAACAGTATAATATGGTGAAATTTGTCGCCTCAAACTTTCGAATTGAAATATCTCTCACTTTTCAAGTGGTCCTAAATCTACATTTCCTCGGGGGAGAACACACCCTGTATAAGTTGAAATAAATCAGGCAAAACAAAATTAATAATATTTACGCATAATCCATTGACATTTTCTCAACAACAATAGCGAAAATCAAAAATACACTCAGTTGCAAGAAAATATCATGATTGTGTAAAGACAGAAAATGTGCTCTTGTAGGATTCGTCTGTGTATGGTTTCGTGTACATATTAAGCATAAAAGCAGATAAATCAACAACTTAAGCAATAGACAGAAGATCGTTGCTGTTGGTCGTTATAAAGACTGAAAATGTGATTCTGTGGGGCTCATCTATGTTCGGTTATGTTTAACATAATAAGCATGAGGGCACATAAGCATACAGCTTAAACAAACTAAAATCATATAAAACGTGAACAGAAAGTACAAGAGCTAGTGCTATGGTAGGGTAGCGGAAAAATTGAATTCGACAAAGGGAGATACATGAAAGTAGACATAACGGTAAATACAAAAGTAGACACAAAGGTACAAACAACGGTAGACATAAAGCATAATAAAAAGGTAAAAAAAATTAGGCATAAAGGTAGACACAAAGGGAAATAAAAAAGTAGGCACAAAAGTAGACACAAAGAAAAACACAAAGATAGACACAAAGGTACTTAAAAAGGTAGAAAGATGATCGTTGGTCGTTCTTGTAAAGACTTAAAATGTGGTCCTGTGGGACTAATCTGTGTTCGGTTGTGTATAACATATAAGCATGAGAGCACATAAACTTACAGTTTGAGCATTCTAGTATCAGATCAAATGTGGACTGAAACAACAAGAACTAGTGCTATGGCAGAGCAACGGAGAAATAGAGTTCGACAAAGGATAGATAACTTGGATATAAATCGATTCACAGAAGGAAGTTAAGATGAAAGACCACGTGGAGGGCGAAACACGTCAATCCTTGACGTCGAGGAGGAATTAGTGCATGATGAATGAATGGATTCTCAACGAGGATTACACAATTATAAACTATCAAAGCGAAGTTACAAGCATACACTTTATATTCAAGCTTTGATATAAAGTGTCACTTTAACGCAAAAAGAACGCCATCACAACTATACACAGTGGCTTTTTATAACAGCCGATGTCTTCTTCACGGTGTTTAAAGATGTATGTGGCCAAGTCGTGAACTATGCAGCCAAAATAAAAATATGTAAACCTATGGTGGAAATACTTTTCGTGTATCAAACCATGTTGTTCAATTGGAGAGTATGACGGTTGAAATCTGTATGACATTCCTGAAGAATACTCTGCAAAAGCTGAACGATAACGAAATGCATTTCCTACTATAGGAAGGCCCGTAAGTTCTTTATAGCTCGTTCTTGGATCATTTAAAAAATGTTATCAACTGGTTGAAAGCCTGATCCATCAACGGCAAACCATAAATGGATCATCGTCATATTTCTCAACGACAAAAAGAAATGGAACAATAAAAATACTATTGACTGTAGCCACAACTAGAAATCTTAATATCATTATCGTAAGAAACATGCTGTAAATGTAAGATTTGAACAGACATAGTTGCATCTATGTCTTTCGATATATAGCTTATTATGAATGTTTGTATGTGACTATCTATATAACACATTATAAAACTACTACACTT